TCTGAGGTGTCCTTGTCGACTACCTTGAGGGTCTCGACGGTATCAGGGGTCTTGGTATCGCCTGATTCTAGTGAGTTATCTTTGGCTGGAGTCTGAAGTTTAGCGGTTTCCCGAGACTCGTCGGTGTCTGGTGTCTTGGGGCCAGCCTCGGAGGAAGACCCAGCGCTTTCTTCATTTTTGGTGTCGATTTTCAATGGTGGCTGGGTTTCATCAATCAACCCTTCTTTTGTTTCATCATGAGTTGGAGCACAGATGGATTCAGTCTGAGGCGGGTTGGGCTCGGTCTCAGGTTCGGTGGGTTTGTTCTCACGTTTGTTCTCAGGTTTGTTCTCAGGTTTGTTCTCAGACTCGGTAGGCTCTTCCACAGGTGCGGCGGACTCCATTTGAGCATCAGCGGACTTGCTCGCATGTGCCGTGTTAAGCCTTCGCGGGGAACCATCCAGAGCTTGCGTGGAGACGGGGTCACTCTGGGTTTTAGCTGGAGCAGATACTGGAGCCATGTCACAGCCACCATCGGTGTTGGAGTGGTGCGGCCGAACTAGTTTGCGACCTCTCTCCACGTCGGGGGTCTGGACTTTAGTCTGCGTCAAGGTTGACTCGGATTCGTTGACTCTGGACGGCGAGTTGATGTTCTGCTGACTTTCCATGCTAGATTGGCGACTGCGAGGATATAGGTAGGGATGGTAGGACTGGTTGTAGTCAGGCTGCACGAAACAGGCACCTGGGTAACCGGCCCAACCTGGCTGCATGTTTGCGACGGGCTCCTCGGTGGGATAGGGCTCGTAGTATATTTGCCTATGATGTTCGGTGTCAAACTGGGGCTGACTAGAGACAACCAATGGACAGTCGGGATGAGGAGGCAGTCGCCGGCGACCGGGAACAGAAGCAGCAACAGGACCAGCAACAGGACCAGCAACAGGCTGGGGCTGAGTGATGATTGGAGGAAGAGTATTGGGAGGCTGGTATGATTGATTGCTCAAAAACACAGGATACCCTGGGGCTGGCATAGCAGTGTACTCTGTGTGATATGGCGGGGGTGGACCTTCATGCATTGGCATTTGGTTGAACACAACAGGGGGATTAGGAAAGGCACCCGCAGCTACGAAGCTTTGATTGGGGTAGTTCTGGGGGAAGTTGTTGCCCTGATAGTTCGGGTGGAAGTTGCCCGAGAAGTTTTGATTGAAGTTGGGGTTGGGATAGCCCTGGTTCAAGTTGTTCTGAGGGAAACCCTGGGCGCCGGGATAGTTCTGATGGAAAGAGCCGTGAGGCGAATGGTTTTGACCATTGAAGCTTTGACTGTGGCCATGATTTGCAAAGGGTGGGTTTTGGTTTCTGGGGGCAGGACCAGGAGCATTTCGGAATCCGCCTCTGTTGTTGTTGTTGCTACCGCTGAGCCATGGACGATGGAAAGATCTGCGACCATTGTTGTTGTATCGCTGCTGATTGCCACGGTTTGGAGGAGGCTGGTTAGATGGCCTGTGTCCTGCAGGAGGGTAATCCTGAGGAAGCTGGTTGTCGTTGTTGGGGTCCATACTGGACCTGGTCATATAGTAATCAGGGTTGTTTTGGAAATGCTAGAATTATCAAGTGGTCAGTAGAGTCAGAGAGCAAAATTGGACAATCGACTTACCTGGAGGGCATCTGCGTAATCGTCGGGATATGCGAAAGTGACAACGCCAAAGGTAGACTTGACTCCGTCTTGGTTGACAAAGTGTTCAATAGTGACGCCCTCGAGACTACCACGTCCCTTCAAGGCAGCGAGGACTTCGGATTTTTCGATAGGAGCATCAGAGAGATAACCGAAATTGGCAGTTCCTAAGTAAAAGGAAAAGTGTGAGAAGGAGTGAAGATGAGAAGGTGAGAAGGTGAGAAGGTGAGAAAGTGCGAAGGTGCAGAGCAGAGAGACATGGGATGAAGAGACCAACAACAAAAAATATCCAAGGGGAACTTACGTCTGGCCTTAGATGATTCCAATCTCAACACTCGATTATGAAGCATCAGATTTCCATTTTGTTTCAATGCTGCATTTGCTGCTTTGGTGTCCTATTTAAGTATGTTAGTATATAAATCTTATAACTATGTATCTTATATATCTTATATATATATATAAAAGACCACTCACCTCGAACTGTACAAAGCCAACAGGTAATTTCTTCAGTCCCTGTGACAGTTTGATCTTAACATGACACCGGCCAAATGCAGAGATCATATCTGTAAGATCTTCTTCCAACTTTTCAGGAGAAACCTTGATGGAGAGGCTATTCAAAGTCAATATATATAGTATCAAATAAGACTGGGTGATACATACTTCCCCACAAAAACACAACAATCTGGAAGAAAGAGTCCCTGTGCATTTCCCTTGCTAGGAGTTTGATTCAGTCGGTCTGCACGCGGGACGTACACCGGCGTGTCTGCCTCTCCCGGCTTCTTTTCGTCGGCTGGCTTGACTGGCTCGGCATCAGGTTGTTCTGGGGTACTAGGTTTCGAGCTACTAGACCCAGAAGAACTAGATTCCGAAGCTGTATGCTCATGGTCATCAAGCCTCCGGATAGTAGGCTCCGGGGCACTATGCCTAGTCATACTAGGATCAGAGTCGTTTTGTTCGACGTAATGAATCGCCATTGGAGGCATTGGGAGATATATAAGCAACGAAAGTAACTAAGTGTTTTGTACTGCGGTAAACGAATGGTTCAACTGCGACAAACGAGCGTGGTATAGATGTATGGGGAAAAAAAAGAAGAGAGAAGAGAATGAGGTACTGAGATAACTACGTGGGATATTCCTCTGTGAAAACCATCTCCGTCGCCATATTCGGACAAAAATCGAAATATCCGCTTTCCAAGGCTGGAATTCCCCAGCACGGACAAGTACATATGAAACTAACCACGGTATATTTCCGGGGAGCCCTCATAGTACTAAGATGGAGCGGTCTTGACTCAGAATCAAGCCTTACCCAGGGCTCTGTAGTTCAGGGGACTATCAAACCACTGGTTCAGAATCGGACATCAAGAAAGCTGATTGGAGCTGGACCCCCATGAAGATGTTTATAGCGCATGTATTGTCCATGAGTCTTCATATAAAGTTGGCCATGAAGTCTGGATCTCTTTCCGAAAAAGTGAATACGCGTCATACCAATTCAGGTGTCGGCCTGGCGAAGTATATGAGATGCTCCTGAGGATCAGAATGTCGTCAGCCATCAGCACATGCATGAAATTTGATGCAGTGCTAAGCTCAATAGGGTCAAAGGAAGATCAACCTTGGAAGTCTTCAAATATATGTGCATTTAGCGTGAATCTTGAATCTTGAATTCTGAATACCAAGTCCCGAGTCTCTGGTAAGTAAAGTTGTAACATAATGACGTGTATATTATTGAGATAATTGAACAACCAAGGGTATAACTTATATTAATATTATAAGAACAACAGAAAATGAAGTATGAAGGAAGTTAGGGCAAGAGAAGAGAGAAGGGAGGAGAGAGGAGAGAGGAGAGATCAAACATCACAAACACTCATTATCTTATCGATCCCGTTCACGCCACCTCGGTAGCAGCGCAGCAGCGCCGACTGATATTAAGCAACTCCAACTCCAGATAGACCTGGGCTTCTCCCTATCCTGAGTTCCTTAATTACAATTACAATATGTTTCCAACTCGACGTCTAGCCCAAGGCGGATTCTTCAGACGCAGCGCCGATGAGTTCGGCCGATTATCAAAGATCGGTAAGTTGTGTCAATGTCGTCAGTCTTGCAGCTCAACTAATTTGCCGCAGCTTGGAATACAGAAGCCCTCCATACCCCGACCAAACCTTATACACTCCTGAATTTCGAAGACGAGGGCACCGTTACAGGATGCAAAACCATGGCCGACCGCGCAGTAGGAGGCTTTAGCACAGCCAGCCTAGACTATGAACCAGCTGAACCTTCTTCAAATACTCCCTCGCATGCGCGCTTCCACGGTAGCATCTCAACTAAGCTTCCAGACAACTGGCGCGTCGAAAGAACCGGTACGTTTGCTACCTGCTACCTAAGTAGTGACACATCCAAGTGGCCATGAAAAAAGAAGAAAAGAAGAAAAGAAAACAGCTAATATCCGCAAACCAGGCTACGCCGCGTTCCGCAACCAAGACCGAGGCTTCTGGCTCTTCGGTCGGCTCGTCTGGGACGTTGATCCTTACGCGTATCTTGCCCTGCGCATCAAGTCCGACGGCCGCCGGTACACCGTCAACGTGCAGACAGACGCGGTCGTTGAGACGGATATCCACCAGCACAGACTATACACACGACACCACCGCCTGCGTGACACACCGAACTCACAGGAAGACTATGACTTCCAGGCAGACTCACCCGATGCCGTTGAGGATTTATATCCCAGTGGCCTGCCTTCCGCGCTTTCAGACGTCCCACCTGAATCGACAATCATTTCCACCTCTACCAGTACAACGACGTCTGGCTCGAATGGATGGGAGACTGTCCTCTTGCCATTTAACTCGTTTGTGCGCACGAATCACGGCTTTGTCATTGAACCCCAGACCTCTTTGACTCGCCAGCGTGTTAAGAGTATTGGCATTGGTCTCACTGACCGTGTCGAGGGTCCCTTTGATCTACGCATTCATAAGATCTGGGCGACGAATGGCCTCAGTGAGGCGGAGATTGAAGAGGAGCGACGTATTTGTGGTGATAATGCGCTGCCTCTCGATGAGGGTGCTAGCTCTGGTTGGACTCATACGCCCAAAAAGTCCATCAAGGAAGAGAGCAAGCAGCAGGAGCGGGATTCAAATAAGAAGGGTCTCAAGGGCTTGAAGTCTGAGTGGGAGGAGTAAAGGTAGGTCAAGATATAGCCATATATGTGTATAATAATCTCTGCTGCCTCCATGGTGAGCCAACCGTTGAACATGATACTTGAATTTCATTTTCGTCTCGAATCAATCATAAACAAACACAAAATCTACACTTGTGAATCATATATATCCCTCAATATAGCGGGCTTAACCGTATACCTCACTCTAGATCTTACCACCAGTGATCTTCTCCCAAGCCTCTTGGTACTTCTCCGCTGTCTTAAGGGCAATATCATCAGGCATGCGCACACCCTCCTTACCCTTGAGACCCTCACTGACCAACCAGTCACGCAGGAACTGCTTGTCGAAGCTAGCCTGGCCACGTCCGACAGCGTAGGATTCCTTAGGCCAGAAGCGGGAGGAGTCAGGCGTCAGGACTTCATCAGCCAGGACGACCTCACCAGTCTCCTCATCGACTCCAAACTCAAACTTGGTATCGGCGATGATCACACCACGCTCGAGAGCGTACTCGTGTGCTGTCTTGTAGAGCTCAACGGCCATCTTGGCAACGGTCGAGGCGTAGGATTCGCCCAGAATGGCGACAGCTGTAAGTGATGTGTTAGGTGGAGGTCTTGTCTCGTGAACTATATATCTGGTACTGATATATCAAGCCAACAGATTTGACGAAAAGAACATACCCTGGTCCGGATGAATGTTCTCATCATGCTCGCCCTGCTCTGCCTTCGTACTGGGGGGTGTAGATAGGGCCGTCGGGGAAGGCCTGGCTCTCCTGCAGACCGGCGGGGACCTTGATTCCATGCACGGTGCCGGACTTCTTGTATTCATTCCATGCGGAGCCGGTGATGTATCCACGGACAATTGCCTCAATGGGGAGAATGCGCAGCTTGCGGACTTGCATACTACGGTTCTGCAGGGTTGGGCGGAGGGATTCCGGGATCTGGGGTGGGAGGTCGAGGGTGATGAAGTGGGTGCGGAGGGAGGGGTTTGCCTCTGTCAGGGCTTTGAACCACGTTTGCGTGCAGAGAGTGAGGAGAACACCCTTGTTGGGGATACCCTATATTGGAGAATGACTAGAATTAGCAAGCAGTTTGACTAGATAATAGTGGTGTTGGTGTGGGGAATTGTATACATTCTCCATGATCACATCGTAGGCGGAGATGCGATCGCTCGCAACGAAGAGCAGGGTCTTATCGTCAATTTCATAGAGGTCGCGGACCTTGCCTCTGGCAATAAGGGGCAAGGCACCCTGCAAATCTGTGGTAGTCAGAGCTTGGGCCATTGTTCAATTGGTGAGTTGCTGAGGAAAGTTGTTCTGCGTCATCTTTTTTTTCCCGAGTGCTTGTCCCGCATCGCAGCCTTGCAGCCTCAGGTGTCGATCAATTATCCCAACACGCGCGCCCTTGGAACAATACCGTCGATAGAACACAGCAAGATGTGGCAGCCATAGTCGAAGGCAAAAATGACGCGTTATTTGACTCCCTGGAGAGTCTCTTTGCTGTGTCTAGTCACACTCTACACTGAAGGCGTCGTGCCCAATTCTTCTGCTATTGACGTCCTCTCGTTCCTCACAGCGGGTCTGTTCCCACTAGATGCCGCCGATAAGCAATGGGAGGAGCATTACTTGCCGACAGTTTCAGCACTTGAAGAATGCCTGTCTCGTCATGATTCCTCTATTCCTGGGCGCACGCTCTGGGACTTGTTTCTGAAGAACGTCTGGTCCATCGACTCGCTGGATGCGCTGGAGACTTTCTTCGGCGAGGTTATCCCGTCCCTCCTGGCTAAAACGCGCGAGGATTTGATCCATGACAGGGATAATGGGATTGCACCAGTGGCAGATGATCGCATGCGCCTGTCCAGGAGTTCGCCGCTTGGCGCGTTCGTACGGAGAGCTTATCTTGAATATACGCGGCTACAGTTTCACGACTCCGTGAAGCTCTGGACGGGATTTGTCAGATACCGTCTACCCACTTACAGCTACTGGAGTCGCAGACATCATGAAGCTGAGGAAATCGCCGTTGATGTTAACCTACGCGACTTGGGACTGGATTCAACTAGCCACCTTTCACAGGTGGTGTATGGTGACATTGAAGATGATGAGAATGGAGAAGGAGAGGTTAGCGTCAAGGATGCCGAGCGACTGATCGAGTTCCAAGTCAGTGAACTGCAAAGTACGCAATTCTTTTTCCAGCTTGTCATGGCTATGTGCTAACGGACACAGGAATGGGAGGCAGAGTTCCGGATGGAATGAGGGCTCAGCTGAAACGCATCATGACCTCAGAGGCTTCGGTTCCAGTAATGATGTATTACCTGGAGTAAGTGTTGTATACATCATTATCGATGTACATTTGTGATTGACAAAATGCCAGATATCTCGACGCTTGGAGGGCTGGAGACTATACCTCAGCATTTGACAATCTCCACCGCTACTTCGACTACACCATGCACGCGAATCTCGACCGAAGTGCATATCAATTTGCGCTTCTAAACCTAGCTATCATGCAAGCAGATTTTGAGTGTTTTAGTGAAGCTATTTCCGCCGTGCAAGAAGCTGTGGCAATTGCTCGCGAGTCTCACGATATGAACTGCCTGAACTTCTGCATGAGCTGGCTGTATCACTTCGGCAAAGCTTTCCCAGAGCAGATGCGGGAAGTTCAGAACAGTGGAATGCTGGGTAATGAAAAAGAGGGACTCGCTTTCCTCAAAGCCAAATCCAAGGAGACTGGCATGTGGTCTCTGATGAGTACCACATTACTTAGTGAAGCTAAGTTAGAGATGCAGCAAGTAAGGATTCTTGTTTCCTTTTGACCAGGTTGATGCTAATGATAAACAGGGAGAGAGTCTTGCATCAATAGTCGAATCTTTCGTGCGAGCATCCCACGTCAATGTGACAAAGAGCGTGACGACTCCCACAGGTGCATACATGCTGTTACAGAGCTCCATGTACGCCAGGATAGGTATGATACTAAGTGTGATAATAATTGCGATGGCGCTAATACAGCTGACAGGGGCTACTCACCTTGCTTGGCTGAATACCGAGGTATTCCGCGAGTGCTATTCGGAGGGCCAACCTCATGATGACTTTGTCAAGATCACATTCCGAAATTGCCAAATAGTATGTCAGCTGGCTTTCTCTGGAGGTGTATAACAGAAATGCTGATTCATTACCTATAGTTGGCACAGAAAGGCAATTACAAGGAGGCATTCACACGGCTGAATCAGATCGACCCAGAGAAGCTCCGATCTTTCAGATACAACAACGCCTGGACTTATTATTCAGGGCTACTGCAATTGCGACGACAAATCTGTCGGTAGGTACTCCCGACTCTATCACTTCTTACAGATCCATTTCTAACAAACCTACAGCGATGACAAGGTGGCCGTCGAACACATTCTATCCCAACTCCAAGCAGTACAACTCCGAGACTTCGACTTGCGCATGCTTCTAGCCTTCTATTCAATAGAATTCACCATGCGCCAAGGCGACTACGGTCGGGCCCTGAGAATGGTCGAGCAAGCCGCGCACTCTATGCAACCCGAAAACTTCGACATCCACTCCCAGATCAAACTACTGTGTCTAAAAGCACAAATCCTTGGCAAATCCGGCCAACCGCAACGCGGCTTCTCCCTTGCCATGCGCGCAGCCAGCATCGCACATCGCTCCAAAGTCCTCGCCGACCTCTGGGAAGCCATCTGCACATTAGCCACGGTGTTACTGAGTCTGCGTGAATTTGCAGCCACGGGCGAACTCGTCGAGAGCATCCTGGCCCAGGTCCTAGAGTCCGAAAACTACAGTCTTATCGCGTATGCGTATTCACTTCTTGTGGATGCGAATATGGGCATGGCGGGTGAGCTATGGAGCCTGCAGGGGCGGGACTCCACGTCTGCGAGGAAGGAGTACATTAACCGTGCTCTTGGGTATATTGATTCGGCGTATGATCATTTCGAGGAAATTGAGGATATCAAGGGGCAGACGGAGATGATGGCTAAGAAGGCTACTGTTATGCATCTTACGGGGGATCCAGTACTGGCTAATGATTATGCTGCCAAGTATCTGGATCTGCGGAGACTACGAACTGGAACATGAATACCTCACAGAAACAATAATATACACTTAGAAGAATGTCTGGTTATTGAAATGTAAGCAAATGACTGTTTAATAGGCTATCATTGTAAAAGCCCGCGAGTCCACGGATATATATATTCCACAATTCCACATCCGTTCAAAGTATAGAGTTATTACTGGTATCAGACGAATAATGTAAGTAAGATAGACTACACTATTTGCCCTACTTCCGAAGCAATGCGGGAACAAGCAGTATGGCTTTGAAGGATTGACTGATTGCGTGCGATTTTGGTTCTGGCGTGGGGGTCAAGCGTTTCCGCATTCGAGTCATCTACTTTGTAGAATCTACAATATACAATATCTACAATATATATACAGATTCCAAGGGAGTTAAGGTAGAAATGAACTGTGTTTAGATTTACAGAAGGCCTTTATACAATATAACATACCTATGTTGTAGATCACCCCGCACCTATTCGGAATAAAACCCGGAGTTGGAAGTCAATCAGCCATAGTTAAGCACATAGTTTCGGAGTTCAATATACCTTAGCCCTATATTTATATATATATATATATATATATTTATATTTATATCTCATTTACTTCGTTTATTTCATTTACTTCGTAAACACACTACACAAAATGTTACCAACTGAACCCCCAGCCCCTCCATTCCGCAGCGTCTCCGCCTGCAACAGATGTCGACTCCGCAAACACCGCTGCGACCAACGCCTCCCTCGCTGCGAGTCATGCGAAAAAGCCCAAGTCCGCTGCGTGGGCTACGACCCCCTCACAAAACAAGAAGTACCACGCAGCTACGTAGCCTTCCTCGAAAGCCGCGTCAACTATCTCAACCAGGTCCTCACGGACCACGGCATCGGATTTAAGCCCGCTATCGCCTATGATGAAGAAGAGGTGTTGAAGATGGAAGCTAGACAGTCGCCGAGATTTGAATCTCGCGGATTAAGAGATGCAAGAAGATTGCCCGAGAAGATGCAAGCGCACACGCAAACGCAAACGCAAACGCAGACCGACATGGGCGTGCAGACGACCCGTAAGAGGAAATCGACTCCGTGTGTCGACGACGCCATTCCTACCAGACAGGTTAAACGACTGGCGCAGTTAAATGTCCTTCTTACGGAGTTGTTGACGGATGGATGTCAGCATCGAGAATGTTCCCGTGATCCTGACCCTGACCCGGCGAGGGTGTATATGCGTGGTGCTCGTAGACATGACGTGCAGGAGGATTGTGTTGAGCAGAGATTGCCGTGGTCGCCGCGGAGTGTTGATTCGATTGATCATAATGATAGCCGCATGAATAGATCTGTGTCGCCGGTGTCATTGCATGAGACATATCAGTATCCCGGGCCGACTCATGGGCGTGGCTCTTCTATGCTTAGTGCGGAAACGGCCTTGGGATCAGATCAGGGGCGTGAAGTACATAACGCAAAGAGACGGCCTGGGATCGAGTTTGATTTGGGAGATTTCGAGTCTGAGATACCTAATATCAAGCTCTTGGCTGGGAGTGGTGAAGGGAGGAAGACAGATGTTGGTCGACGTTTCAATGTTTCGAGTCGTGCTGCGTCGCCGGAGGAGGAGGGTCGTTCTAGTTCTAGTCCCGAGCCCAAGTTTGATATTGGTGCCGATCTGCTTCGCGGGCGGAGGGAGAGAGAAAGGGCTAATTATGATTTGTTGGATGAATTCCTTGTTGACTGGGCTGAGTGATTGTTCGTTCGTTTCCTGTGGGGGCGTGTATGTATGTATATATGAATATAATGATCAGCCTATATGATATAGACTTGGTTGAGGACGTAGTACGTTGAAGAAAATAAAACCAGTAATTCATTCTGTCAAGGCTATAAACTCCGTATAAGCAAACCAATCTCTTAATAATTATCATCAAATGGCTAAAAGTAGAACGCAATATCAAACTATCGTAAATCGTGTTGTCTCTTCCCGACCCAATCACCAGCCCTACACAGCAATTGCCGTTACTGTAGAGAGACCGGAACCCATGGAATCCTTGAAAGTGTCGACCTCGACCTCGTAGTTGTGTCCACCTGAACGGAGAGCGACATTCTCTTGATCGTGGCCGACAGCAACGTCCGCAGGAAGATCGTGCTCCGCAGGCCAAATCTGGTGACCCGCCGCCTCTTCTTTGGCATGGTGTTCTGTGACGACCTCGCGCACGGTCTTCTGGAAATGAAGTGGACCCCGTTCCATCTCGGGATGAAGCAGGCCGTTGACGAAGACACCAGCGTTGAGGTTCTTCTGCGAGTGCATGCACAGGTACTTGTCCTCGGACATGATTCGTTTGTACATGTCGCTGATGACATTGAAGGCTTCATCGGTGGCGTCCTTGTGACGGTAGACCTCGTAGCGCATCATACATTGCGTCGGGCTGGTAGGGGTGAAACGCTGCATGAAGAAGAAGTTGGGACTAAGGAATCAATGTTAGCTTTTGATAGAATCCGAGAAGGATAGATATATACTCACGAGACATTGAAAGAAGCATTAGGCCAGAAATAGGTAGTTGCTATCCGGAATCCCTTCGCGATCTGGTCAGGTCGGGGGGGCACCGTAGTGTTGGATGTGGCCGGCCTTTGTCTTGACATAGTAGGAGTTGAGGTCTGCGATGGTGGGGATATCCGGGTGAGCGACTAGACAGTGGTAGCACTCGTTGTAGTTATCGGCTAGGATCTTCCAGTTGAAGTCGCCCTCCATATCCCATGTGTGGTCGAAGTTATATTCCTCGAAGTTGTAGTGCTCGAACCGGGGCTGCTCGTCGACGCCCTCGAAGTCGTCTTTCCAGGCAACTTCGGGGGTCTCACTGGCGTCCAGATTCACCCAGACGAATCCATTTCGGTCAATGTGTACATGGGCAGGGAAGAGATCGTTGCCGTGGAACGCAGTGATGTCTCCATTGTTGTCTTTGGCGACGATGAACTCGTAGCCGGCAGCGTCGTAGCGGACACAGTCACCAGTGTTGGGGACTCGGTGCTTGTGTGTAGTAAGGAGCCATTTGCGGGAGAAGATAGATCGGCGTTCAAGCTCGTACATATCCTGGGATGTATACCAGGAAGCGGGTAGAGCACGGATCGGTTTCATTTCATCTTTCGCTGGGTCATCTTTCGCTGGGACAGCGGATGTACCGAAGAAGTTCTTCAAGAAGGACATTGTGAATACAAATTCAAAGAGATATCTTTGTAATTGGATATGTAGTAAATGATAGTTGCACTTTGAAGTTGCTATAGACTAAATTTGAACACGGCGACGTTTACGCTTCTAAATAGCCATCACGATCGTAGCCAATTCATGAACCACGGGGCTTGGAACAACCATCCCGAAGTATAAACCGGATCTCGACCTTTCGAAACCGAGTCCGGTGACATAGTTGGAGACTGATTGTGTTCAGATTGCCACTTCTGGTGGGAGATATACCTGAAGACCGATCAGGTGACCGGAAAACCACAAACCGGACCGAGTGGCTTGAAGCCTATCGAACAACTTCTCTCATCAAAAGAGTCCTGGTGTATAGTAAGACGGGCAGCTGATAAAGGCCCCGACCCGTCAACGGTTCGGGGTAAATCCGACCCACGCCGGTTTACACATACCTTAAATGGCAGTGTTTGCCAATATGACGGGGCTGGAAAACTGGGGTATGGGGAGAGCGTCTATAAGTACGGAGTAATCGCAGGAGTCAGGATCTTTCATAAACCACTGGCAATGACAAGGTAGATTCATTTCCGGAACCTCCGGCGCCAGAACACATACAAGTTATATGTATGTTGCAGTAATCACCAGAAGCAGGGGTCGAGGTCCTTTTTTGCCTTGGCGACATTTTCGGAGGTAAACATCATATTATTGCATGATCAGAACAGAGGGGAGGTTCATCGAGTAAACAAACATACATGATTCGCAAAGTTTCAGAAAGGAAAAAAAAAGAATTCATGCGAATGAAAAGGATATTTCAGGGACATTTGAACCTCGCAGCATCCAGTGGCGTATTTCAGTAATGAGGGGGTCGAGACCAACAAAGAGCCAGTGTTGGAGCTAACGTGTGAGCTAGTAATGAACCCTTGTCTCTGATTATATATATTAAATGAATACAACAGTCTCAACTTTGAAAAAACACGATGAGTCAATTCGCGTCAAGCTTTCCAAGAACACAGGTTCTACGTCAGCAAAACAGCGGTGATGATAATTCCCAGAGATCGAAAGAACATATCAACATGTCCGATAAAAGTGCCAGGTCAGAATACATTGACGATCAATGCACACTAAGTAAGCAATACAGCAAGGCAAACACATACGTAGACACGGGTTATCAGGCCTCGATGCAGAATAGAATTAATATATGTTATGTTGTAGATACCTACGGAGTAAATACCTAGGTAATTTACAATAGAGAGGTAATTTAACCCGTATCAGTCCGGTATTAAATCAGCGTTTTAAATGATTGGCTGAGAGGGGATCTAAAGATTGATCGCCGACTATTTGCAGAATATAATGTTGTTATGTTGTATGTTGTATACACAGCCCCCGTGATAGGTCATTTTTTTTATGGAGTCGATCAATATATGTATTTTGATGCACCTCCGTACTCCGTATAACACAAAGATCCGATATGCAGTTGTAAATGGTACACTTGAAAGTCACAAAAGCTGAACGCCACTCCCCAAAGTGTAGATACATATAACGCGCGAAAAAAAAAAAAACAAAAACAAAAACAAAAACAAAAACAAAACCAAAGGCTTGCAATTGAAGCATGACACGTTAGCTATACAGACAGATTTCCAAAAAGTCGCATATGAGGAACTCATCATTAGAACATAAACGAGTAGATGAATACCAAAATCGTGGCTACGGTGGCAACCGTATATTCAAGCTCGAACCAAGCGGCCTGGCCACCGAAGGCGATCTTTTTACTCTGCTTGGTCGGGTGCGCCACACCAGTCTTAGGGTCGCGGGTCAAAAGTTCCTCACGGTCTGGCATCCGGGGAGGATCGATCGCATAGGAGACCGGGGTCCACAGCGAAGAGCAGATGAAAAGGAAGGTAAGCGGGGGCCAGAAAGCGTGAGTGATGAGGCAGAGGATGATATCTCGGAAGCCCGAGTTCTGGGCCCAGCAGCGGTAAGAGGAGATGACAACTCCGACGAGGGTGACGTAGACGAAGGCAAGGTGGAAGCTGGCCATGTAGTTGAGCAGGATCACGCGCAGACGGACGAACATGTTCTTAGACTTCTTTGGGTCGCGCTCGTTCAGAGTGGAGCCCAGAGAACCCGTTGGCTTGAAGGCTTGGGTTTGACCGCCCAGCCAGGTGGGCAGGAGGAAGGAGCGCACAATGCAAAGAGCGATGTAGGGCGACATCCAAAGTTGATAACGGGAGCCTCGTTGACCGGTGTGATAGCCTGCCGGGATGAACAGGGCCAGCTCACAGAGACGGTTGGAGATGGTTGCGGCGAAGCAGGACCAGATCAGCCAGCGGAGTTGCTCTTCAGTCGCGAAGGCGACCAGACGCTTGCCCCACAAGAGGATGATCGGGATGGCAAAGAGGGAAAGGGTCAGCAGGAGGGTGTAGACACTGAGGGTTGCGTAGAGGAAGCCAGAGAAACGCTGAGCAAAGGTCATCTGTCGAACGGCATCACCCCAGAGGCAGAACTTCAGCTTGGCAGCTGTGTCGACGGTTCCAATTGCCCACCGCGTACGCTGCTTGAGATGTCCACCAAAGTCTTCCGGCACGGTACCAAATTGAAGAGCCTCGTGAATGTATGCGGTTCTCCATCCTTTGCCAAGCATGAGTGTCGAGGTCGCGACATCTTCAGCCAAAGAACCAAGCGGGAAGTTGCCAATCTCTTCGAGAGCCTCGCGTCGAACGACGTAACCGGATCCAGTGCACCAAGCCACACCGAGTGCATCCTTGATCGGCTCAATAACATGCACGAAGAAATCCAGACTCTGGGCCAGCGGATCGGATGCAGGGGTGTTGTAGAAAAGTTGGGGCGGACATGCAAGGGCCATTTTGGGATCCACCAACAAGTGGGGAAGGATCGCGCGAAGCCAGTCTTGTTCGGGAATCTGCAGATCGTCAGTCAGTACTTCCGTACACAAATTTCAATTTCAATGTGAACTGGGTATTTGTAATTTACCATATCAGCATCCAGGGCGGCCATGAATTGGCCGGCGCCTCCCGGCAAAAGGTTGACTTGATCCAGACCGTAGTTCAGGTTACCTGCCTTGAAGTGGTGGGGCTTTCCGGGGATCTTTTCACGAGCCATGTAAATGACGTTGGGGTGGTTCACGGCGAGTTCGTTGCAGGCTGCCTCGAGGGTGGGGGATTTGGCGTCATCTAGAATGATGACCCTCATCTGGTCGCGGGGGTAGTCCTGGTCACACGCACCACGGACGGTATCGATCACAACCTCGTCGTCCTCTCCACAGCAAGTGATAAACACATCCACCGTAGGACATTCATTGCCGGTCAATCTTAGCTTGGCACGGCCTCTCTTCTTCAAAGCCATCATAGTCCAGCAGTTGTGCATGAGGGAGGGGATCGCAACAGTGATTTCGATGGCCACAAAGATCCAAGCTCCAGAGTATGAGACGTGGGCAATGTTTTGAGCCATAATAATGCAGGCTATTCTCAGACCAAGGTAGAACAAGTAGATTGCAGTGTTGGCCAATGTGAGAAAGGGTACGAGGAAAAACACCCATCTCTTCCACCCTTTCCATGTTTCCGCATCATCGCGGTCATGAATGCGAGCAATGGATCCGGATTTGACCCAATCCTTTTCAAATGCTGGAGGAGCAGGTGAGGTCACTAGAGGAGCCAAACTCTGGTGACTTTCCTGGACTCCATTGTTTTGATACTGTACGGGGAGAACTTGTTAGGCCGTGATCTATACCGAGAATAGAGAGCACAGAGAAAAGATCGGTACTTACTAGAGTTGGCGAAGCGGACCGGGAGTCATACGGCGTCCGCGTGTCCCAATCAGAGTGACCCGACATTCGAGCGGTGGGTTGAAGCCAAATAGGTTGGCCGTATTCATCGGTAGGGAAATGACCCGGTCTGACTGGAGTAAGAGGCCTTGGTGAGACTGGTGAGGGCGAGAAAGGCTCTGGATGTTCAAAGCTGTTGTTTGTATGAAAGCCGCTTCGATAGGTATTCAGCTCTACCTTTTCGTCCTGATCGTCAGGACCATGTCGTCTGTCCATTTCGAGACCAAAAGTTATAGATTATGTAAAGTCAAAAGCTGAGGAATGTGGGATATTGAGGACGTTGAAAACGTTGAAAACGAGTGTGATCAGCCCAAAGAGCTGGAATGGAAGAATGGAAGAGAAAAGTCTCACATTCGTAGAAGTATTTTAGCGCACGGTACCGGCGATCTCAAAGGGACCAGATTGTTAAGCCCTGAGGCTAGTGCGGCCAAGGACCGAGGGTGCATGACCGCTTTGGGATAGTCGCGAGCAAAAATAGATTTTTATGTTTTTTCAATTTTCTTTTCAACGTAATGTTTCACTTCTAACAGTGGTTACAGTGGTTTCTTACGCAATGTACCTGATTTGGTCAGTATTTGCTGGTTGCATCAAGCGGGTCTTGGGTCTTGGTCTTGGTCTTGGTTTTGGTTTTGGTCTTTGTCTTTGTCTTCTCTTATTTTTTGTATATTTCAGTAATATTACAAATTTCCATTTTCAATTTCCAAAGTTCAAAATTGCCACCTAATCGGACCAATCATAATATACCAATAAATGAAAGTTTCCCCATCAGGTACATGATGTGGTTCTGTACCTGATCTGTACCTGAATTCTCGTAATGTTCAACTGCAAAGTGAATGTACGGGGAGGTATATGAGCACACCATTACCACGCTAACCTTTTTCTTTTTTTCTTTTTCTTTTTTTTTTTTAAAAAAAAAGACCCCACTCAGAACCCTTTTCTTATCAACAAGACTTGTGTGGTCAACGCTTAGTTCCGCTTCGATCGTCCTAAACATACTAACCCGATGCATCTCCCCCAATCCACCCATCCACTCATCCACATATTGTGTGGGATGTGATACCGAGATTTCGCCTTTGCTATTCGCTGTTCAACTTGCTTGTCGTTTTTTTTTTTTTTTTTCTTTCTTTTTTCCCCTTCTTCGAGTTGCTTATCATTTCACTTACTCACTATCGTTAATTTCTTTGCTTTATACCACCTGCGTTTAATCATGGTCTTTGGAATAGGACTGATTGTCAATACGGTCCTTGTGGCCATCCCAGTCGGGGGAAGCGTTGGAGCTCTTATGGGAATTGACGCCCACCGAGCCGCTACAGGTCAGAAGCCTCTATTCACCGGGGGGAGCACCAACGATGGCACCGAATCCGGTGGCGGCGGTAGCGACAGCACTGGCGGTGGCGGTGGTCATGACACTGTCACGAACAACGGCATACAGAACACCCAATACTGTGAACTATCTTGGGGAATAACCCCACCGTCAAAGACTGAGCAATACACCCGTAAGTATCCTCGAACTACCAGCCCAGGTGCTGTTGACCCCTAAACAAAGACTAACCGAGACTACAGTGAACCCCAATCAATGGGGTGTGAAAAAGGATACGACAGGAAACGGGCTGTGCATGAATGTATGCATTGAACATACCCATCTATACTTTTCCTAAGGGCGTACTAATGTGACATCTTAACTTAGGTCACAACGTTAGTCAACCAGACTTATGCAGCCCAGACTGCTCCCGAGTTCTCCATCACCTGGCAATTCGACCCTGGCCCTCAGACTGCGCCTGTCCACGGATACCCGAATATTCGCGTCGACGATGTGTTGCCAAAGGAAATGGATAAGATCACAGAGTTGTATCTTGACCTGCATTGGACATATGGAGTGGGTGACACCCCTGCTGCGTCAACAGATGTACAAGCGTTGACAGACGAAAACCTTGCCACAAACGTCGCCATTGATATGTTCTTGGACACCGATGCCGACAAAGCCAAGAATGGAACTGAGGCGAAATTCGAGGTCATGGTTTGGTTCTGGATGTCAAACGAGGAGGCCCAGCCTCTTGGATGGGGGAAACCAGGAATCAAGAGGACCGTGGGAGGAACGACCTTGTGAGTGGAGAGTTGAAACTTGTTTGTAACTGACATAGCCCTGCATACGCTAACATCTATTTTCATCAGCACGCTTTACGAGGGTGAAAATGACAACGGACAATATGTCTTGTCCTGGGTTCCGGAAACGATCGTCGAGAAGTTCACTGGAGACATTTACCCTCTCATTACCGATCTGTATAACTTGGAAGGAAGTGACTACCCGGCCAAGGATGACTATCTTGGCAGTCTCAGTTTCGGAACAGAAACCTACTCTGTGAACAAGAATGTCACATTCTGGGCCGAGCAGTACAAGATCGACATCAGGAGCTAAGGACGAAGGAGTATAGTATATTGTATGATTATGAGCATGTATTTTCCGGCATTTTCTATTCACATATTCACGTCAACACACATCAAGCGTTATACATCATGTCAGTTCTGAATCTTCATTGTCTTATCTTCGTTACTTGAGCTCGATACTTAAGCTCGGATTACTCCGGGCCTCGTCAATTATTTGCCCAGCATTCAACCTCTGAAAATGAGGAAGAATTATCCCACTCTTCCAAATCTCCTTTTAGATTAGGAATCTGATCATTCAAGTTAAGCTGATTTCGATATCCCGAGTTCAGTTACCTGTAATGAGAACGCGCGCATGTCAAACTCGGCCAGTTTCCGAGATTCGTGATTTCTCCGCAAGATGAAGCGGCAGGTGCAGGTATGCGCAGATGACACCATCAGACGTGATAATCGTCGCATCTTCCATTATCAAGGCTTGCAACTAGCCAGCAGAACATGCAAGAAATATAAGAATACCCGCAAGCAATGGATGATTGCTATCATAGACACTGGGTTAACTCTGGATTCTCGATTTCAGCTGTCCACCCTGTACGAGCTTCAAGCAACCCGAATACTCGAATATGGAGCATTCAAATGCAATTGATACCAAGTCGGTTCATGAAGTATCTGATCATGGAGTACAATCCAATCCTGAGTCACCAGATGGGCTATGGCTCCGATTCCTTACCTATATCAAATGGTATCCCAAGGGCATGTCACACCTAGAGAAAAAGCTGGTCCTCAAACTGGATATCATGATCTTAATCTTTGGCTGCCTTTCATTCTTCACCAAATACCTTGACCAACAAGCGACCACCAATGCCTATGTATCGTTAGTCGGCAATACCCTCAGTAACTATAGCAGACAACTCCGGTGACTAACAACCTATCATAGAGGCATGGAAGAAGACCTGAATCTGCATGGCAATGAATTGAACTTCATGACAGCGGTATTCTGGGCTTCGTATTGCACCTCCATGATACCAGCCTGCTACTGGTTAACGCGCACGCGAATCAACATCGCGCTGCCAACCCTAGAAATCGGATGGGGACTCTCCACATTCGGCTGTGCTTGGGCCCAAAATCTGAATACGATATACGCAATGCGCTTCTTCCGTCATCTATGTCATCGGGTCGTGGTATAAACCCGGCGAAGTGACGCGTCGGGTTGCGCTTTTCTTTGTCGCTTCTCCACTTGGGACTATGTTCGCGGGCTATTTGCAGGCTGCTGCTTATACAAATTTGGAGGGGAGACGTGGATTGCCTGGATGGAGGTATTTGATTCTAATTATATATTAAAGATTTTGGCACTGGCCTGTTGGTACCAGCGAATATATTATTTTCCCAGATGTTCCTCATCGCCCAAAGCCACGGTTCCTAACAGCGACCGAGCATAATATTGCCAACATTCGTCTGAAAGGTCTAACAGCACGAAGCGAATTAAAGGTCTCTTCAAGCGAGTCTTTGGACGATGGCATTGGTATGTCTTTGTCGTGCATTGGACTTTAATGGACCAGAGCTTCACACCATACTCGACACCCTTTAGTCTATATCTCAAGGCTAAACCTGAAATTTACTCCGTCTCACGGGTGAACACCTTACCGACGATCGCAACGGCGCTGTCTGTGGTAGCAGCGCTAGTAGCGGGCGTTGCCGCGGATCGTCTGCGAAATTTCTGGATTCCTTCTGTTGCGACCAGCATTCCTGTCCTGATTGGTGTGATTTTGCTTGTTGACTACAATGTTGGGGAAACGGGAAGGCTAGTCGGATTTATCCTCACAAGATTCGAAGGCGGTATGTGGATAGGCTTCTAGTCTTATTTGTTGTCTTTTATATTAAAAAATGTCTTGGATATTAACTTTATCACAGCAATTAGTTCGCTCAGTACGGAGTATGAGTTGGGCGACTATCACCATGGCTAATGATGCGTCGAAGTGCCGAAGCTAGAGAACACCATCTGCCGTCTTTTCAATGTCTTGGCATCAAGCACGACATCTCGGGGGATCCACCTTTGATCCAATTTTTTTTTAGATATCTTCTTCTGATCCTTGTTCTTTCTTCTTTTTCTACTGTCTTCAATATATAAACAAAAGGGTATCTCAAGAGGGCATACATTTAACCATGGCCCCTCCCATTGAGCCAGAAGTTACTTCTGAGACCCATGATGACTCTCAGACTATCACCCGGTCTCGGTCGTCTTGGTACCGCTCCATTCCCTTCCAAATTGCCGTTGCTAGTGGTGTCTCGTTCACCGCACCTGGAATGTGGGATGCACTGAACAACCTCGGAGCAGGTGGTGCAGCTGAGCCCTACGCCGTCTCCGCGGCCAATGCTCTGGTCTACGGATTGTTTGCCATTGTTTGTGTCGCCGCTGGTGCAATCAACAACCGTATTGGTCTTCGGTACGGTCTGGTTCTTGGCGCAATTGGTTACCCGATCTACGGTGCTGGCCTGTACACTAACAACTACCACCCTACGACATGGTTCATGCTCTTCGGCTCCGCGCTCTGCGGTATCTCAGCTGGGTTTTTCTGGGCTGCCGAGGCCGCAATTATCATTGGTTATCCTAGTCCCAAGGAGCGCGCTTTCTATATTGCTATCTGGCAGACTGCCAAGTCTTCCGGTCCGATTGTCGGCGGTGCAATCAGTCTGGGTCTGAATGCACAGGGCTCCAAAAAGGGAACGGTCAGCGCTTCGACTTACATCGTCTTCATTGTCATCATGTGTCTCGGTCTGCCGATTTCTCTCCTGCTCAGTCCTGCCGAGAAGGTGCAACGCAAGGACCACTCTCTTGTGGTTGTCGACAAGAAAGAAACCTGGTCCAAGGAATTCAAGGCTGCCTTTTCTCTGATCTTCACTCGCCGTGTTCTCCTTCTCCTCCCTGCCTTCTTCATCAGCTACTTCTACAACGGCTTCCAGAGCACGTTCCTGACCACCTACTTCACCGTTCGATCTCGCGCATTCTCATCGTTCCTCACCAATTTCGCCGGAATCGCATCTTCGTTCATCTGGGCCGCCCTACTCGACCGCCAATCCATCTTTATCAAGACCCGCGCCAGAATCGCTTTCTGCTCCATCATTACCCTGATCATCGGCACATGGATCTGGGCTACCGTCCTGCAGAAACAGTACTACGACGCATCCGAACCCCCGATGTTCGACTGGTTCACAAGCGGTTTCAACAAGGCCTATGCGCTCGTCTTCTTCTGGAACTTCAGTGGCCAAGCCTTCCAACAGTTCCTCTACTGGCTGGTTGGCCAGTACAGCACCGACATCTCATCTTTGTCCTACCACTGTGGAATCCTGCGTGGATTCGAAGCTCTGGGACAAACCGTTGCATGGGCCATGCAGACCGAAGGTGGTGCCAACCATTTCATCAGCATCGGTCTGAACTTTGGAATCACTGTTCTTGCCTTCGTCCCCACGTGGATTGTTCTGTCTGAATTGGAACACAGCCACGAGGTGCAGGTCACCGTGGAGGACGTCGCGCCCAAGACAGTCGGCGAGTCAACAGCCTGAGCTCGTCACTCGAATTGAGTCTTTTGATTCTTCGATTTGCATGGTTCTCCGGATTCAACCCGGGAACCCACGTTATATTATTTTAATGATAGATAAGATACCCCCCCGCATGCTCTCACTCAACGCCGAGCATTATGTATAAAAATGTTAGAGAACTATAGAACCTTTCCACAGTCAATACTGGGAAATGGACCTCAGCCGATTGGCTATTTTGACTTGAGCTTTCTCCAAGGACTTTTGTAACGTACTCATTATTAAATCGGGATCACCTTTTAAGTTAAGCGAGTATAGAGCTATTGAGACCTAGAATACTCCAATGTGTTTGGGGATATTCTTTTAGATGCCTTTTAGATGTACGCGAAGACGGTAAAAAGCATAAACTGTATAGATGACCTTTCTATATATATAATTAGGTATACATATGAGAATCAATCCAACTAGATGATGGATATCGGGCAGTTCGAATTAAATTTGTTTCTAACATACAACATCAGAGTAGAAACATAAATATTGAGGATTTATGTGGTTGTTCATAACTTATACATATACACCAATCAGAATCAGAATACCTAGGTAGGCGAGTGACCCGCATCCCAACCTCAGGTTTCTAGATAGTTATTTAGTAATTTTCCGAATGATCTGATAGACGTATAATATCACGTACGGTGGCAATACCTCGGAAGACTACAACATATGGATGAACTGTTTTAGATCGGAGCGACTATTTTTAGCAAACCCACACGGGCCAACGGTCCGCAGATGACTCAACAAGAAGATCCCAAGAAGATCCCGAGGTTGATGAACACATGTATTATCTTTTTGGGCTCTATACAATATTGTATTCAGAAGGGTATGCCGAGGGAAGTAGTGATTATGTGATACATTATTGTACGTTATTGTATATATTGCTAACTAATATACTCCGTAGTATTTCAATTTTCATTCGCCACCAAAGTGTTTTAAGGTTTGCACAATGTAAAAAGCGTTCATAAGGAATACATAGGATATACACCACGGCATATGATACATATAATACCCAAAATCAGACCAATTGGAATAGCCCGGATGATCTGCATCACGCGTAATTCTGATTTTCTAGAATGGCTGGGAATAAAAAAAGTAAAAAGTGAGACTTTTAATAGATGAAGGCATAAGTATGAATGTCCAGGTTGGGTTTATATCAAGATCAATTGTTCCACAGAACCCTAGTTAGAAGATTAAGAATATCTGACAATTAACCTACAGTATACATATACAATATATACACATACAATATATAACTACACCTACAGCATTATTGTATAGTTATGTCTTCCCATTTCCCATTCTGGGCCCCCGGAGGAACATCACCAATCGCAGGATAGAACTGAATTGTTGTACCATGGAGGAATAGACATTTAGCGAGATTGTTTTTTTTTTTTTTATATGGATATTCTAAATATTCTTAATATTCTGAAGAAACGAAATAAGCTAAATAGAAATTGGACATAAAAAAAAAATTAAAAAAAAAAAGAAGAATGAAAAAAAAAAAAAAGGAGCCACAGAGAAAAAGAGAGTACGTACTCGGTGACTTGGAAGTACCTGGAAGCCTTGGGGTTGCGTGGTCCCGATAAAAACCATTCCATTTCCCTTTTCTTCATTTTCTTCATTTTCTTCATTTTCTTCATTTCTGCAATTCTTGAAATTCTACAATTCTTGCAATTCAGGTCAATTTCTATTGCCTCTTGTACTCTTGTACTATTGTAATTCATTTGCTCTCCTTGCTCCACTCTTTGATACTTCACATCTCGCATTTTACCCCAACCACTTGGCCAAGCACCCTCAAACCACCCTCAAATCACTCCTAGTCACCCTGTCACCCAGTCACACTCAGTTAGCCTCCATTTATTTCACCGTGTCGATTATATCCTACTGTTGACCAGCCTTACTCCCTGACGTGTCTCAAATTGCAAACGCGCGGAATTGTTATCGCCCCTCTTGGCAATTCCTACCTCCACCTACGCTCCACTCCAGCGGTAGGCAGATCACAACCGTTTCAGACCTGCCTTGAATCTCGGACGCTAAAAAGTACGGTGGGAACTCTTAATAAAAATGGACACCCCCAAATCTCCCACCTCTCCTAAAAGGAGTCGTGGATTCAGTGTCAAGTCCGACAGATCAGACAAATCCGGGTCAACAGGCCATAAACGTGGAGTATCTGAGTCTTCAGAAGAGAAAGCTCGTCGCAATCTACACACCAAAGCAGATCCACTCGTCGCCATGAATGAGCTTCAGCCTAGTACGTCCAGTTGAGAGAGGTTGGGCCTTGATTCTGGCCCGGTCGCATTCCTTCCCATTTCACTTCAACTGACATTTCAACAGTGGCCGTTGCGTTGGAAAAGTCAAATTTAGGCTCCCTGCGAGAAATTGAATTCAAAGATCAGTTTGGGAATGTCATCAGTTCGTATTCACTCACAATCTTTCATTCCTGGGGGCTATTTTGCTAACCCTTGCTTCCTCCTAGCCGATCCCGACCTGTCAAATCCCACTCGACCACGTTTGGAGCGCCCCTTGGATACAATTCGATCGTTTGAGGCAGCCATCAACGGCTCATACAATAATAACCGTGCGTCATATGTTAAAACAGGTATTCCTTTTTGTTTTCTTGGCAATTCCTTGTGAAAAATCAGGAATACGGGAATAGGGACTGATTTCTTTGATAGATGATGCCGCATCACAGATGGGCGACTTCAGCCGACGAACCAGCTACTATGGAGGTATGTTTTATGTGATTGCTCGCTTGCATTGATTGCATCTAATCCTTTCGTCGATAGGTCAAAACACTGGTCCTTCAAACAGAAACTACGAACAAAGCAATCACTACGGCCAAACACAATCGCGACCAGACAGCATCGTGAACGCATACCAAAACACACCTTTATCACCCGAAAACCCGAACCCTTACGCCCAGAGCGGATATAATCAGGGTGGATATAGCCAAAACAGCAGAAGACGCCCATCCCACCATCCCCGAGGATCACCCTCAGCACCCCTCACCCCGTCCGAGGGCTACCCAAACATGCCCGGCAGCTCACAATACGGCTACCAACGGTCCCGTGACAATGTGGCTGCCATGTCACACATTAGTTCTGGCTACACAGACCCCTACGGCCAGTCTACAGACCCCAGCTCGATGAACAGCTCCAACGATCAATTGCAGCAGCAGGTTCTGCAGCAACAGCGTCTTGATGGACGTGCTCAAGTCGAGCATGGTTTCAATTTCAACTCACCCCAGATCCCCCAGCCCTTCAGTGACTCGAGCTGGGGTGGACCTGCTGGAGGTGCTCCGACTCCCACGGGGGCTGGGCCTGCACAACCGACTCCACAAAAGAGGGTGAACCAACCTCCGGCTCCGCCGAAACAGGAGAAGAGGAAGAGCTGGTTCAAACGCCGGTTCAGCAAAGATTAAATAAATCCGAGTGTCTTGAGTGAGATGTGACTAAGATGAACAATGCTTGATACTGATACTGTATCTGGACACTTCATTTCAAGCTGCATGATCCTTTTTTTTTTCTTCTTTTTTTTCCGGGTTGTGCAGACTGGCGTTTTTCATTTTGTATGGCACCGGATATGGATATGCGAGATGTGCTATTGTTTTTGCTTTTTCATGGCTAGTTGTTTCAATTGCATGCTGTAATGAGGTTATGATACATGGACACTTGGGAGACGTCATGAGTTTGTTTCTTCACTTTTTGTTTATTATTCATATCGATCTGTATCTATTCTACCTATCCTATCCCTCCTAGGATATCCCTCACATTTCCTTATTGTTCTCCATATGCATATACCTGTAGGTACAAACACCTATCCATACCTAAGTATAAGATCCACCCTTAAAGAGGTGAATGATAATCGACAATAGGAAAACAAAACCAGAGAATAAATTGAGGGGGAATCCATATAGTAGTCCCCTAAATTGATACCACTCACCCGCCATCACCACCGCACCAGAGAAATGGGAATCACGAAAGAACCAAGTGTAAAAAGCACCACCCCAATTTCTACTTCCGCCCCAGCAACTTATACTTCAACTTATCAGCCAACCCCTCATGCGCAACCTTCTTCTTCTCCTTCTCCTTGAGCGTAGCCTCGTCAAGATGAACATTCCCCTGTCCACCACGCTACCCCCAAAAAATGAAGTCAGCCATAGTGTCTGGGAAAATAAAATGCGCCTGAAAATCCAAAATCGGGTAAAGGGGTGGGATAAAAAGTAAAAAAGAACAAAGGGGAAATCCATAGGAAAAATTAAAGAAGATTCGGAAAAATAGGTATTCAACATAACGAAAGAGCTCTATTCTCACCCCGGTATGGTACACCTCATCTGTAGAGTCGCGGACAGCAAGCTCAGGTATCATCTCGACGTCATGGGGCGCCCTGGACGACGGACGGACCATTGGTGAAGCGATATTTCCTGCGCCGCCTCGCTGGTGAAGTTTCATGCGTCAGTGGGAGTTGGGTTAGGTCATTGGATCCTTAGATCCTTGGGTCTGGGGTTGGGGTTGGTAGGGTGAGAAATTGTAGTTATACTCACGCCGGCAGAGTAAGCGCCATCACCTTGGTCGCCGTATGGGCCTTCACGAACGATCTCGCCATCGACGTATCTATTGATGAGTTTGGGTTAGTTATGTGTCGCCTGTGCGAGCGACTCGTTCGGACATATGTTGTACTTACTCGGTTGTGTCATGGCCGATGTTTCCTTGACCTAGTTTTGGAGCTTGTTGGTTGGTTGTCTTGGGAATAGAGGGGATATCGCGAATTGCGATTAGGGTTGGGGGTTTAGAATTTAGGTGGGTTTATTACCTCCTCGGCCGTGAGAGACCATTGGTGCCTCGGATTCCTTTGTTTTATTTTTCTCGAGCATGGTTGTTGACTGGTTTTTGTTAGACATTGGTTCTTGTCGGTGGGGTGGTTGTAGGTGAAATGGGTTGTAAGTAGATGCGAATGGAAGAGGATTGGGGTAGGTGGGCAGGTATTTATTGATGATGGGGCGATGGATGCAGGTACAAGATGTGATGGCGGGGATATCCACGTGTTGGGGTGTAACTGTGAGCTTACTGTTTCTTTTGGGTCTCGAAATGGGCTTAAGATGTACAGGAGGGGGGTTATAAGATAAGTGAATTTTGGGGGATCTAGATGTATTAAGTATAACCCACCCACTTGATGGGATCGGGGGAGCTAGTCCGTAGATAATACTGAGATTCCGAGCCAATATGTTCCTTAATCTCGATCGTTCTCTATCTATGATCTATGTTGTATATCGTTCAGATGTTGTTATTCAACGACATTGAACATTTATATTCGCAGAACTACATTTGACGTCGCTGATAAGATAACGGCCTCCGATTGGTGGAGGGGTGACAAACTGCAATTGGCCGATAGCGAACTTGGCGTTTACTTTATGTTGTATATTGTATATCCATATTAAGGGAATATTAAGGGAATAACAGGAGAGGAGAGTATTGTATTGAACTGGTGCAATGATAGAATATTCCTGAGAAAAGACATAAAGATCAGCGTAGCCATGGCCCATATGGTAAAGGATAGAATCATAGAAGCTGCGCATGCTACCCGCGGAATCGGAATCAAACCAGATACGTCCTTAGTTCGTCTTCTTCTTGTCTTCGCCTGAGCCACCTGTGGTAGGAAGGCCCATGAAAATCTTGAATGAATCGTAGCTGTAAGATCAAAGTCAGTATATATCTAGCACACGGACCAAAGGAAAGCGAGATCATACATCATCCATTGGAGACCGGTCTGTACATCGGAGGCTTGTTAGCAGCTGAATTAAACTAGTTGAACATGAGAACAACTCACCAAAGTACCGATCATCACAATACGGACAGGCAGTCCGTTCCACAATCCCCGGAAGCCAATGTCACCATAGATGCGACTCATAGCAGCGCCAAATGCCTCACCCGCCTGTCGATTCGCGTTCAACTTGCTAACCATGACATCTGCAGGGTGCGATACCGCAGCACACAGAATACCAGCGAGGTAACCGCCTGTGAATGCAACGGCAGTCTGGGCGCCCTTGTTGTAGTCGGACTTCTGACCTGGTAGATTGTGGTAGATCATCTCAACAATGGTCTCGAAGGAAGCAAACTTCATCATAGTGTAGGGAACTTGACGGCCCCACAACGGGTAGAGACCCTTGTACAGACTGATTTAAGAGTCAGAAGATAGAGGATTTGACTCAAGAACGAAAGACGATAGACGTCGAACTCACCCAGCAACGCCCTCCTTGGCAACAACGCTTGAGATACCGCTGAAAGTACCTGTGATCTCAGGAGGAATGGTAGTCTGACCGCGGACCTTTACAGACTCGAATGGACACAGCGCAACATCTGCGATGAGCTCCGCCGAAGCACTTGCTGTCAGGTAGATGGCAGTCTTGAACCGGCTCGCATTTTCCTGGCCGACTAGGTCGCTGTAGAAGACCTTGAAGTATTCGTATCCTCCATACTTGAAAGCTCCTTGGGCCTGTTATAACGGTAATCAGTACGGATACATAAGGAATGTAAAGCTCTACATGTCGCTCAGGCTTACACTGTAGCCGAAGAAGGTAGGGCTCCAGCCCGTGAAAACACCGCGAATACCTTCAGCTGCACGGATGGTACGGAAGGCTTGTAGGTTGCTCTTGTAGAGCTTGGAGTCAACTTGGCGGCGACATTTGATCAGGTCGAGGGGTGTCACGGCAGTGTGGGTAAGACCCTGGTATATATGTGAGTATCTGGTCCATATAGTCCTCACCATTCAGATAAAAGGGGATACGCACACATGCTAGCATTCCACCAAATGTACAAGCTGCATAGTACTTCAGAGAGCCAGGCTGAATCTTGCCGGTCTTCTCCTGAGCCTTCTGGCTTGCAGCATTAAATTCCCGGCTTGCCTCGTGGGCAATGTCGTCGGCCTTGGTTTTCACATCGTCGAGTGCACTCCAAGCTGTGAACGGTCTGTTTTTAGCAGTGGAGCTCTCCTTGGTGCTCATAGAACCTAGAGGATGCTGGGCGGCGAAAGCGTTGATCCAGTTGGGAATCATAGTGTACTTCGGGTGGAGGTGGGTATGAGTGGAGTCGGTTTGGATATGCGGGTGATCTCCACCAAAGGGTGGATTTCCAGTGTCACTGAATGTATTTCCTTTTTAATTGAATCTGTATGAGATCGAATTGGGATGAAATAGAAAGTGACGGAGGGCAGTAAGAGCTCACCAAAGACAATGACGTGTGGGGGTGGTAAGTCTTGGCGGTAGGCGCTTCCAACCTTGGTTTACAGTATGTTTGAAGAGGAGAGATTACTCTCGATGTGTACTCCATACTCTGTTGGAATTAATACTTGTACTCATGAAACAGCCATCGGAGTTAGGAGTTAATACTTGTACTTCCTCCGTGGCTAGTACTAGTTATATGCACCTGATCACAATCCTCCTGGGGCCAAAAGAGAAACCGGTTTGTATACTTATTTAAGCACATGTGCTTGGAGTCTATAAAGATACACTAAGGGCTATTGTATCATTTCATCATAAATATATAGTTGCCAATGGTGTGGATATCTAGCCTAGATATTCACTCGTGATACTATATAGTACTCTGTAGGGTGAGGATATCGAGATAGGGCTGCCTTAGCTTTGTTTTCTCCTTTTCTTTAGGCCTCATGAGAGAGAGAGATAGAGAGAGCTATATTGAATCAAAAGTAAGAACCTTGGAAGCAAAAATAAAATGGATATGTATGTATGAATCTGATATGCTCCGTGGCCGCAAGCGCTGACCGTAGTGGAGTTAAAGAGATGCCAAGCTTGACATCAAAAAGTCATCTCGCAACGGCTGCGAGCTCTTGATCCTACACAACTTAGGTATACCCTACTGAGAACCCTTACTTCACTTCTCAATATTTACACCTGTGCCAATTCTTCTTCGTCTTCCATCCAACTGTCCTTCTTCTCGACTACACTCCAACCTATCCACTGCCCCTCACCAACCCCTCATCGCGATCACAGCCAGAATGGCATCATACCTGACCGGCAGCGAGGCCTTCACTCGCGAGAAACAAGCCACCCCTGAAATAAGCACATCATCTACAGCAGCCTGGGCTGACAAGTACCGTGGCGTTCGTCTCTCCCAATAACAATCATCCGGACCCCCGAACTAACACAAAACACAGGCAACAATTGAAGATCTCGATCCTCCCCCAGCGCTCTCAATCTCCTCCCATGACCCAATTTCCACAGCCCTAATGGCCGCCTACGAGCGCGACTACACGCACCTCACCGTTATCTCCCCGGCAAAGCGCTCCCTGCTGGGCTACCTTAGCATCCCACGACTACGAGAGCTGCTGCAGAGTGGTGCTGTGAAAGAAAGCGATCCAGTCTCAGCAGCGATGCAGCGGTTTAACCGCAAACGTGGTATCTACCAGGTCATCACGATGGACACGCCGCTCGAGGATCTCGAACAGTTCTTCGAGAGCGAGACGGGACCAAATGGCGAGAAGCGCGAGAAGCAGCAGTTTGCTGTTGTCACTGATTTGGCACGCAAGTTTGTGCTTGGTGTTGCTACCAAGGCGGACTTGGAGGAGTTTGTCAAGCGCAGACCTACCTAAGCTGATAGCCGAGGAGAATGAGAATGGGAATATGTAGACTGGTTTCTGTTTGGCACTGCATATCGGCGTATCTGTCTATACCGAGGGCATGGGTTGAGGTTTTCTTTTTGGTCTCTACCTGCCGTTCCTTCAACATGAACAGCACATTTCTAATATGAGCCTTGACTGTCGGGAATGAAGTGTGGAACTTGGTATCCGAGGAATATCCGGGATATCTAACAGTCAGATGAATAGCTCAATCAATATGTAGTTTTACAATTGAGTTCTTAGATGGTCAAAGTTGTTCCATCCCAGTTATACAAAAAAAAAAAAAGAAACCCCAACCACCCGAAGAATGCCGCAACGCCGAAAACAGTAATTGTGTGATCTGGAATCACCCAGGTCGAGTTTTATCCACTCTACTGGGCTTTCTTTGAATCTGACTTGCTAGCTGCTTGTCTGTCCTCCTGGTCCTCCGTCCAGGCGACATAGATATATGCGAACAAGACCACGTTGGCGGTAACGGCGGCGGTGACTCCGGCGAGTGTCGAGCTCCCTACATAACATCAATTCAATTTAGTATTTGTCAATTGCAAGTTGGGAGGTGGAGAAATACTCACCACTGAAGATTGTATTCACAGTCAGGAAATACATGCCAATGGGGCCAGCGATCATGGCAGCTGTAAAGCCAAGGAGCTTGTATATCACATCTCTAGATATCAAAGCTAATTAGAATGTGTCTTGAAAGATCAACTTAAGCTTCTAAGGCCTATTTATTTATCTTACGCAGGAACAGCTGGGGCCACGTCGGAAGTGCCTTGCGGCGCAGGCTTCGCTGTAACATCGGCATAGGACTGGGTGTGAGGGCGACGGGCAGACATCCTTGTTTTCTCTTGGGGTAACAGTTTTTTTTTTAACAGTTTTTTTTTTTTTTAAAAAAAAAAAAAAAAACAAAAGGTAAAGGTCAAACGGATGTAAAAGGGAAGGCCTATGGTGAGAGAACAAAGGAACTGAAGCTATCGCAATCGCAGGTGCGGAGATAACTTAGTGCCCGCAGTGCCCGCCGTCACATGCTGGGATTTGATTGGTTGAATTGATGTATATCCCATGTGACTGACTCTCTTTGTTTCGTTCGCATTTGGCAAAAGCTACGATCTATTGTTTATTCAATTTAACAAGTTCAATATATTCAATATAGACCTAAGCCTCATTCGACGGTCTTCATGTGATTGAACTTCTTAATGTCTTACTTCGTATGTCTTACTTTCTTTGTTCGAATTTACAGCTTAATTGACGGATCTCACACGTGATTGGGCGCGTCCACTGTCGCGCGTGTCCGCTTTGGCAGAAAACAGAAAAAACGTTCCTGAATAGAGCAGAACAATTAAATGGCTTCTATGGTTCAATGACATTGTTAGTTTTATGAGAGATGGATGAATCGGGCAATAATACTCCTCCTCGAGATATAAAAACCATTCCGAGTACCCCCCTGGCGAAGACTACGAAACTCTCGCCACTCTTCCAGCGATAACCCCGTCGCAAAGATTGACCCAACCAACACAACTACTTGAACACCCTTACACACGGCAAAATAGCACTGTCATTCAAGTCGCTGCATCTTCACCAATAGGCCCTGCCTATTCTCCTCCCCCGCCGAGTCCAAGGCGGTTTACTTTCATCCTTAATCGCTCCTTCTGGGACACAATTCAGACCTCCTGCCTCTGGTCCTACAAAACGAACACCAACATTTGATCTTGAGGACGGACCGACATATCGAGGTGGATCCTCAGACGAAGAAGATCTACAAAACACAGATATAAAACCATCTTTGTTTGCGAAAACCATTCGGAGCCCCGAAAAAGAAAAGATCATGGAGTCTCCCGTCCGCCCTGACACCGGGCCAATGGATCGCTTCCGAGAGATTACAGCCTCTGCAATGTACGATCCGAACAATCCTGGAACCGCAATCAAGCGGACTGCAGATGAAATGAGTCCGCCGGAACCCAAGGGAGTTGCCTTGAAAAAAGTGCGCCAAGATGCGCCATCTCACGCACAGCCTGTGGGAGTTCCAGACATCCAGCTTCATGAAATCAACGACTTCAGACTCCGCGTCAAGGTTGAGCGCATTCTCAAAGTCATGCCGCATATGACTGTTAGAGCCTGTATGGACGCCATGTTGAAAGCAAAGGGCAACTACGACGACGCCCTCCAAAATCTTGCAAAAATGGATGCTGCTGAACAGGAGAATGGTCCCGTGGTGATTCAATCCTCCGATGATGAATTGAGCGCCTCCCCGGCTGCGGGCCCGGTCCCCATGGCCAAGCAGAACATCAAAGCCCGTGGCACCATTCAGGACAAGTGGGCAGCAATGAAGCAGCCCAAGGGCCAGGATTCCGATGACGAAGGAAAGCCTCGTCGCCGACTGATTCGTGGACCCAAGTCTGGAGGCTCTTCCCGTGCTGTTTCGCCTGTTCGTTCTATCACCATCGACGGGGACAGTCCCCCGAAAAAGAAGCTGGGACGGCTCCAGAAGGGTCGCAAAGCTCCTTCACCTGACCGATCTGAGTCCCCCGAGGCTATGATGAGTGATTCGGACGATTCTAATATTGAGATCCAAGAATCCACCGCTGGCGGTTTGGATTCCAAGGTTTTGAAATTCCTCAAAACATGCAGTGTTCAGGATCTCGCTGATCTCGCTTCTATCCCCCAAGAAACTGCTCAAATTATCATTTCGAACCGTCCATACGAGACCCTCGATGCGGTGCGTGTTGTCTCTGCTCCAGTTGCAGAGACTGTGAAGCCCAAGGGCAAGAGAGGAGGCAAGGCCCCCAAGCCCATCGGTGACAAGATTGTCGACAAGTGTATTGATATGTGGACTGGATACACGGCCATTGACACTCTTGTTACCGAGGTTGCGGCACTTGGTAAACCAGTTGCTGATGAGATGAAGAAATGGGGCGTCGACACCTTCGGGAAAAAGGGAGACTTGGAAATCACCAACCTTGCTCCTGCTCCTGCCCCTGCCAAACCAGAGCACGACTCTGGCATTGCTACTCCTGCGACTGAACACCAATCTTCCGGAAGTGACGAAGAAAGCGGAAAACTGGTTGTTTCCAAGCGCAAATCACGTTTTATCTCGCAGCCCGCTATCATGGCCGACGACCTGGTCATGAAGGATTATCAAATTGTGGGCATCAACTGGCTCGCATTGCTATTCGAAAAGAAACTCAGCTGCATCCTGGCCGATGACATGGGCCTGGGCAAGACTTGCCAGGTCATTGGATTCCTCGCGCATCTGTTCGAGAAGGGCATCAAGGGCCCTCATCTGATTGTTGTCCCTTCTTCCACCATTGAGAACTGGCTTCGCGAATTCCAGAAGTTCTGTCCAGTCTTGAACGTCATGCCATACTATGCTGGTCTCAACGAGCGTGCGCTTATCCGGGAGGAGATCGAGGAACGACGTGACGAGATCAACGTTGTGATCACCACCTACACGATTGCCAAGGCGAAGCTTGATGCCAAGTTCTTGCGTGACATGGATTTCACTGTTTGTGTCTACGACGAAGGCCACATGCTCAAGAACCATCAATCTCAGCTTTACGAAAAGTTGATTCGAATTCGGGCGCGTTTCCGTCTGCTTCTCACCGGTACTCCTCTCCAGAACAACTTGCAGGAGCTGGCATCTCTTCTCGGCTTTATTCTTCCCTCGGTCTTCCAGGATCACAAAGATGATCTTCATGCTGTCTTCTCCAACAAGGCAAAGACCACCGACGAGTCCCATGCTACCCTCCTATCCCAGCAGCGCATTGAGCGCGCGAAGTCGATGATGAAGCCCTTTATCCTCCGACGAAAGAAGCATCAGGTCATTGATCTTCCAGCCAAGCACTCCCATGTCGGTTGGTGTCAAATGAAGCCTTCTCAGGTCAAGATTTACGCCCATGAAAAAGAGCAAGTGCGCCAGCTGATGGAAGATCGTGCCGCTGGAAAGAAGACTGGTTCGAAGTCCGCCAACATTCTGATGAAGTTGCGCCAGGCTGCTATTCACCCTCTCCTTGCTCGTCGCCATTACACAAATGAGATTCTGCAGAAGATGGCTAAGGCCTGTTTGAAGGAAGACAAGTGGTCGCTATCCGACCCCAAGATCATTTTCGAGGAACTCAAGGCGTACAACGATTTCGAGTGCCACCACATGTGTGTGGAAAACCCCCAATCCCTTGGCAAGTTCAAGCTGAAGAGCAACGAATGGATGGACTCCGGCAAGGTGGAGCACCTCAAAGAGCTTCTCACCCGTTTCATCGACAATGGCGACCGCACTCTCATATTCTCTCAGTTTACAATGGTCATGGACATTCTTGAGCACGTCTTGGAGACACTGAAAATCGAGTTCGTCCGCCTGGATGGTCGCACCAACGTCGAGGACCGCCAATCCATTCTCGACGCCTTCCACGACCGCACCGAGATCCCCGTTTTCCTTCTGTCCACCAAGGCCGGTGGTGCCGGTATCAACTTGGCCTGTGCCAACCGCGTGGTCATCTTCGACTCTTCCTTCAACCCACAGGAAGATGTGCAGGCTGAAAACCGTGCCCACCGAGTCGGCCAGAACCGCGAGGTCGAAGTCTACCGTCTGGTGACCCAGAAAACCATTGAGGAACAGATCTACGCACTAGGCCAGACCAAGCTGGCACTTGATCAGGCCGTTGCTGCGGACGAGGAAGCTAGCACGAAGAAGGGTGAGGAGGCTGGCATGAAGGTCGTCGAGGAAATGATCATGGCTGAGATCGAAGCGGAGACAAAGAAGTGAATGAGCACAACAAGGAAATGAGAAAAAGAGCAAAAACGAAAAAAAGGGTACACTGGAGTTTCTGTTGTGAGGATCTGCATGGTGATGCATTTAATACCGTGCCGAACATGGCACAGTGAGTACATGGTGTTTGGGATCAATATCATGGCGATCGTTCGGAATCGAATATCATTTGTTAGATTAGAGGATCAGGGATCAGAAATCCAATTGTCATTGATTTAGTGCACAATTCTTGTAAAGCGTTAAGTAACATGTATTGTACTACAGTAGGTAACTAACTAGTCATCCAGGAATGAGAACGAGATATGTAAGTTGGGGAATAATCTTTGGACAGAACAGATGGAAAGCAATCGAAAACACCTCAGAATGCGGATATAAGTAACATGAAAAGCAACAATTAAGCGAGGACAAAAAAACCAAGGGCTATGCATGTGGGCCGAGAAAAGAGCACGAAAGAAAGCAATTATAGACGATAAATGGAGCCAAAGGTGCAAAGTGATATTTACGCCGTCACCTGAGATGGAGCCTCGGTCTGTGCAACGGGAACAGGAGCCTCGACATCTGGTTGCTCAGCTGGTTGCTCAGCATCAACTTGAGTAACCTTAGTCGGCTGAGGAGCAGAAGATCGCCGAATGGGACCGCCTCCATGAACAGCCGGCAAGGGCGCTTTAGTCCGAACAGCATCGCCGCCAGCCGCACGAGCAGTCTCGGACTCCTTAGCATTCTGCACAGCCTTAGACTGGGTGGGTATATCATGTTCAGACTGGATGGATGTATCAGGTTCAGACTGGCTTGGTGGAGAAGCCTTCCACTGATTATCGAGACCCAAAATTTGATCAAGACCCGCAGCTGCAGGAAGCAAATCCTCGAATTTCAACCGGCGGCAGATATCAAGGTACGTCTTCAACAGCTTCGTATCCTGGAACTCTTTGACCTTGCCGGGGATCAGCATGTTAAGCAGGTACTTGGTATTGCCCAGACGGTTCTCCGACTCGATACAGAAGCGCAGGTACTCGTAGACGAGCTCCGGCCACGGGGAGAGACCGCCATCCTCCTTGGTGCGGAAACAAGACGCGTTAGTCTCCGCGGAGGTGGCGATCATCGCGCCGTCAACTCCGTGCTCGTTCATCAGCGCAAGCCCGTGGTCACGCGAAGTCACGTCGCCGTTCATCACGCACGCCACACCGGCGTCGTGGCAAATGCGCACTATCATTGGGATCTGGTCACGGATTGCGGGTTCGCGTGGTCGCATGGGAGTAGTGCGACAGTGGACTGTCAAGCCTGTGATGCCTGTCTTCACAAGGCGGGAGACGAGGGCCTCTGTTTCTTCGGGATTGGAGAGGATGCGAATCTTGACCGAGATGCCGATTTGGTAGGGTTCGCCGATTTCCTTGACGAGGGACTCCAGAATACAGACGAGGAGGTCCGGGGTGCGGAGGAGGGCGGCGCCCATGCCACCGCTTGTGGAGAAGGGTTTCGGGCAGCCGGAGTTGACATCGATGCCTGAGACGTCGCCGGCCACAACATGCGCTGCTTGTACTGCTAGAATCGGGTCGGCTGTGCCAAGTTGGAAGATCAGCCGGCCTTTTTCGCGCTCTGGGTCGATACGGTAGATGATTGATTTTTTGGCTGTTTTGTTGGCGCGTCCGCCGTTGCTGGGCACGCGAGTGAATTCGATTGTGCCGTTTCGTGGGTTCACTTGTCGCTGGGTGCCGATCATAGAGCGGTCAATTGTTTCAGGGCCCCAGACAAGGTCGGCGCCGTATTTCAACGCTAGGAGGCGGGAGGGTAGTTCGCCCGATCGGACCATTGGCGCGAGGACGATTTTGTTGCGGTAGTCAACACCCTTGGGGGAATGGGCACGCGCGGCACAACGGCCGGCACAGGGGCAGGTGCAGTTGGAGTTGCGGTTGCGAGGGTTGCCATTGTCTTGCGGAGAGTTCTGATCATAGCATTCCTAGGTATTGCGGGGAGAGGGGAGTATATAGAACGGTCTTTTCTTTTTTTCTGGGTATCCTCCCGATAGAAAGCTTGGGTCACGTGAAGATAGTGGCGATAACTCTCTTTTTTTTCTTTTCAGGGCAGGTAATTGGATTTCATGTTTTTATGTAATCTAAATCTTAATGGTATTTTTGAGCACCTTGTAATATCAAAGCAACCAATGATTGGGCTTCCCTTGAAGGATCATGACATGCTCTACTGTGAACATTGAATGTGTTTGTCTACGATTTTTCTCCAGGTTTGATGATTCTAAGATTATAACTCTACAATTGAAGTGAATACAATTGCAATTGATCTATAGACCGCGTATACTGCCGATATCGGGGTGTCTGGCAGTATGGGGTCGGGTATGTACATGCAGTGCACATCCTACCAAATAGTTAAAAGATGTAGTGTATATGTACCTACCTTGTGTCTTATAATATCCCTTAATATGTAGTGCGAGCACGAGACTTCAATTGTATACAATATACACCCGCAATTGACTAGATCAGTCGGGATATCAATCTAATTCGGGTTGATCATAGACATGCCGACTTTCGGAACTGCTATGATTTTTTTTTTTTTTTTTTTTTTTTTTTTGTATTTTCTTTTCTTTTTTTTTTTTCAGACAAACTTCCGACGCAGTCAAAGGGGTAACACCACCACGCATCACAACATTGAACACATTGAACATATATACTTGTGTGATTAAAAGGTACAATTTCAAGTTTTGTATCAGAAATACTAAATATAACAAAAAACCAAACATATTAAACCCATTTCCATCACAGCCAATGACTCGTCCTCCTTTGGCCCGACTGGGAAGTGCTACCTCCACCGCCTCCCGTTCTATTTGGCGCACATCAGCAACGCTGGCTCCCCCCACTTTGACTGCCCCTCTCTCTTCCTCTTCTTCCTTTTCTTCTCCCTTATCCCGTGCGGCCCAAGTATCTAGACACTTTTCGTCCGCTTCACCCAACATGTCTTACTCTATCCGCAAGATTGGTTCCCCATACACTCTCGAGCACCGTGTGTTCGTTGAGAAGGATGGCGTCCCCGTCTCTCCCTTCCACGACATTCCTCTCTACGCCAATGAGCAGCAGACCATCCTGAACATGGTCGTTGAGATCCCCCGCTGGACCAACGCCAAGCAGGAGGTACGACAACACAATACTTCAATTGACCCCACCACATGCTGATTGCATCAACAGATCTCCAAGGATGATTTCCTCAACCCCATCAAGCAGGACACCAAGAAGGGCAAGCTCCGCTTCGTTCGCAACTGCTTCCCCCACAAGGGTTACCTCTGGAACTACGGTGCCTTCCCTCGCGTAAGTTTTGGACCTCCCACCCGTGGATAGGAAGAGGGGTAAAAAAAAACTGACATGTTACGAACCAGACCTGGGAAGACCCCAACTCCGTCCACCCCGAGACCAAGGCCAAGGGTGACAACGATCCCCTCGATGTTTGCGAGATTGGTGAGCTTGTCGGCTACACCGGCCAGGTCAAGCAGGTCAAGGTTCTCGGTGTTATGGCCCTGATTGACGAGGAGGAGACCGACTGGAAGATCATTGTCATCGATGTCAACGATCCTCTTGCTCCTAAGCTCAACGACATTGAGGATGTCGAGCGCCAGCTTCCCGGCCTCATGCGCGCCACCAACGAGTGGTTCCGCATCTACAAGATCCCCGATGGAAAGCCCGAGAACCAGTTCGCCTTCTCCGGCGAGTGCAAGAACAAGAAGTACGCCGAGGATGTCATCCGCGAGTGCTCCGACGCCTGGGAGAAGCTTGTCTCTGGCAAGACCGCCCGTGGCGAGATCAGCCTGTGAGTTCTACCCAAATATATCCTTTTTTTTAGGATGTTGAAGCTAACTAGCGCCAGTGCCAACTCCACTGTTGAGGGATCTGCCGACCGTGTTGACCAGGCTCAGCTCGCTGCCATCCCCCGCAACGAGACTCTGCCCCCTGCTCCCATTGATGGCAGCATTGACAAGTGGTTCTTCATCTCAGGTGCCGCAGTATAAATGGTGTTTTTTGCCAAAGAAGTATAAAACTAACCAACCATTTCAAGCCTATGATCGTCTACCTGGTGGAGATTATGTTCTTCGATTCCCCGAGGAGAGGTCCCATTTTTGAATTGTGAATGAATTGCTCCCTATACTTATTCTTTACCGCCGCGGCCTAGAGAAAAGTAGTCTCGATGGGCAGGATGCAAATCTGAGCAACTGGATATGTAGCAATGAAACTGTCACCAAATCCAACCGATTGTGCAACCTTAGAAGATCTTCAAATCTACTCCACTAAGCCCAATGTCAGGTAACTATGAGGCATACATAAACAGCCTATGTTCTTTACCAAAGTAAGAATAATTCAAGTATTCCGACATGCCCAACAGCGCCAAAAATCGTCAGATGAAACAAATGATAGGTAATATAATACACGAATGCACAGCTCGAACAATATAACTTTCCCCTAGTTGTTCAGGCTGGCCTCCCGCTGCAGAGCTCTGCCAACACGGGATACCTCTTCGATAACATCGCCAATCTTCAGCCCGCGCTTTCCGACATCCAGCGTAAGCTCCTTGCCGCCCTTAAACCCAACAGTCATGGTCGGTGACTCGGTGGAGTTCCGCGGCAATTGCTTGACCTTAATATCGATATGGTTCGGGCTGCTTGTTGGGATAGTGTTTGGTGTGCGCAGCATGCCGAGGAACAGACGGCATGGCCGGGATCCACGGGAGAAGGGGTTGTAGGCGGTCCGGAAGGTGGTTATCGTGGCGATGGGGATGGTCATTGTTGCGGTTTGGGTTGGGGGTGAGAGGGGCGGGGGAGGTTTTGTAGGCTGGTAAATTGATCAGTTTTTCGATCTTTCCGGAATGAATTATATCCTGTAGCTCTGTCTTGGTTGTGTTGTTGCGTACCTGAGTGGATGAGGGCCGGCGGGAAGTTTTTTTTAAAGGTGGTGTTTGCTGGGGTTGATTCCGCGGCGGTTGGACAGTTAACTCGCGAAAGATTGATCCAAGGAGAATATCGCGTGGGTCTCAGTCTGTCTGCGACAAGTCTGAGAGTTAAAGGCGCAAGGTCAATTGGAAGTCCTAACTACACCAGAGTCGCCGTTGCGAATTGCGGTTGGAAGAATGGGGCATGTTTGACTCAGATGCAAACACAATGCCAAATGACGCCCGTCTACATGGCAACTTGGAGTGGAACAACTCGACACTTTCAAAGCAACTTATTCCTTTAAATCTCTCAGGATATTCTCCGCTAGTATCTATTTTCAAAAACATTCCTTCAACTCGCCGAACAGATAGCACTTTGAATGTGTTACATCGAATAAACAATACTCTCATCGCAAGATGTCCCCCACGACAGCCCTCCAGGGCCGCGTGAAAGAGCTCTCAACTTCTCTGGGACAAATTCAACCCCTTGTGGATCGATTACGCGATTTTACTGCTTCTATCGGACAGGGCGATGAAGCCCGCCTGGAGCTTGGGAGTGAAATACATTCCCGACTGAAGGAAGCCGAGCAAGAGCTAGAGCTGCTGCGTGTAGAAGCCGAGGCGCTGGAAACCGGCTCTGATAGCAGGCGCAAGGCCCCTGCTGTTCATGGACAGAAGGAGGCTGAGAGGGAGCGGGTCATTTCGATGGTGGGGCGATTGGCTGAGGATCTCAAGAGGTAAGATACTCTTAACGACTTGCACATGCCGAGGATATTTCCTTGTCGTAGTCCACTGGCTAGTCTTTATATATTCAGCATATGCTAATCGACCCTCCAGAACACGAGGTGAATTCCGAACTGCCCAATTACAAGCGAAGCGGAAAGCCGAACTTGCCAAGCGGCAGGAGAGAGAGTTGCTGCTGTCGAGATCGCATTCCTCCGAGAAGAAGCAGCCGACAGAGAAGTTTACCCAGGATGATCTTGTTTTGAACGCCTCGAACGATGTGACATCTGCGCTACGCAGAACCCATCAACTCATGCAGGCGGAGCTCTCCCGCAGCCAATTTGCCCAATCGACCCTTGGTGAGTACCTCTTGCCTTTTCTCTGATCATACCGGATGCTAATATCTTTCGGTTAGAACAATCCACAGCCGCGATCTCATCTCTGTCCGAGTCTTATAGCGGCCTTGATACACTTCTCTCCTCGTCCCGCAACCTGGCTAACTCCCTTCTCCGCTCCCAAAAGTCCGACACGTGGTACCTTGAGACTGCTTTCTATGTTCTTATTGCAACAATCAGTTGGCTTCTATTTCGACGTGTCTTCTATGGGCCTCTTTGGTGGCTTTTATGGCTGCCTTTGAAGTTCATCGGTCGGGTCGCGTTTGCAACACTAGGTGCAGCTGGACTGTCCACTACAGCTGCGCAGTCTGCTTCTCAGTCCCTCGCAGGGGATGTCTCTACGGCGATTCATCAAATGGCCACGGCGGCTACAACAGGAACCGTGACAGCCAGTATCACTGCCTGGGAGCAAGAGCCGTCAGCACCGATCGATAGCGATCGTGTAATTGACAAAATTGGTGACATGGTTGAGCAAGAGAAACAATCAAGCGTAGACATCGACGATGTCACCCCGGAGGAGAGGGCAAGACAGGCAGAGCTTCCCCGGAATACAAAAAGAGGATGTTCGAGGCCGGGATGGAGGAACCGGTCCGAGACGAGCTATAGATATTGATCCGAGCATTAATGAGATACCATGCAATCATGAACTTTGCAATCTTGATCTTTGTAGTTTCTAAGACCACCATTGAAGGTGAGGATGGGGTTGAAGTATATCGAAGCAGTGAGCTGCTCTCATTGGTCGGTATGTTTAAGTGCTGCGCGTGTCACGTGGAGACGCGTCTCGATTGTGGAGGGCGTCAGAGAGAGAGATCTTCAACACATCGCAGACCAGCTCTCGAGATAACCCTGACTTTTGCTGATTTCAGGCTATTCAACAACAATGGCTGCTTCTTTTTTTCAATAATAAGGCTCGTGCCGCTGCCGTCGCAGCATCCAGTAGCTCCAAGTCTAAAGCTGGTGACAACAAGGAAGACACGACCCGACTCCAGCCGTGGGTTGAGAAATAGTAAGCCAATGCTTCATGTCGCACTCACCGAGCAATTTGACTAATATTTATTAGCCGTCCCAAGACCCTGGATGATGTTGCTGCGCAAGACCACACAACCAAAGTCTTGCGGCGGACTCTGCAAGCTTCAAACGTAAACCATCCAGCCCATGAACAATTGGAATAATAAAAATAACACCAACTAGCTCCCCCATATGCTCTTTTACGGACCCCCGGCACAGGAAAAACATCGACAATCCTCGCCCTCGCCAAATCCCTCTTCGGGCCCGCCCTCTACCGCTCCCGAATCCTAGAACTGAACGCCTCCGACGAGCGCGGTATCGGCATCGTCCGCGACAAAGTGAAGAATTTCGCCCGAGCCCAGCTCTCCCAACCAACAGGCCTGGATGCCGCCTACCGCGCACAGTACCCATGTCCACCATTCAAGATCATCATCCTCGACGAGGCAGACAGTATGACGCAAGACGCACAGTCCGCTCTGCGCCGCACGATGGAGACATACAGTCGGATCACGCGGTTCTGTCTTGTCTGTAACTACGTCACGCGCATTATCGAGCCGCTCGCTAGTCGATGCAGCAAGTTCCGATTCAAGATGCTGGATACTAGCGCTGCTGGTGAGCGGATCTCGAATATTGCGGAGCGGGAGGGTTTGCAGCTTGAGGATGGGGTTATCGATACGCTTATCCGGTGTGGCGAGGGTGATTTGCGTCGTGCTATCACGTATCTGCAAAGTGCGGCGCGGTTGGTCGGTGCTACGAAGCCGCCTGCTGTGAAGGATGCTGATGATGATGCTGAGATGACGGATGCTGGTAGCAATTCTAGTGTTATTACGGTTCGCAGCATTGAGGAAATTGCTGGCGTGCTGCCGGAGGACATTTTGGATTCTCTTGTGGAGGCTATGCAGCCCAAGAGTGGTGGGTCGGTCTACGAGGCTGTCTCGGGGGTGATTACGGACCTTGTGGCTGATGGTTGGAGTGCTACGCAGCTTGTTGGACAGGTTTGTTCTTCTTCTCTTCGTGTTGGCATTGCATCTTGCTGACCTCTTCTAGTTATACCGACGTGTAGTGCTCAACGAAGCAATCCCTGATATCCAGAAAAACAAGATTGTCATGCTCTTCTCGGAGATGGACAAGCGGCTGGTTGACGGGTCCGATGAGCATCTCTCCATGTTGGACCTTGCACTACGCATTGCGGGAGTCCTGAGTGGAAATTGAGAGGCATTCTGTCAAATCTCGATGACCCTCCTGGTCAGCAGTAAGATTCCCCGAATACTTGATTGAAAATAGAGATGGCGTTCGGGACAAGGACGGCCTACATGTTCGAGGCGTTATATTCGGATTTTCTTAGCCCTCAGATCTTGTTCGAATGAAATGATCATGATACCCTTCCACTTTTCTTTTTGTGTCAACTACTGGCGCCAATAAACAACATTGTAAAATGGTAAATTCCTCTAAATTATAGACAATTAATCATGGCCTTGATTCCTGGCCTTTGTTTCATTTTAGTAGGAATAAAGCAAGAGATATATACAAGCAACATGAAACAAAAAGCTAGGCAAAGTAGCACCATAGGAGACTAGCAGAGCTCATCTCTCTCTCTTATTCTGCTCAAAACCAATCATGAGATGAAATTAGAAAGTTTGCTTCGTTTTAATTCTCACTTTCTACCAACTTTCATCTGCCAACAAAAGCCTGGAATTCCCAAGTCTTGACACTCAACATACTCTGCTGATTCTCTATCAGGACTCGTATTTTTCGCTCATCTTGAGATGGACCCTAACCACCCTGCCAGACTGTACCATGGAGCTAGTCGCGACCCTCGTCGTGCTGGTAGAGCTAACCAAGGAGCTGGCCATGATGATAGACAACAGCATCACTACCGAATCCAACCATACCAGCAACAAAGCCAATACCAAATCCAACACTACCACCACCAGGTAAGCTATACGTTCCAAAAAATGTACTCCCCACTGTTGTGTCGATATCGATAGCATTAGCCTGGAGAGTGTACTTGATGATATTTGTACTGCATCCAAATGTCTTTTGCCTTCTCATCCTGCTCTTCAACATGCCCCTCTCATGTTGTATATGCTGTTTTGAAAATGAAACCCTTTGACCAACCACTGACAAATAAACTGGAAACTTATAGAGCAACACCACCCTCGCTTGTTACCTCTGTCACGACACCGGACACATTCAACGAAGTTGCCCACTACTCGCCCTTTGGAGATCTGCCATCGAGACACTTTGCCGCGTAAAAAACACCTCCCAGAACAAATTCCTTGATTATTTTCTAACATGATAACCTTAAGGACCGCAATATCGACCCAGGGAGCCTTCTTGAACAAATCGATCTCGTGAGTATTGATCCTAGAATGATCTCCCGCACCATAACTAACATATCATATCGATACAGGGGATTCTTGTTGCTGCTCTAGCTAGCGCTCTTCCCGATAGGGATGGCGATATCCCTATGCGGTAAGTCATTCTATAAGGGGTTATGTTCCTGGTCAACCGAAGACTCGAGTTATAGGATGCGGGAAGGAAACAACAGTTAAGCCCTAAATGGTGTATGGGTAGTGACTTCGACTTCATCGAGTCGTAGAATGAACTTTGACCCAATTGAATGCCTTGGGCTTTGAGGGAGCTTTCTACTTGTTAATAAGCTGGTATATCAAAGGTGGCCAGTTTTGTTGTCCTGCCCCGGGGCATCATACAAATGTTTTATGTATTCCTTTGAAATGCGGGGGCATAAAGGGCTCTACTTGGACAGGACCCCCGAGCCGGCATAAGCTGGGTCCTGGTTGGCGATGTGTATAAATAAACCTTTGAGAATTCATTCTCTTTGCAAACCCACAGAAATGTTTTCGAAAGTGACAGAAGGTGAGACTAGACGGTCATCATCTCTTCCTACCATGTACACTCCAGAAGGATAGAAAGAGCTTGCAAGCAGATGCTCTTGTAGATAGTGAAGCAAATGGAATCTCTAGTTTCAAAACGTTTCTATGGCCCACCCGAATGCACTCTAAAACGCTAAAAGCATGTCAGGTCTATTTCATCTCTCATTTGACCTCACCGTTTACTGAATCACCAGCTTATGCCGACGCACAGTGACCACCATCGACTCGGAGATCAGCACCTGTCATCCAAGCGCTAGAATCAGTGAGCATGTATAGAGTAGGTCCCTTGAAGTCCTCGGGGGTGCCAAGACGTCCGAGAAGTGCACCACGCATCCAAGTCTCCTCCAAGTCCGGCTTCTCCTGAAGCAAAGCGTCGGTCATGGCAGTGCGAATATACTATGATATCAATGGTCAGCCGAATTCACTCAGACAAGCCAGAACAGGAAATTGATCTCTTACTCCTGCAGACAGTGTGTTGACGCGAATATTGTGCTGGCCCCATTCTTGGGCAACCGACCGGCACATCTGGTGCACAGCGGCCTTGGAGGAGTTGTATGCGGTGCAGGTCAATCCCTACAAAAGATTCACCTGTTAGTGTATTATCTTCGAATTCAATCCGTTGCAAGACTTACCCGGTTGGCAACCTGACCAGACATAGACGCGATCATCACAATGCTGCCTGGAGTCTTTTGCTCCACGAAGATACGCGCACAGTGCTTGGCGGGAATAAATGTCCCAAGAACACTGAATAGGAAAACGGCAATCAGCAAGATGATCTTGCATCACAACATTATCCGACTCACTTGACATCCAGCATCTTCCGATATCCATCGACAGGGTAATCAAGAGCGGGGACCATCTGTTGAATGCCAGCACAAGTGATGGCACCACGCAAAGGCTTGTCCCTACGCAGTGCCTCGGCCGCAACGTCTCCCAACACTTTCTTAGTGTCCTCCTCATTGGTGATATCGCACTGGGTGTATGTTGCTTGAAGGCCACGCTGCTTGGCCAGCTTCTGCACGGCGCTCCATTCCTCTTCGCTGGGCCCGGGGAGCAGATCAAGACAGGCAACATCGCCACCAGCTTCAAGGACAGCAGTTGTCAAGCACATACCCAGACCACGGCCGCCTCCGGTGATCATGACTGTGCGACCGGCCAAAGAGAAAAGGTCATCGGCAGGCACGAAGGCAGCAGGGGTCTCGTTGGACTCCGGCACGACTGCCGGTGTGGTGTGGTCGAGGGAGATAGAAGGGGCCATTGTGACTCAAGGTTAGAGCTATGATGGATAAGAAAGGATGAATATGAAATGGTAGATTTGATTATTTTAACAACAGATTGGAGCGTGTCTGCTGCATATAAGACACATGCTCCAGCGCGTCATCCTCAGCCAGGCAATCGCTTATAATGGCTATATGCAACCTAACTAGGAAGTTTTCAGCTCGATGGATCATAGTAGAACGGAATTGTACGAAATCCATTTGAGGTCCAATTTTTCAAAGGCAGTCGCCGATTTCGACAAATCATGCCGATATGCGCAAATAACGATCTGGTCGTGAAGCCAGATTCCTTCTCAACGGTGCTAAAATATGCTGTTTAAGGAATGGTGCGACTGCATATCAGTGGGGAAATAGGGCAGCAAGCTGGGGAACAAGCTGGGGTTGAGACCAGATATTCCACGTGACTGTGCTTAAACTTTCCTAATCAGGAAATATATAGGGTCGGACTACTGGGACCCCCCTCAGCTGCAGGGACCCCCCTTTGGCTATATGGACCCCCCTCTGCCTGATTTTGATGCCTGAAAATTTGTCTGCTTCCTACCACAACCTACAACAACTGCCACTGCTTGCCCGCTTCCCAATGCGGACACCGCCCGGCCCCATAGTGCATCCTAATACGGTTAGCGCGTTAGCTTCCAAATAGCAACAGCCATGTTTATACTATAGCTCCTATGGTACCTCCTTTAACTATGTAAACCTCTAGTTATTATAAGTCACTTTTACGCAACAGGTAAATATCCTCATCAATGCATCTTCTTCCCATCGTTTCCCTGTCTCCCAACCTGCACTATTGTCACCCCATTTTACATCCTTCTTACGCGTTTTTATCTCTTGTTTATCGTCAAATGCTAGTCTACAATGGAGTGCTATAATGGCGCCTGCTACAGAGGAGCATGCATTTCGCGCCATTTTGGCAGATCAGCCTCTATTGCCTAATCGGGCAGGTACGGGGTGGCCAGCATTGAATTCAGCGCGTTGGGGCGAGCAAAATGGTGTATGGATGGCCTGGTAAACCTGGCAGGAAGAGTGGGTCCCGCGCAGGTCACGGGGTGGCAGAAAAACTGGCAATAAGGGGCAGGTGTTGGCAGTAAGGGCCCAGAAGGGTAATTCGATTGGTGCCTGACATGCATGGTGTCTGCCTTCCTAAAGAGGTAAAGGGGGGGGTCCATATAGCCAAAGGGGGGTCCCTGCAGCTGAGGGGGGTCCCAGTAGTCCGACCCTATATATATACATTGTTGTAGGTACATGCCATTTAAGAGATTAACCGGTCCAACTTAGGACTCGGCTCTTTGTTTTCCCCTACTAGTACTCCATACCTTTCCCACTAGTTGTGCACCAATATGTTCTACTCAATCTCACACAAAATGACTACATACCTAGGAGGTTGAATACATGGATTTACATGGTATTATACCATGTATTATGTTTAGTTATCATTTTAGTTAGCTGCCAGCTGTACCATACATTTGGTATATAATAACTGTATGCATAATGTCGGCTTCCTTTAGCTCGGCAAAAGCACCTAGCTCAGTTAGACTGATATCCAACAGATGCGGCATTTTCCATCGTCATTGCCCCCCACAAGGCATCCCGCAAAACGCGGAGTTGACCCGGCGGAACCTAAATTATGGCCGGGGAAGTTCATCGGCCATGTGGGAACTTAAGCCACAGTGTCACAGAATGAATGGAACCCCTTTTGATTGACTATGATACTGTCCCCGGTTGTTCAAGTTATAAAACCCTCGGGGGCCCCACTACTTTGGGTAGCCCAGTCACTACAACCATCATGACTTTCCTCGTGGGTCGGTCGTTAAGCTACGCCATCACAGCCACTGCTGGTAGTGGCTTCTTACTGTAAGTAGACGACCCTAGTGTCGTCAGATCAAGTAAATAGGTTGTTCGGCTGACAGGGGTGATCAGGTTCGGCTATGACCAGGGTGTTATGTCCAGTCTGTTGACTGGAGATGCATTTGTTGCCACATTCCCTGAGATCGATACCACTGAGAACGGACACGGTAGTTCTTCCTTACAAGGCACAGTGTGAGTGGTCTGGTACCCTATATAGAAGAGAACGGAGACTGACTCTACATTATTTACGTACAATAGTGTCGCTATTTATGAGATTGTAAGCGCTCGTTTGTTTTCAAAGTCCCATGCTATCACATTTCTAACATGCTTAGGGCTGTTTCTTGGGTGCAATTGTTTCTTTGCTCGTTGGTGAACGACTCGGTCGACGCAATTGTGTCATGGCTGGATGTGTGGTTCTGAGTATCGGTGCTGCTCTTCAAGCCAGTGCCTATAGCATTCCCCATCTCATCGTCGGCCGAATCGTTGCAGGTGTTGGAAATGGTCTCAACACAAGTACAATCCGTGAGGCGCCCTTCAATTAGATTTTAACCCCCGTCTTTTTACTTTTATTTGCTAACATTGCCACAGCGGTCTGGCATTCGGAGATGAGCAAGGCAGCAAGTCGAGGCAAAGGAGTGAGTTATTCATAACGCCTCTTATAAGCTCTGGGTCTAACCTTCCGATCAGTTGGCCATCGAGCTAACCATCAATATCTTTGGTGTCATGCTTTCATATTGGGTTGGTGAGATTCATTCCTGCCCACACCATTGGCCAAGCCTTGATGTTAATTTTTGGCTGTTTCTTGTAGACTACGGGATGAGCTACGTTAAGAATGAAGCACAATTCCGATTTCCGCTTGCGCTACAAATTCTCTTCGCTATCGTGACCTTCCTCGGAATAATGTGTCTTCCTGAATCTCCTCGATGGGTATGTCAAAATACATTCAAATTCGTGGAGCACGAATTAACGGGATAGCTTATCCAACATGGCCGCGAAAACGAAGCTCGTCACATTATCTGGGCGCTCCAGCACAATGCTCGTGAAATCGATGAAGATGACCCTGTTGTGAACGTGGATGTTACAGAGATCTCTCGGGCAGTCGAAGAAGAACAGGAAGCATCATCTGGAGGTTCATTCAAACTTCTCTTCCAGAACAACAAGCAACGGTTCCTATACAGAACTCTTCTCGGTATGGGAGGTCAAGCCATGCAGCAGCTATCCGGCATTAACCTGATTACATACGTGAGTCATACAACTTGAAATTTTGATGTTAACGTTGCTAATGAACCCTAGTATGCTACTGTCATCTTCGAGCAGTCAGTTGGAATGTCCCACCACACAGCATTGCTATTGGCTGGCTTCAATGGAATCGCATACTTCTTTTCCTCCATGGTTCCCATTTGGACTATTGAACGGTATGTCGACCCATGATGGAGTCCTGACATTATGCTAATTTCTTCCAGCTTTGGTCGTCGTAAGCTCATGATGTTTGCAGTCATTGGACAGGGCTGCTGCATGGCTATTTTGGCAGGCACTATCTGGGATGGTGGACACACAGCTGGCCTGGTTGCGACTGTCATGCTATTCCTGTTCAACTTCTTCTTTGCAACGGGTCTTCTTGCTATTCCTTGGCTTTGTGAGTATTCCTTCATATAACATTGTGCTTTGAATGGACTCAGCGCTAACGAAACACGAACACGAAGTGCCCGCGGAATATTCACCACTCGCAATTCGAACCAGATCAGCCGCTATGGCGACTGCAACAAACTGTATGTATTTCGATTCTTTGATCAATGGCAAAAAGCTAATGAGTGTTAGGGATTTGTACATTCCTTGTGGTGGAAATCACACCAGTCAGCATTGGCAACATCGGATACAAGACCTATATATATTTTGCCAGTATGTGCCTTCTTGTTTCAGTCCAAATGCTTGAACTAACCGACAAACACAGTATTTAACTTCTTCTTCCTACCATTTATCTACATTTTCTATCCGGAAACGCAAAATCTCACTCTGGAGCAAATCGATCGGTTATTCACTGGCGAAAAGGTTCAGCTCCATTGGGACTCGTCGATGGGGATTGCAGGTGATGTGGGCACACGAGTTGGAAATGCTACAGCTAAAGACGTGGAGAACGTAAATGTTCAACATATTGAGTAAATCATTTTAGTGGTGGTTGTTTAGAGGATCAAAGGATTTTATTACGTCTAATATGACTATGTACCTATCTATACGTACCGGATATTTATTGTGGCATCTACAGGGGGAGGGAGACCTAAGTGAGCATCCATCAGCCTCTTGAATTTTGATTTGCATAGTAAAAAATGCATGGTTTTGTAGGTTTTCTGATTTCTATTTTCCATCAATTTGTCGTATTTCAATATGTCTTTCCTTCAGAGTATAGTAATGAAATTGTAGTCCTATCGATTTCATCCTATTAAGAGAACACAGCTCGGCTTATGGGTCCATTCGGGTCCTGCGCCTTTGTCCTGCATAGTGCGAGACGAGACAAGGAAAGTGTTAGGCTCTATACTTTCTCTTAATATAATCCTTCGTCTAGTTCTATACCTCCTTAATAAGATTTCAATCAGGTAAAAAACGTAGGCTATTCTATTATAATAACCCTAAGCTCCTTAAAGAAATCAAGAGTCTCTTTAGTAGTATACCTAGGAGTATTGTCGTATATAATAATCGGATCTTACTCCCTTTTTAGACGGAAGGAGCCTTCTATCATAATACGTATCATATAGGATTCACTATAGAGATATAGGGACTTCTAAAGTGAATTGAATCAATTGAATCTGAAATGAATCTGAAATGAATCTGAAATGAATCTGAATTGAATCTGAATTGAATCTGAATTGACTGTCGTAGTCCTTTCGAAGTATGGTGGTCACGAATTCAGTTTCAGTAGTCGAACAACTCCAACACTGAGCGCTAGACAAGCGGGAAACCTCAAGCCTGACAGTATCACTGAACGCGTTTGAAATGTCCGTTCGAGGTTGTGAATTTTGAGTGTGATAATAGAAGCAAGAAACGGAGCCATCATTAGGTGGTGCTGGATGGGGTTTGGGCCAAGGCATCTCAGCTCTGTAATAGGTAGCTTTGCATTCATATAGGGAAGCCATCGAGCTCGAATGCGACTACCTCGTAATCTGTCCGACTGCCAGATGGGACATGGCCCCTAAACAGGAACCTTGGTTTTTTTATGGTTGAGTGGTAAGATTGACTTGACTTTTTTCGAAGGTTATATATATGTAGAAAAATAAGAAATTTCTGGAGGGTATCAAGGAGTTAACGACCAATGGAGAAGAAGTTCTACTAGGATGGATGTCTTTATAGCACAACGTATCACGCGGTTTCGCAGTCGTGCGCCATAAGAGCAGCCTAACAATGGGAGCGGCAATTGGCCACAATAGGCCGTGACGAGGCTCTAAGTTCATATCATGAAGTATGACTGTAGTTCCTTCCTGATCAATTGGGATTTTAACCCATTTTTCACCGGATGAATAACGTGGTAAACGTGGGGAAACGGGGAAAACCGGACTTGCCCCTCATCTCAAGGGCGCCTAAACTTTCCTGATCCGGTAATGGTCTTTCACTTCTTCAATATTATCCATCCTTTGCGCAAACATCGACTGCTATCATCAGCTTATCCAAGATGGTAGCTTCTCGAAAATTGTCAAACATGCCCCTGAACAGTTCTCGGGCTAGCAGCGATAATGACGGAATGAGCCCACAGACTTCCGCTCCACTAGAACCGCAAGATTTGCATCCTCTAAACATGGGGATGGAACGCAGAAAACGTACGCGGACTGGATGTGTCAACTGCAGTCGCCGACGGCGAAAATGTGATGAGGCTAAGCCCACTTGCACGGGCTGCAAGCGCCGAGGTGACGAGTGCCAATGGCGTATGCTCGGAGCCTTTCGCGATTCCAATACCAAGGTGCTTGAATCAGATCATCCCTCGATGAGCCAAGGTGTGACAGCGAGCAAAAACAAGCGTCAGGGTATATTCAAGATCTTGAATTCCGTCCCCAAAACCTCACGGGCAAAAAACGCACCCAAGCAACAGGGTCACGGAGTTTCCGAACCAGTACATGAGCCGTCTCCGCCGCTTACTCTAGATACCAGTGCCACAGCCGTGCCTGTGTGTGCCACGGAAAGTACCCCGGATCCCACTGCCCCCTCGCTTACCAATGAGATCCGTAGTCCTAATCCCGCGCCTAACCTAGGTCTATCACCACCCTACTCCAGTGATACTTCATCACACCTGTCTCAGAAGTCCATTCAAAACAATTCCCCAGGCCATACTGGGTGTGTGATCAATGGGCATTACGTGGGACCTCACGCGGTGTCTCCCCAGCCTGATTATCCACCAACCATACAATGTGACTCCAATACGCTTCCCCAATCCAGGGACGACTCGTCGCAAATCCATAATTCCAGCCCTGAGTATATGATCGACGGCTTGAATGGGCTAGGGGGCTTAACTCAGAGCGCCCCGTTTCATTCATCTTTGACTGGATCTTACCAAACTGTTCCATCGCCATTGTTTGGTCACAATATCTTTTCCGACCCAGCCGATCTAGTCAATGATGTGTTTTTGCCGGGTTCTGCTTATGAAGCACTTCATACGGCTCTAAGAAACCGCCAACTATGGACTGCCCTGCCAGATATCCCAAATCGTCGCAGCTCGCAAGACTCCATTCCTCCAGTGCATAGCCCTGTAGCATTTGGTGATGTCGGGACGATTTCGAGGACCGAGCGGCAGTCTAGAGCCTTGGAATATAGCAGGCGGTTTTAATTATCGGCCGAAAGAGAACATATACTGTGGGGAAATTATCTTAATGAAATATGCTCCTGGGTAAGTTACCTGTGCGGACTCCATTATATTGAGAATCCATCTAACTCTGGAAAGCTCGACATGTTTGATAATCATCGCCATTTTGCTTCCACCTTTCCTCAAATGGCCAAGACTTCGACTCATCTTCGTTACTCTATATTGGCATTATCGGCACGACAGCTCGAAAGACAACAAAACCGGAAATCGCAGTCAGAGAGCCTATATTTGTATCAGGAAGCCATCCACCTCCTTCTACCTGAGTTGGAATGTAAAACTACTCCTGTCATAGCTTCTTGCGTTATCTTGTGTGTCTTGGAAATGTTGAGCTGTAGGTATCCAGGGTTTTCATTAACGTGCGTTTCAGATCTGACGAATGATAGGTAATCCCAAGGAATGGCGTCGCCATTTAGACGGCTGTGCGTATCTTATTCAATCAGCCGGTATCAATGGCTTCTCCGGGAAGGAAGAGCAAGCTCTTTTTTGGTGTTTTGCTCGGATGGGTATGAAGCCCTCTTTTCCATATTATCCACTATTCCTGACTTCAATCAGATGTTTGTGGTGGTCTCATATCCGAGGAGGAGACGATCATACCTATCCATAATTGGCGGCCAATGGATATGAGCTACAGCGAAGCTGCACAGACATTTATATCTTCGGCCAAAACGAATAGTGATACATATGCCAACTATACAGTATATCTTGTCGCGCGAACGTTGAACGTTCTTTTCGGCTGTGCTTCAAAAATGTCTCACCCTTGCACATCATGCCAATCAGTTCCCAACGACGATGGCGACTCATACGTTGATCGCTGGGCAGATTCGTTCGAGCGTGTAGAAGAGTGGTACGGTAATCGACCCGCCCAGATGAAATCTATATTCAGCGTTGCTGCTTCTGAGCGCGAAGGACTGGATCGAGCTTTTCCAATTGCGTTATATGGGAATGGGGCTGCTAGTAAGGTTCCTCATTCTTGCTAGTTGACCCCGTGGTACTAATATTGGTCAGTATCCGGGAACCAGATGTATCATGTAGCAGCCTTATTGTTGCTTCAGCGAAAGCCAAAGACATTGACATTGAGCAAGAGGCCAGTAAGCTGTCTTCTACGATTTTTTACTGCTCAAGGCTAATGAACAGATAGAGATCGGTTCTTTGGCATGCTCGACAAATATATGCAATATCCGCATCCAACGGTCATCAGTGAGTTTCTCAACCATTATTTCACTGAAAAAAAGAGGGGAATACTGCGCCGGGTTGCTAACCTTTACGATGTCTGTGACTAGTGGCTGTTGGACTAATGCACTTCAACCTTTGTGGATAGCTGGCAAGGCGATGTCTCACTACTCCGAACACACTGCCATTGTGGAAACTTTGGTCAAAATCGAACGTGAGACTGGTTGGGCTACTGCTTGGCGTGTTGAAGATCTTAAAGAATTTTGGGGTGAATACGATAATGACGAAGACAGTGATGTCGACATGGATTAAGTTTGAGAGTTCAACATAAATGTTAGTCTTCAAGTAATATATTGTGTTCCCTTCTCAGTCATCGTATCTTACCCGGTTGACATGCCATACTGATCTGTATGCGTTTATATCTAAATCGAACATCTAATACGTATCTTTCAGCCCGCTCTATTCCGAGTCCAGCAGATCAGAAAGCTTATCCAAGTATGCATGAGGTCTGACATCGCCAGAAACGAAGTCCTCCTTAGAACAGACACCAGTCAAGACACCCAGCGTACCACCAAGCTTCCCCTCAAGTCCAAAGCGAATATCCGTATTCGCGCGATCACCAACCATGCAAGCCCGGCTACGATCAAACTTGAACTTACCCTCGATGGAATCCATCATAGCCTGACTGGGTTTGCCGAGTGCAATTGGCTCCTTATTCAGCATCATTATCAACGGCGCGCTCATAGAGCCAGCGCCAGGGAACAGAGACCCAGAGCTCGGCAGGGTGGAGTCGATGTTCGTAGCGAGGAAGACCGCCCCGCGTCTGATGTAGTGGTATGCCAATGCCATCTTGAGGTAGTTCATGTGGAAATCGAGACCGACGAGCACGACACCGACTTCCGGGTCTATAATGGATTCATCGCCCGTCGCAATCTTCTTGTAGTCGTCTGGTGTGACGTCGCGGCGGTATGCGGGGTCTGTGCCGCCAATGAATGGGACGTTCTCGGAGCGGAGTTCTTGCTCAATGCCTGTCTCGCCGATCACGTAGACTTTACGCTTGTTTTCGGGGAGCTGGAGGATGCGAGAGATGTATATAGAGGAACTGTATGACGAGGAGAAGATCTCTTCCTATTTGGTTGTGAGTTACACGGCCTCGGGTGAATCTCATATGGTAATTGGTAATGGTTGGTATCACTGACCACTGTACTGGGGATTCCCAAGCCTTCAAGCTTCTTGCGGTAATCTGCGCGTGACTTGGTGCTGTTATTCGTCACGAAGACGACTTGCTTTCCTGCGGGGATTATCAACCTCCGCTTTTTTGCTGAATTGAGATTCAATGCGCACCATTGTTTCGGAGAAGCTCCAGTGTCTCCACTGTTCCGGGAAAAAGGTGGTCGCCGGACCATAAAACACCTAAATTATCATTGTCTCAGCGGTTGTTGCGACGGGGCGGGGTGGGCTGCGGGGGACCTCCGTGGAGGGACAGCTGGGATCGAACGAGCATGGGGGACACACCATCACAGTCGAAGAGGAATACCTGTATACAATTCAGTCAGTAAATAGGACCTCCGTGGTACATCAATGCAATCAAAAACGTATGCTTACATCAAACTTGGCCAGGAACTCCTGGAGGCCGGCCTTATCGCCGGTCAGGTAGCGGGGCGCGATTGAGGATTCTTTCGCCATGATACCGGTATGATCGGAATACACAAGTAAAGTAGTAAAGTACAGTAAGAACGGAAGATCAAGGTAAAGGAAGAAGTCAGAGTGAGATTTGAAGTAGATCAGAGCAACAAGAGTCTGTACCACCCGAAGCGACTCCCCGGTGAATTGCGGGGCTCTTTATCTTTTCCTTGGCATTCGATCGTCAACTACGTTGTTGTAGAATAGAGTATTGAAGGGGTTGTAGCCATTACGTCTCCTGGGATGTAAGAGCTTGCTATATATTTAAATAACAAGTTCAGTTTCCGACAAAAAGTAGAGGGTTGAGAAAGACTCTGAGGATATAAGTACTCACCACTAGCCAATCCATACCCCCAGAAATACCTACACCGTCAGTAGCGGAACACGGAGCAACATTCCATCTTCGATGCCCTAGTTCTCCCAAATTTAACGCCTCCGATATCTCCACAGGGTTCTTTGCTCCCTCTAGATCCTGTTTGTTGGCGAACACAAGAAGAGGAGCATCGCGGAGCTCACGCATGCCTTCCCAATTCAGCAAGTACGTTAATTCATTGGCGGCATCATCTAATCGGGCTATATCTGTCGAGTCGACAGCAAATATAATCGCGTTGGTCTTTGCGAAATAATCGCTCCACTCGGGTCGCAACTTGTCTCTTCCTCCTTTATCCTAGACACCAGACAGATCAGTGACGAGTTTTTACATATGTGTAGTCAATTTGGGAGCCTCGTCGAAAGCCATACCAAACAAACGAAGTTCATGCCTCCATGGGTCAATGACTCGAGATTAAATCCTACTGTGGGCATCGTTTCAATAGGACCAGGACCGTAGTCCTAAAGACACTCGCATTTAGTATTCGCCCACGAAAACTGACCACATTCAAATTACTTTCAGCTGTGAATATAGAATTGTTGTCTTTCCGGAATCGAACTGATCGAATTGAGCAAGGAGATCAGCACTGGTACCTGCAAATATCCCAGACTTAGATACGAAGAACATATAGCATACCAGTCCTGCAATAAGTATTTGATATTTCTTCTTCTGCCAAAGCGAAGATATTGGCAATGATACCGTAGAGCCCATATTGACGTCCTTGGAAAACAAGGAGACAGTGACGACAGGCAGAAGTATGTCGTTTTGGCCTGCACACTTTCGCTAAACTACTTCGGGTATTTCCACTGGCCGATCTTAACCAAACTGATATTCTTAACTCTGAACAGGAACATGTGTCTACAGTAACCCGAGGCCCTATTTTGCTTTGTCCGCATATATCGTCAATCCGGACCACTTTGTCATTTTTAAATTATGCCCAGCCTAGGTGTAGTTAGAGATTGATATTCCATTAATTTCAATAACGTAAACACTATTAGAACAGACAGCTAGCGCCTTTAGAGAAGGTATCTCTGACCGTTTCATAGTCAAAATTAGACCTCCGCACCGGCCCATAAAGCCCATAGCCCAACCCGGACCAACCCGCAAATAGGCTGGTCTTTGGGCCAGTCCTTAGGCCCATCGATAGGCCTTAGGCCTAGGATAAACGCCCACTAGGCTTTTATAGGGGCCCAATAGGCCTCAAACAATACAAAAATGCTAATTCTTAGCAGATTCATAAGTAATGCAGATTCTTCTAGTATTTTTGAGTATTTAAATTACCGCCTAAGACCTAAGTTGACCGAGTCTTTATAGGAATTAAGTCTATCAATTGGTAGAATTGACTATAGATAAGATTTATAAAATCAATAAGACTAATAAGAGTAGCGCCCTGGCAAACACAAAATTCCCACCGAACGCAAAATCTAGAAAATCAAGTACCTTTTGTATTGGTAAGTCATATAGAATATACTTATTTTCTAGATTTTGCGCGCACCAACAACCGGGGACCGGTTGTTGGGCGCTTGGCACGGCTAATTAAAAGAAGAAGATCTTGGGAAGGAGGTATTTACATAATAACCTTAAAGTGGCATTTGAAGTTTTCAAAGGCACTAAAGATGCACCTACTTCTGTCTATATAGAATATATATATCTGCACATTGATAATCTATCACCTATTGAACCCCCGTATTAGGCTAGACTAGAGCCAGCGGGCCGAGCTTCCAAGTAAGCTTACTGACTAGAACATGCGTAAAAAATAGGCATTATTCAGCAGGTTTAGAAGCGCCAAGACGGGATTTATGTATATGTACAACAGAAATAGTCTTTGTTGGGGGCCTCATAGGCCCCGACTAATAGGCAATAGGCTTAGTTGGTCTTTGAAGGTAGGGCCCATAGCCCACTGCTGGTTGGTTTATGGGTCTAAGGTCCTGGACCAACTCGGCCCATTGCGGAGGTCTAGGACTCAAAATGTGATTATAGGAGGAATGAAACTGGTACTGCCTCGTGCAGAACGTGTACCTAGACTGCAATCGCTCGGTATCCTTTTCGGCCATGTGTCGATCTCGTACGGAGTACTCGCCTAGTGCCAAGCTTGCCAAGCGAAGCCCCGAGTTTTTTTTCCCGCGCGTCAGGGTCAACGAATTGAACTTTTCTCCGCGCTTCCGCCCTACTGCGGTCGATAAATCTTCAAGCTTGAGGCTTGACATAAAACATGCTAGAGATATTCTATGTTCTATTGCAGGGTATCTATCTCGCACTGTAACCTGGTCCGAATAGCCCGTAGCGAGAATCTTGGCGATCCTGTTAGGCTAAGACGTCCTCCCGTTAAAGGGCGGAAGGCTAGATGCTTGGTTTTAGACAGGCGGAAATTAAAGCACCTGAATTACCTATCTAGGTAACCTAGGTAGGTATGCCATATTCTGGAGTATTCCCGAGGTCGGGTTCAACCCCCAAAGGGGATTAGACCACTGTGCCAGCAGAGATTTACTGTACATAAGGGGCTTCTTTCCCGAAGCATAAGATCTGAGATCGACTTAATTTGCCCCACTAAACGGCGTGGGTGTTGGAAGATATTCAACATTCGCAATGAAACAGAGCGACGAGGGCCGGCTTAGCACAACATATTCATATATAATAATGTACTCATAAGTGCCAAAAAAGGGAGCTGATTATCTTTTACTCCCAATTTACTGTGGTTCTTCCATAAACTTTTCAGTCTGGAAGAACGGTCACCCGGGAAGGCTAAGCCCTGACTTTTCCCAGTCACTCAATCGGTAAAACACCGGCTTCCCCACATCCTCGCCTGAACGGTTGTATAGCTCACCCTCTGTCTAGGCACAGACCCTTCGTTGAGGGCCCAGGTGAATAACCTTCGAGCCTATCAGCTTATGTGAAGTTTATCCAAATTTCCTTCTGCAAGTCCAGCTATTTATTGAACACGTAAAATGCGGAAGTGATCCTATATCTTTGTAATTTTCTCATCACTGGGATTAGAACCGAAATATACGGGGAAATAATTGAGGATATTTTTAAAATTCTTCATCGATAAGACCCTGCCGACTACATGTTGACGGGGAGAACGCAGAATGAGTGTAATCCAGCACTAAGGGAAATAAGTTTGGTCTCGAAGGCTGATAATCGGCTAAATAGTGGGCTAGTTAGGTGGCCGGAAATTAAGTGGCTGTATAAAAGCAAGCGCCACTCAAATCAAAGGACCATGACTCGCTAAAACGGTTTCCTATTTATGGGGCAAATAAAATAGGCATAGTGTTGAGCCATAAATAATACTAGACCTCGACACTAGTAGGCCGATCTGATAATATGAAGTTGTGCCAGCCAGTTAGCCGTTGGGAAAGTTTTCCCAGAACTCCCAGTCGTGCAAGTACCGGAACCCGATAGCTTGGAACCGGCAAATCCACCCTTGGCATAGGGTTAGACTGTGTTAGCTAGGGGACCCTTTTATTATATCCCTGCTAATGGCATCCAAAACCTCCACAACCTCGTGTGATTCGATTTGAGCTTCAAAGATTTTAATAGGCAGTCGACCACACCACAAGCTTGACCCTTAACGCCATGGTTGTTTATGCCGATGCGGCTCCGTCCCTAGCGGGCAGCGCTATCATGTTGACGATATTGGCCTTCATGACCTACGGCTTGCGGGTTTACTGCAGATTGACCCGCAAGTCATGGGGAATAGAAGATTGGATCATGACAATAGCACTTGTCAGTACCTCACAAGAAGAAATTTCCCATGGCTCGACTAACACTCTAAAGGTACCATTTGCCGTGCTTGCGGCGGGATGTATCGGGGGAGCCTTCAATGGAATTGGTGTCCATAATTCGACACTGGCAAAGCCTGGTAATGAAAAGTATTCGGCGGAGGGGATGAAGGTGAGCGCAGTTTAGGCCACATTGACTGACACAGCACTGACGAATCGACAAGTTCTTTCTTATATTTGAAGTCGGCTACTGTGCTGCCATCATTCCAATTAAGCTCAGCATCAGTTGGATGTTGATTCGAGTGGCGCAGGGGCGTAAGGCGTACCTCTATACACAATATGCCGTCATTGCTACATTCGTGACTATGAATATCATTGCGTTGATCTTTATTCTGATCAACTGCATCCCCATAGAGTGAGTCACAAGGACTATCCCCACAAAATGGTGTTGCTGACCACATCGCAGAGCTGCATGGAACGAGGAAGCCCTTAATAATGGAGGCTATTGCCAGCCCAGTTACGTCCTTGCCGATGTGTACTACGCGTGCACGGCTGTCAATATCCTTACCGACTGGGTGACGGCTTTCCTGTACGAACCTAAGACTCATCTATTTTGTGTGAAAGAGAAATGACTGACCCTACGGATAGACCGATACCTTTACTTTGGAACGTACAGATCAACCGCAACACCAAAATCTCGATCGTTGGCCTTATGGGCCTCGGTGTCTTGTGCGTGATTCTGCATTCCCCGTTCTTACTTTTCCTCATAGCTGACTTTTGATTCCTGCAGTGCATCGGTATCAGCATGCGTGCGCCTCAAGTACACTGTTGCCCTGACAAACCAAGTCGACTACCTCTACGGGGTCGCGAACGTGGTCATCTGGGGGTTCGCCGAAAATAGCGTCGGCATGATCGTTGGAAATGTGGCAACCCTCCGCCCGCTAATCCGCATCCTCCGCGATCGCAATACCTCGAACTACAATAATTACAACCGATCGCCTGGCTTCAACAATTCCAACCCTACCGGAAGGGCAAATTTCTCACGAAATTACGAGCTCCCCGAAATCGGGAAGGACCTCAACCATACGACCACTACCTCGGCGATTGATCACAACCGACGTGGAAGCGTGAGCGATGGAGACAGCCAGAAGGAGATTCTGGATAATGGCCAACGGCCCGGTGAAGCCGATATCGTGGTCAGTCGGCAGGTTATCGTTGCTTATAACTAGATCACTGGGTACGAAGGTTATTTCTATGTTTATATGTATGTAATTCCTATAGAGGAGCCCGTTATAATACGTCGAGGTATCTACAAAGTGTAGGTTAGAAAGTGAGGAGGGAGAGAGTTGATTGCTATGGAGGCACGATCTGCCGAATATCTACAAAGTGAGGTCTGAGGCACTAACATGGAACAAGGCCACCATCACAACATATTATCTAAGCAACCAATTCGGGTAAAAGGTACGAAAAAAAAGAATGGTGAGAAGCTAACTGCACCGTACAACATACTAGTTCTAGTGTGGTTCCCAGTGGGGAGTGGGGATTACGACCTAATATAAATACTACCACTGGACCGCGTGAGTGACAATAGGATATTCCGATCGTCGTGATGATTCCGATCGTCGTGATGATCTTTCTGAGTTTAGCCTAGTGGTTAATTTCCCAGGTGCCAAGGTCCTTTTAGGTAATTAGTCGACGACCTAATTTAGTATCACACACCCCTTAAGAACCAGCTATTGAACATATGAGGTCAAATATGTCTCGGCAGTTATTTGGCTGCAAGCGTGCTTCCCAGGTATTTGATACAAGATCCCCCAAGGTCGTACCGCGATGCCAGAAGTGAGCGTAGACCTCTCAATAGCCCACAAATAGGCCCAAGCCACCGTCCCACAGCCCAACCCGCAGTGGGTTATGGGCTTTGTCTTCAAAGCCCAGACCAACCCACAGCCCATTAATGGGCGCCTATTTCTCTGCATAAATATAATACTCTAAGACAGAAGATGACGATCATCTTCTCTCTCTTACTACCTAGCTCAGTGCCCTCCCCGACGAGCTCTTTGAGCATTAGACCACCTCATCGCTCTACTTTACGCCCGAGAGGAAAATATTTAATTGTCAGCTTAGAGGAGTCGCTCCTAGGGATGAACCGCTTATAGTGGAGCAGACGTCTATCCAAGATTCATTCGATCGTACGGGCCCGGATCTCGATGAGGAGGAAGCCACAAAGTGAAGGCGCTCGATGGATTTTACAATATAATCCCGCGAAGAGACCTTCGCCTACGGAAATCTTATCTAATACTTAGTTCTGTGAGGTTGACGTTGAGAGCGACTCGCCCAAGGTGTCTATAACCTAGTATCTCACGTTGTCTATGTCATCTAGGCCCTAAGGCTGCAATTCTGCCTCAACAAATACATACGCAGCTATGATGATGGTGCCTTTCCGACGCCATCAGGAGTGGATGATAGACCTGCCAACAACCAGGATCTCAAGAATCAAAAGTCAAGAGCCCATCTAGACAATGGGAGACAAAACGAAATAGATCGCCCAATTTGAATTCGTTGTGGAGAACATTTGTAGCTCGGTTCCCGTTAACGAAAAGAGAGCTGCGGTCTCGTATAGAAAAAGTATAGCAGCGGTGATCCTTTTGTACACCCGGATAATCCACTATGTGCCAAGACCACTTTAGTACCCGACATGACCGTTTTATTAGATAACTTCATAGGACTCTACATGGGTGACAGAACGGGATACCAAGGTATGTGAGAGTAACATAATGGCATTCGTACATTCACTAACGAGAGATCAGACAACTCAGCCCCAGCGGCAATATCACATGGTTCTTGTGCTGGGTCAACGTTCCACTCCAGATAGAGGATCAAAGGTCATTTGGGGCCCATCTGTTTTTATTTCTATGTCATGGAGGTTGGGGGCTTGCTCTGGCGCCAACATGCCCGAACTGAGGTCGGATCTTACAAGCAATGTGATCAGCTAGGAGAGTTATTCAATCTAACAGATGCAGATTTCCACTGAGCATTATCTCTGATTCTATATACCCTAGTAGAGGCATCAGTCCGCCGCACTGCGATTTTCTGCGCTTTAATTTCTAGGAACTTGCTGTACTTTGGCAGATCAGAAACTCATGTCTGCCTGTTGATCATATTATGTAGTCATAAATAATCCTGGATGCGAACCAGCGCAAGGCAATCTCCCTGGAAACCTAGAGCTGTAAAAGTCATATTGGAGTCCTCGTATCGCCCTCGATTTACCAGTTGAGATATTAAGTTGAAATTTATCGCATTAATCATGTGTTCCGGACAGCGCAGCTCGCCCAGGAAATACGGTATCTCATGTCTACCTCCAATTGGTAAGAAGGGAGAACCTAACATAAGCATGATCTTCGAGACAATATAGCGGTAAGTTTAACTCCCGGACTAAGTTGTGTAGCTAAGGGATAGAACTAATAGGTTATGTGGTAGTTTCTCTCTAGCTTAGTTTTAATCTAGGCAAGATTTTGGATAATATCTAATAATGACGTTTACTGTATGTACATTTTTAACGTGATGAGCATAGGGTCAGCTGGAACAGGAAGCCAACGACCCGCGAGTCCATATACATATTCACCACCTAACTTACGTGTTATATGCAGGGTGGCTCATCATCTGTCCAAGGATCCGTGACCGACCAATCAGCTAAATCGCGGTCCGAGCCGGCACCTAAACGTTGAACTTACCTACCTTTGTAAGTATAGAGCACAACAACAATATTTACCATCTCCACTTATATGAACCATTAGAAAAATAGAAAAATACTGAAACAAGCTGGACATAGTAGACAACCGATTTGGCAACCTTTTAACACATACAGGTCCGCACGCATTAGCCTATAATAATCCATTTTTACCGAAGCAAGAGGTCACACTTAAGTTTCAGGGTTTCTATTCGATGTTACACTGCATCGTCCTCTACGTCATGCACCATTACCTGTAATCAGAAGGCAGAAACACACTTGCGAACCTGGAACCTTTCGTATATAGACCTATATAATGTCACGTCCTTTTTATCTTACTATACTTTTCAACACACTGAGTTTACCCAACAGCAATCATGGTTTTCTACGCCTATGCCAAAAATGTGAGCAACGTACGCCCTGGCCATAAAGATCTATTCTAACCAGTTGAATGAAGATGCGAGATGAGGAAGAATGGCGCTACGTTATTGTTGCTACGAACATGGAGGTGCTTGATGAATGGTACCGAACCCTACAGGAGAGGCTTCCTGCTGGCGCTATAGGTCGACAGGCCCCTGATTTCTATCTGCATGACCACTCAAAGGTCGACCTCGGAAGGACTACCAAAGTACCAAAGTAGGAAAAGAGACTCCTGAGTTCGATGATCGGGTTAAATTCACGTGGCTACCGAGGGTGGACGGGAGGAACTATGTCACATTTTACAACAAGCATGTTGTTGACCATATTAGTGGCAATTCGTACGTCGGTTTATATTAACTAGCACCATCATACTCTCTATCCCACCACTGATTACTCTATAGGTTTTTCATCCGTTCAAAGAGCAACCCCAGCGTGTTCTGGTATGCAGAGAACGATAAGATACGTGCTGGACAGCAAGGTCGCACTAGATTCCGAATTACTGGGAGAGACTTGGAAGGGAGTGCCGTTATGATCAACGGAGATCCAATTTCTATCACTCCTGTCCATGACTGGAACCGATCTGTGTGTGTTCAACACAATGGGGATTTGGGCCTTGGACATAGAAGTCACGACTTCAAACTTGCTGATCTCAAGAATGGCTTTTTGTCTTCTGGCTTGGGATTTGACACCAAAGTAACCAAAGTCAATCATGATGGTGAAGAGTGGGAGCTTGTATCCTAGTGGGGTTGATTATCTGGGTGGCAATATCTAGTTTTTATACCGTTTTTACCTCTGCCCTAGTGGTGGTCTTTTTCCCCCTCTACCTACGAGGGGGTTTTTTTCCCTCCTCTCTAATGTGAATGCAGGGGCAGACGCTTTGACTAGTTGGTATCAATGGAATTTCTCATCCTACATTATATGGCTTTCAGAGATAGGATCTGTAAGCGTGAACTCATCTCGGATAGAATAGAAAGTCGTCGATGGGTAACGTACTGGCCGGATTGTTGGACTGTACCCTACCTCGTGGTGACACGGTAGTGCTTTAGTGTCGGAGTAGATGCATTGGCATACCGGAGGATCTATTGATCCCATATAATGAATATGACAATGATGGGAAGTGCTCCTGGGTTATTCACTTGAAACCGCATAGCCATCCATGTTGGCTCCGTAGCAGCTGGAAGGGTAGAAATTGTGTCCAATATCGGTGGCCTGTTGAAGTTGATAACCCTAGATTATTATTTTACTCCACAAATATAAGCTCGATGGATTTGGTTTTTATTGTATTAAATAGAGAATTAGTAGTTTATCTAATAGAAGAAGGTTTTGTATTTTTAAGAGTAGGTTTTGTGGTACAATCTAGTCTGAAAACGAATGATCTCTACGATATCAAATTGATCAATTTCTACGTACTCGCTAGCTACACCGAGGTATAGAAACGACTTTAGCTTCGGGGAGTCGGTAAGCGGTGGTAAGTGGTAGTCGGTAAGCGGTAGACGGCAACCGGCAGCGGGATAGGTAGGTAACTAGTTAGGGCTTTTTAGTAACTAACTAGTTAGCAACAGCTAACTAAATGGAACGGGATCAGACTCAACAACGGTATTACCTCGGCGATGATTTACCTTAAGGTAACGTAGAGTAGAGGTCACAATTCTCTATTTTATACTTATCTTAATAAAGTGAGATGGCAAAGAAGTTGTCAAGTTGGTCAAAGAGTTCGTCCGGCACTAGTTAGTTATTCCGTGCCGAAAGCTTTACAATACACTATGCAGTCAGGATTCAGGCAACATTAGGCCAAAATAAGGCACTAAGGCCGCAATGCATTGCATTAAATCCAAAAGTAACCCTAGTCCCTATGTTGTATGCCCCTGCGTAGTATCAGGTGTTCCGACAGCCGTGAACCATCAAATTGTTCTGGGGCACTAGATGTCCATAGCAAGTTTGAATATCCTTGCTGCGAGCCGTTTTGTTCTTTCTACATTATATAAAATTCAAGTCAACATTCTCCTAGGTCCTTTCCTGTGTACTCACTGAAGTTATTGCAGGGTACTCAACATTGAGACATCTCAACCAATTAAATACTAACTAGTTAGTTAATATAATATATTTGGCGCACTAACTCACCGAGAGCCTTGGAAGGTTCCTGATGACCTCGGGAGCCCTGGAGATTACCAACTTTTAGTAATGCGGATCCCCAAAACCATAAGTTTATTCTTAACTAACCTTACACAGACTACACAAGTGTACTAACTGACTAACTGACTAACTAGTTAAAGAATTAAAGAAAATTGATTAAGTAAACATTACCAATACTTATTCATTCGGAAAGGAAACCTTGGAAATCCAGTATCAAGATAATGCAAATCCAATCTACAAGCTTATTATAAATATTGTCTTTTCCTGTCTGAAGATAGTATTATACATTTCCAATCGTATATATTAATCATATTACTTGATCTATTCATTGCTATTCCTTTTGTTTGGTCTCATCCTACGCATTCTTCTGAATCTTCTCAATCCTTCCGACATTTCTCCCTCCCGTCTCTCTTTTTACACCAAATGTCCTCTCAGGTCCACGTCGTCATCGTCGGGGCATCTTTCGCCGGTATTCCGATCGCTCATTCCCTTCTGAAAGATATTCCAACTGTCAAAGTCACCCTGATCAATCCATCACCAACCTTTTACTTTGCCATTGCTGCCCCCCGACTTCTGGCGAAGCGAAATGCCTTCAAACCTGAACAGTACCTTCTTCCAATCGAAAGAGAGTTCAGCCGGTACCGACCGAAATCATTTGAATTTGTCCAAGGCCGCGCCTCAGCAATCGACGTCTCGGCAAAAACAATCACCCTTGATACCACCAGGAACATCCACTTTGATTACCTCGTGATTGCATCCGGCAGCACAACTGCCTCAACCAGTCAGACACATGCCATCTCTATCCCATTCAAGCAGTCCAACTCCGATGACATGAATAGCGTGATTCAAAATGCACAAGACTCCATCAGTAGGGCCGAAAGCATTGTCATTGCCGGTGCCGGACCCATTGGGGTTGAACTTGCGGGAGAAATAGCAGAGGCCGCTCAACAGAGTGGTAGGAAAGTGAACATCACTCTTGTATCAGCCTCTTATCGCATCCTGCCGATGCTGAAGCCTGCAGGCAGCGCTACGGCCGAAAAGCTTCTTACCGAGTTGGGAGTTGAAATCGTGAAAAATCAAAAAGTCTCCAGAGCCGTGCAAAGCGGGGAGTCCCACTCGTGGGCAGTGACGCTTGACGAGGGACGAAAATTGGATGTCGACTTATACATCCCCACAACCGGTGTCTTGCCGAACAACGATTTCATCCCTGCGAACCTCTTGGACGAGAATGGCTGGGTGATGGTCGACAAAGGGCTTCGAGTCAAGTCACCGAGCGGGTCAGCAGATCGATTGCCAATTTTTGCAGCGGGCGATATCACCAACAACTCCATGCGGTTATCCTTCAAAGCACAGGAGCAGGCAGCGGTTGTTGCTGCTAACCTGAAGGCGGAAATTGTTGGCCAAGGGAAGAGTAAAGTATACTCCCAAGGTGATAAGGTTATGATGGTGGTGCCAGTTGGTTCAACGGGCGGTACCGGGTTGATTATGGGTTGGACGCCTTGGAGTGCAATGGTTAAGATGGTTAAGGGAAAGGACTTCCTAATTTCCAAGGCCAATCCGGCAATTTCTGCGAAGTGAAATAATTGTTCATTTGTTTCCAATTTTTATATCGTACAAACATGTTATAGGAGAATAATACAATAATGGCTTATTACTTGGAGTGTCTTGGTCACGTACAGAATCTTTCACCGGTGCTCAATGTTGTATAGATCGGTGCCCACTGGATTTGGAATATGTATGTGCTTACTAATACTGTCGTGATTAGGTAACCTTCGGTGGAACCTCGGAAGACCTCGCGGGACCCACATTATCCCCAGATCGTCCCGGAGATGTTCCTATCTCCCGTCATAACAATGGCGTGCCGTTAACCTGCGCTTGTGAATTGATGATGTTGGCCTCCTGATATACCGCCCTTCTAGAGGTCAGAGTCTCCAGCTTTTTAGGGCTCACTCTGATATTCGATGGAGCGGCACCCTAGCGTTGTGCGACCGGGGGCTGATTAGAGATGAGGTGAGAATCCAGGCACCTCTACGCAATTGACACATTGAAACTTTCAGCTGATCTTCAGCCTAATATTATCGGGCGGAACACTCAGTCTCTTGGCACTGCATATATCCACTAGCTGAGGCAACCACACTCCCTGTGATAAGAGGCAACGGTAGCAAATTACTCGAGCGGAGAAGAAATCATGACTATTCTCCTTGACAAAAGCGGAGCCAACGTTCCTATCACAGAGGATGTGGTCAAAGAGGCGGTGAGGAATTATTAGGTCGCTGATAAGCTGACGACGGTTCTCCTCGACAGACGCGGAGCCAATATCCCGATCACAGACGACGTGATGAAAACCGCGACAGAGAACGAGAACTGCGGGGATAGACTCATGGCGATTCTCCTCCGCCAAAGAGCCGCTGTCCTTGCAACACAGGATGTGGATGAGACAGCGGTAGGGAATCATTCCAGCATTGCTTTCAATCAAAACGCGAGGTTGATACAGGGCGAGTCTGAGATTACTCTACCATTAATTCCGCGAGGAATTGAGGTGCCTACTACAGATCAAACCGAGCCTCCGTGAGAAAGCTTTCAGGGATAGCTACGTGCCTTCTACCCTTTTCAATCGACTGACTATTTTCCTCCTTCGACAGTCACTGTTTCGTTGGATTCGGGCGACATTATTCTAGTTCACTCCATTCACACCAATGGCCGCGCCGATGGCTCATGGATATCAGGCCCATGGATTATTGCGAGAAGTATAATGAACTACATATGCGCCCCCTCCTCAAGGCTTTAGTCGATTTATAGGCCACCATGCCAAGAATATCGGGTTCATCATTCGGAGGCTTTGGAAACAAAGATATAATACGAGGTCCCAACTCTGGTGTCTGTAAGTCCCTTGTGAGCAAGTAAAGACTTACGACAGAACAGAACTGGTTGCTCTGCAGGAAAAGTCCGAATGTCTTATTCCGGAAGCCCTGCTGGTGAAGCAGTACGATGTAATTCGGAGGGTCCGCAAGGCCGGCCTTGGTTTCGGACCTTTTATCACTATTTATTACCACCAAGCAGGTCCAAGTGTTCGTTAATGGAGAGCATTCCGAGGAAGATGTGGAGGATATTCTGGACGAGATATCTATCAATCCGTCAAGATCGTCACTGGCGGCGTGCAAATTTCTTGATGCATTGGATGAGGAGGTCAATGGGATCGTCGGCCTGAGCAGGGCCCTGATCGAAATGTCTGTCTCTGGTTCTTTTGCTGCTATGCATGCCCAGAGCCTTGCGTATGGCCGCCTGCAACCACGTCCAGTGGATTTGGGCCTTTTGTTGGTTTCAACGACGCAGGTGCTGGTCAAAACCTATAACTGCCAAGCGACTGGATTAAATATGCAAGCGCACTGTAGTTGCCTGGTTTTGATGGAGTTGCCTGGTTTTGATGGCGCCGGCTCTGAACTTCAATTGTCCCTTCCCTTCCAGACAATCGGGCGGATTCACAGGTCCCCAAGGCAGGACTTCACAAAAAGTCCAAAAAGCCACGAAGAACAACCTCTTTTTGGTACTAGCCTTGGTCTCCGGGATTTTGTTCCTATACATCATTGCTAGGAAGAGCGGAAGCTTTGAGCTTTTCTTTTATTCTAAACTCCATTCTCGTGTATCATAGCCTATCTCATATGACAGGCTCTAGACGATCAGTTTACATCATTGATTTATCACCAGCAAGTAGTTCATTTCCGAATCCTTCGTATGATAGCTTAGAATAAGACTAGGACTAGGAATATATTGGGGTTAATTAGGCGAAGAAGACCAGGCAAATTGGTATGAGATGCTCAGATTAGTGAACTAATGCCATATACCGATCAACCAGCCGTAGTGAAAATAACTCAACTTTTATGCCAACAAGCTTGCAGTCCATGGCTACCATTTCCTTCAATTGCTTACTGTCACAGCCCTGGGAGTCGGGCACAAGTAGACCACCTAGGTATAACATCTGTTAGAACCTTAGACCGAACTAGTTATATATATCACTCCACAACCAAGTTCAAAACACATGTATAACACAATATTAAGCCAACAAACCAAATCTAGACCATCGTAGAATTATGACCCATCACCACGATAACATCTCACTAGACATGCAGAACACACCGCATTAGCGTCCCAACCTATATTGTATCCACATGGAGTAAAGTACGTACATCAATTCCGAAAAGTCGGTGACAAGCACCCAAAATGAGGGGTTATGTCAAAGCCAAACAAGACATCCAAAAACCTGATTTAAGTGCTGCACAACAATATCGCACGGATTATCATCAACGAACAGCTCATCGAGACGGACACCGCTAGTTCTAGGGATAACTGCTTGTCGACACGAGGTAGTGTGTTACACGCACTCACTCGAAAAATGTTAAAAAAAAAGGAAAATGGTTTGTTGATTTGTTGTTACACCAGAATCGAGAAGAGAGAACACATGTGTCTGGTCTGGTTTACCCCTCGTTTGGACTTGGATTTGATTTGATTTGATTCGGTCTGGTCCTGTCTACATACAACATAGTACATGATTTGACAGACAGGTCTGCAATATCAAGACCCTTATCCTTACACCATGTACCAATGGGAACATACAAGTCTACATATGTAGTGGCGAGATGTGGGTTCTGCGACTAGACTGGACCGGAGTGGACTTAAGTTAACATTTGACTGTGTACGGCGGGTGTGTATCAAATTTGACTGGAATGATTGCCTGACAGTGGCGATCCACGTTGGTCATTTTGGTTTGCAGTATGTACATGCATACATGTATGAAACCAAGCATACTAACTAGATGTATCTGTATAAATGGTCTGATATAGGTGTTGTGCAGATAAGTTTAATTGCGGTTACTTGAGTTTAACGATACAGCTGAGTATATAAGATTGAGGTGGTAAATCCGAAAGCTAGTGTTGATGTCCATTGAATCCAAATAGGCAATCATTCAGATTAAAGAGCTGACCCTGATTTTAGTCAAGAGTCAGTGGGCTCAACCTATGTTAAGCCAGAAATCCTCGCCCGGAAAACGCTTGTAAGGGTCTACAGTATTGACAAAGGCCCAATCAAAGACTGGCGAAATACAGAGGTAGAACATGAGATGTAACGAGAGCTTGGTAGGACATAAAATGCCCGGGTGGAGAGGAAATGAAGGAACATGAGAGTGAAGATAGAATGATGCAGTCAAAGCCAAAACAAGAACAAAGTTGTAAAGCGAAGAGGGTATAGGTATAGATATGTATGTGATCGTGAGATGTCATGAGATGAGTAGTGAGTGCTGAAAAACAATAAAAAAAAAAAAAAAAACAAGAAATGTCAAGGTAGTTTTAGCAGGGCAAAAGCCAAACCTCAAACCCATGGATCAGACTGCACATAAGTATGTGGGTTGACAGGCCCAACCAGCTTGATCTGAGCTTTCAACTGCTCTCTTCTGCGATCATCTTTCGACTCCGCAATCTTCTTCTTCGCACCCAGGAACACCCCTCGGGTATTATGCAGGGACTGCTTGCTCGGCGGAGACAAAGAAGGGCTGGCCTTTGCATAAGATAAGTCGGGGGCCGAAGATGAAGATGGGTCTGCAGCGGAGTCGGGCGAAAACTTATATCTCGGGAACTGAACGTTCCGCTTCTTGGATTTGGGCGCTTCCCAGATCACCGGGCCGTGTTTCTGGTACGGGGATAGCGGAACCGCTAGTTGTTTCGGCCGGGGAGTTGTAGGCGTGGAGATCGAAGTAGGTGATGTTGGGGAGATCGGTGTTTGAAGATGGAACTTGTGATTGGTATAGTCATACTCGCTACTCGAGGATGTATCCACGGAGGTAACTCGGACAGCGACATTCGTATCCAAGGCCAAAGAGGAGAGCTGTGGTGTCGGCGTTGTTGTGCCGAGTGTACCTCCTACATCATTGAGATGGTGGTCCATGGGAGCTGTCGCTGGGCGGGGAATTTCCTTGGATTTATTATTATCTGCCGTCGAGTCGCGCGAGAGAGTGCGGTGGACGTAAGTCTTGATCGAGTCGCGCACTCCGCCGAGACCACCGCGGTCGAGCGAATGCCAGCGGTATTTGCCCTTGGCGAAATCCAATGGGTTTCCCATTTTGCGGGGTTTGTTGTTCGGGGTAACCAGATTCGGACTGATGCGGCCACTGGCCTGTAGAGCGGAAGGCGCCAACTCGGGGAAATAATCCCACTTTTTCTCGCGGAAATAGTGATTTGTGCCTGTGCGATTTTGGGTCCAATACGATGGACGCCCGTGCTGTGTATCAGAAAATGAAGAGGAAACTGATACTGAGGGCTCAACAATCAATGGCCGGATATTGAGATTGGTCGAGTCCGTGCGTTTGTGTGGAGGTTGCGGGGATAGTCTCAGAAGTTGATCGGCGGATGGAGCCGGGTGATCGACTAAGTCGTCGAAGTCGGAGCCCGAACTGACGAAGATGGGATAACTATCTGCTGAGTGGCGGGGTTCACTTCCAGTGATGCTATCAAGTGTACTTTCGGTGTCGCTGTCGCTGTCGCTGGAGTCACTCCACATAGCCGAGCATTCTGGTTCTTCGGAGAGGGGTTTTGCGGGGAGTGGTTTATTGAGAAAGAGATCGGAGCGTGTTGAAAATTGAGGTGATAGTGGTGAGAGTGGTGGGATTACTCGCTCGAGTCCTTCTAGTGAACGAGATGGTCGGACGGGAGGTGCCATTCGACTGTGATACGAAAAGGTCGGGGAAGGCATTTTTGGGGATTCGAGAATGTCGACTCAATGAGAAGTATAAAAATAATCCATCAAAGAAGATGGAAAGTATGAATTAAGGTGAACAAAGAAAAGAGATGGAGTGGGAGGAGAGAGTGTAGTATATATGAAGGATGTAAGGAGGAGTATATAAGATAACATAAGATAATATACGGTAATAATCTATACAGTCATACCTATATATACAAATATACAAATATACAAATATACAAATATACAAATATACAAATATACAAATATACAAATATACAAATATACAAATATACACGCAAAGCAATACCAAAAAAAAGTAAACATCGTCAAACGAACTGACGCAAGGACTTTGGATCGCCCTTACTCCGTTTAACAGACAATATGATTGGTTTAGACTGGATATACCTTGGGCTTATTCCGAGTTATTTAGTCTTAGGCCTCTCTGACATGTTCCCTTTTTTTCTTTTCCGCACAGCCCTCTTCTCTAACTAAGTTTGGCTGCCTTCTCTTGTAATCGGCCCAACTGACGAAGTCCAGCGATCATCTCCTCGTCTCCAAAATGACTGTTATGTTCAAATTCTGGTTCCTGCGCGTATGCGACACGGGCTGCATCGACAATAATCCTTGCGGTCATGCCAAAGATACGATAGGCATGATCTTCCCCATGTTCACTAATTTCATGAACAAAGAACTGGTGCACTAGTGGCGTAGTTAGTATCCACATGGATGTTTCTCTCCTTTTGGGCTCCTTTTTCTTGGCCCCCTATTTCCCGTTTGGGAAAAAGAAACTAAAATAAACATTCTATATATCCGTCCTCGGCATATTCCATATGGACATAGAAAACGCAGTTGAGAAATAAAAAAGAACAGAAAAAGAATAGAAAAAGAACAGCAAAAAGGAAATATAAAAATAGACTTACTTCTCCATTGTGAATTATGCCACATCCCCCAAGCCCCACGATACCATTCATGTCCTTTCTCTACACTCTCGCTCAAAAAGTCCTTGAATGGCGCTGTAAAAACAGCCTCAACCTCTCTGGCATCCAAAATAGGAATAAGGGACACCTCAGGATCAGCATTTAGCCCCGAGTGTGGGTCATAGCTGTGGAGAAGAGCGACGCAGGGACGAACAACCACCTCGGTCCTGGCAAGATTGGCCGGGAACTCGCAGAGATGCTCCACGCTAAATGGGGATGGAAGCTTTTGGTTAATGTCAGGGAGGCCGATCTCCTCATTTGCCTCGCGTCGTGCCGTTTGGAAGGCGGTTTCGTTGATATCTGCTCGGCCTAAGGAGTAGAAGGCATCAGTTTGTATTTTCTTTTTTCTTCTTTTTCCCAAGGTGACCGATTTGACTCGGCTTTCGGCCTTTTCTTTTTCTTTTTCTCCTTTTATCTTGAAAAAAAAAAAAAAAAAACCCCTGTCAACTTACCACCAGGCAAAGCAGCATCTCCTGCATCTACACCCGAACAAGATTAGCTCACTCCCGAACAACCAACCCATGTCATGCAGCCACCTGAAAACAGGGCTGATCCACGTATTGCTCCCCTTAGAAGACTCACACGAACTTAGTGTCTTAGCCCGGATCGTAACAACGACCTTAAGGTCACCCTTGGCATCGGCGAAGAGCAGTATCAGCACAGCCGCCCGTCTGCTTAACGGAACCGAATTGTACACCGTTGGCGGGGAACATAGTTTCGAAGTCTGCTGATTGCTTCCTATGGATACATCATAAGTGTCAGGGTATTCTTATTATCCCTGTGGGGGGAGTGTGGGGTTTCAAATGGACATCGGGATGGACATCCACGGGGGAAAGGGAAGAAGAACGGTGGGGGGTCTTGGTTGAAACAAGACAAGACAACGAAAACCTTCTTGACCGTGAAGAACTTGTCTTAGACACACGGAAAGAAAAGAATGTTCCATCTTGCTCTTCTCTTCTTCGCCCCCCCAAATCAAGAGGTTTCAAGTCCAACGCAACTTGTAAGACTTGAAGCCGAAACTCAAATGACCCTATCTCCCATACCTCCTTGGATACACATCCAGGTATGATCGTCCTTAGAAAAAAAGAAAAGAAACATGGCAATTTAAGACAACCCGTGGCTTAAGGGGGGAAACAGGGGATAAAAAGTGGCAGGGATAATACGCATGGCAAAGTGGACACAGCAGATTCATATTACACATGTGGACACGCGGTCATTTCGGATAGCTGCAGGGAACAAGTTACACATACCTGAGATGTGGGATTTAGGGGCGCCATTATTTTGGACTTTCGGGGTTCGGGCTTGGGAGTGCTAGGGTTGGAGTGGAATAATTTGGGTTGGTTTTGATTCTGGAGGCTGGTGGTATTGAAACGAAGTCGCTGGAAGAGGTTGAGCTGTTGTCTCCGCATCTCAAACAAGTTCGTTATACCGAACTACTGTAGTAGTTAGTACTCCGTTGGGCAGTGGCCTATACTTGGGGAAAGATGGGGGTTTGGCGAAGTAGCCGAGGTAACTTGAGAATGTCGGTGTCGGTGACTAATAATATAAACCCATCGGAGAATAGTTTAGTTACCTCAAAAGTGTTATAGCCACGAAGTAGATAGTTAGGTACTTGATGAGGTATCCACTGGATGCAGTTATACAGTATTCGAGATATATGAAATAGCCAAAAGGGAATCAATAGAGTACACCAGCCAAATCACATCGAGAAGAGAGAAATAAAATAAGGTAGAGAGAGGCGGGGATCAAATGGTCTATCAACATAGCGAAAATAAATAAGACAGGATGAGAACTGAAAGGGGGAGAAAACCAAGTGAGAGCCAACAAAACACAGCAACCATCTATATGACCAGTACAACACAAATGCCTGAAATCAAAACTCAAATCACCAGCATATTCATATCAATTACGAGCTTTCGCTCTTCTTCGCGTCCTTGGACTCGGTCTTCTCGGCGCGCTCACCTTCCACCAAGGCCTCGTTAGCCTCAGCAGACTGCTTAGCGCCATCAGCCACAGCCTCAACCTTGGTCTCCTCCTTCTCGTCGATATCCTCGATATCCTTAGGTGCCGAAACACCCGTGCTCTCATTCTCGCTGTTCTGCTCGTTCTCCTCCTCGATCAGCTCCTCCTGCTCCTTGATAACCTCAAGACGCTGCTTGTTCGTAGCAGCACCCTCGGCATTGTGGACCTCGAGCTCGATCTCGTGGAACAACTCCTCGGGAATGCTAGAGAGTACAGACTTGAGCGCGTCGATTTGCGACGCAAACTCGGACTCCTTGCCACCCTGTGTGTACAGGTAGGCGTTGCTCAAAACCAACAGAGTTGAGGGAACTCCTTGCTTGAGACGCAGCTCGAGCCACATGTCGAGATCCTCGCGCAGGCGCGCGGGGGAGACGCCGTGTGTGCGGATTCCACGCGAGGCGCTGGCCATCTGCAGTTCGGGGACGGAGAGCGAATCAACACCCTCGTAGAAGATCGCGCGATCATCACGCTTGATCTGGCGCATGCGGTGTCGGATAGTGTACCGGAGCATGGCGTCGGTACCGAAGGAGTTCAGGTTCATGTAGCGGCAAATGCCGACCAGCTGAGGTCGAGACAGGTTGTCAAGGGTCAGGTCATCCTTGAAGATCTTGCAAACCTTGATGACATCCTCTGTTGAGGGCGATTCACCAGTGGTGCGGATCTTGCGGAAAAAGTCCGTGAATTCGTCGTTCTTGACGGTGGCGGCAGTCAAGGGCAAACCGGTCTCCCGTATGGTGTTGCGCAAGAATCCAGAGACTTCTTTGCGGGTCGATCTGAGGTTCAACGCTTTGGCATCGCGGGCTTTCTGCCCCTCGTAGGTGCTAGGGAGCATGTTGGGGAAGAGCTTTAGGGCCACGGGTAGCAGGAGTTCGGCAAAAGGAACGATAAGGAACATCGAAAATGGAACCAGACGCCCCAGATCCTTTGTAGTACGTTGGAGCTATAATCAAATCTAGGTTAGCCAAACGGTACAAAATATCGAAATATTCCTGGTGGCGCAAAGCATACCTGGCGGTGCTCTCGGCGACTGAGTTCATAACCACCGGCCATCTTCAGCGCCAGTCTCGAACTAATCTTGACCTCAGTGGAAAGCAACTTTGTGCCATCCCAGTAGTGCTGCAACTCTTTCTTGACCTTTTGTCCAAGTGTCAACTTCTTCGCGCTCTTCTTCTCAGCCAACTTCTGATCTTCTGGGTTCGTCTTTGCGGCAACTCCAGCCGACGGAGGCTTGCTAACAGTTGACTGTGTCTCGGTAGGCTGGGTTTGCGCAACGGTAGATTGTGCCTGGGTGGTCTGTTCTTGGGAGAGCGGCTTCTTGGCTTGCTCGGCATTGAACCCGGGGGAGGATAGTTTTGAGAAGAGTTGTTCGATGTGGATTGCTCGGTCGCATATCCACGCTGGGGCATCAGAATGGCAAGCGCCGAGATTTGGGATGGCAGGTCGCGGCCATTTTGTAGAAGGCTGCGGGCTGCGATGGAGGCCGGGCTCAGTGCACTAGAACGACCACGGGCTGCCCAGGAGAAACATATCAGCTACTGCCATTGCCATCGAGCTCCTTGATGTTCTTCAACACTTACCGATCAGCGCAGACCGAAAAGCAGGTGTGCCGCGGACCAATCCGGTCGATCTCATTGTAGCGGACATTTGCGGGAAACGTTGGGGGAAAAAACGTTAAGTGCTCGAAGCAATGAGTAAAGGGGTTATACGCGCAACAACAATGGTATAAAATGATCAAGCCTAATGTCCACTGGATGAAAAATAAATCACAGCAATAAATTGATGATTATGAAAGTTTGGAATGTCCTGGAACCGGATCCGATGAGAAGATGTTGTGATGTACTGCCGCAGTCATCTTGCACGTGACAGCCGATACCGCCTCGGGCTCGGGTTTTGCTCGGGGATAAAGAGATATCCGGACAGTTTTAGGACAGGCCGAAGGCATGTACAAAGAGAAGTATTTCATTGTGCAGATATAATCCAAGTTCATATCAATCTGAACATCCAATTCTGTACATTTATATGACTAAAAATAAACTCGCTCAGTAATTTCAACGTTCTTGAATCTTAACAAAGAAGAAAAACCAACAAAACGAGGGTATATAAGGACTGGCATAAACGATGGCAACAAAACATTATGTCCCTTAAGGTTCAAATTCGCTCTCTAACGAGAGAGTCTTTGTTTAAACTTTCCTGGATATCGGTAGAAGAGGCCTCGGCAGTATCCAACAAGGGGATTTGATCGACGCTGGATCGCTTCCCCTCGCCGTGTGCATTGATGGCTTCGCTGAGAGGACTGGGCTCAGCGACAAGCAAGGGACTAGCTGTACCTTCGGGGGAGCTCTGCCAGCGTGCCACATCTGTCTTGAGCTCCTCCAGCTCCTTCTGGAAGCGCTTTCCAAAGACGTCGATGTAGTAAGTTGCTCCATTGTGGATGCTCCAGACAAAAAGAGCAGACATGAACAGACCGCTGGCCCACTTGGACCAAAACCAGATCGGACAGGGGATCATTGTGGACAAAGCAAACCCATACTGGATGAACATGAAGCATGGCTCTTGCAGCGCTTCGGGTAGACTAAGCACAAATCGCCCAATCCACGCCTTGGAGTATGACTTGCGCAGCCATGTGAAGCTGGTCGGGCGACCCGCTGCGATCTTGTCACGGCGGCGCACGGTAATTAGGAAGTGGTACATGAGCTGCCATACCACATAGGGAGCCGTGGACCAGATGATCATGGCACCAAGACCATAATGCTCTGGGTCTCCGGGCTCACTAAACTTGATGTTGTAGACAGCAGGAAATCGTTCCTTCAGTTTCTCAACCGGAGTCAGGTGTACGATGCAGTGCAAAGTTACGGGTGGCATAATATGGATGAAGAGACTGCAGAGACATGAGCGAACGAACTTTGTACCTTTCGATATCTAACGTACCTGACAACCTTGTCCATACTGTGGAAGACCATAGAGTTGCGCCACATGGCGATTGCAGCCGCATTGTTTCCGAAGGTCAGGCAGAAGGTGCTAATAAAGAGCCGTTTCGAGTTGGGGAAGACCCAAATACTCAGCATGCAAAGCAGATTGACAAAATAGCAGAGATCGGCCAAGAAGTAGTGGTAGCCCTTAGCATGGTACGTGAAGTAGCGGATGGGCATAAAATATGCCAGCTGGGCGCTGAACCATATGTAGAAGTACTCTGGGCAAGCACCGATCAGGTAGCCGCTGATGAAGATATTGAGCACACCAGCAATAAAAGACATCTTCTCCCGGAGGGTGACAGTCGCCGTCTTGTTCCACTGCTTTCCCAGGCGCTCTACACCCTGCTTCATCCGAGAGCGATATTTTTCCAGCTTCTCATCGGCGGTCGGTGCCCGGCGCTTCCATTCACCCACAACACGATCCTTGGCATTCAAGGAAGACGACTTGAGCTTCTCCCGCTGCTTGCGCACCTTCTCCTTTTGCATGGTGATTGTCCGCTGCCATTTCTCCAGGCGCTGTGAGAGCTGGATGTTGTCAAGTAGGTCGAAAACCGTCAGCTTGTCCAGCGGCGGAAATGACTCCCAGTCCTCCTGATACGAGCTGCTGTTTGAGAAGGAGCCGTTGCGTGACAGACTTCTTGGGGATGTAGTAGGAGAGCCAAATTCATCGTTGTCGGTAAAGTCGTCTGAAGGGAAGGGCACATTGATCTCGTCCAGGCCTGGCGTGGGGACCAGCGGCTCGGCTGACATGGTGGGATCAGACTTTCTTCTTGAGCTAGTGTTTTCCATTAAAAATTGTTGCTGGAAGAAGAATATTGTCGGTCCGTCCCGAGTGTTGGGATATGGTCGACTAAGGAAACGATTGAATGTTAGCATCCCCATAGTTGCAAGCCCAAAGAGCACAGCTTAGTAGAGATGTGCCAGATAGGCGTGAGTGCTCCAAAAATCACAGTCATTATGTAGAGATGAGGGGCCATTTAAAAAGACGAAGGCAATCTTACCTTATCAGTAGATCACGCGTTTGTTGGACTCACTGGGTGATGACGGCGAACTGTGGTTGGCGATCCACAGAGTCAACAACTCCGGACTCACTGGCGCATGACACGAAAACGGCGGTACAGAACTGCCGTTGCTGCTTTGATGCAGTCACGAAGGTTGAGGAGATATTCGAACAAGAACCAGCGAGAAGTTGAGAAGTTAACGTGTGCTTGTGTTGCGAGTGTTGGTTGGACGGAGAGATGCGCTGGGGGATCGGCACGCGGACCCAATCAGCGGGCTGTCTTGGCCCAGGTGAACTTGTCGCCTGAGGCAGCACATTTTATAGGTCGAGTCTTACAGTTTTACTTGCACTGTTCTAATGTAGTGTTGGCCACATTTTGAGTTGTCCCCTTCATTATTTTGCACATTCTCCCTCACTTCTCGTATATGAAAGCGAGGTGAGAAAGCATCCCAGGTAGGAAAAGAATTATAATTATAAGGAAAAAAAAACAGCCAGTGAAACCCCCATATCCGTGTCCAGCCAAACGCTCACAAACTCCAGGTATGTACTGGTGAAAACAAGAGAGAGAAGAAAGCAGAACAATACTAATATCCAAACTGCGATGCAGGGTTGGCATGTGGCCAGAACCCGGGCCCTTTATCAGACACAAACGGTTGCGAGTAGTACCCGGATAGGTAACTCGGGTCTGGATGCATAGATTTCGTGACACTTGAGGACTCAAGAGGGGGGATTACATGCACTGATGGTGCTATGCCCATTGGGTAGCCGAAGCTGCCTGTCGGGCTGTGTGGGCCACTTGACTCGCTAGTGGTGGGTGAAAGGGGCAGATTATGCGAGTGGTGTAGCTTTGGGTCATCTTCTTCCAGTGTGGAAATGCCGGGGTTATCACCTGCATCCTGCATGTCATGTTCGGCCTCGACCATAGACGCCGTTACTGGTGCTGTGTGTGCACGGGATGATAATTCATCGCCGTCTTGGAAGATTGCTTCTGGTAGATGTGTTTGTGTTACCTGAATCAAGGTATTGGCGTCTATAATGACAAAAGCACAGACAGGGTTAGTGGAACTGCTGATTTGGTCTTGTGTTTGGGACAGGGTGATACGTACCGATTTCACCATCCAGGAACTGTTCCTCCATCTGTCGCACAAAGTAGATCTCGTCTAGAACTTGCAACCGGTTGGCAGGGGTAATCTGACGTCTCACATCTTGGCCAGCGTCTCGCAGTTTGTCTGTTGTGACCCCGTGACTATCTTTTAATTCACAGAGGATATGAACAAGAAGTTGCAGCCGGTCTATCGCCAGTTAGTATTGACCCGTGTTCTCATATCATTGATACTAAAGAGGATGCTCACCAGGCTTGAGCAGATGATCAGGCTCTTTGTGTAAAACACCAGCAGGCCACCATGCAGGCTTGGTGAACTCTGGGTCAACACGCTGTGAGACACCGGCAATAACCCTGCGTCCATTGTATGGATAATGGACCTGCTTCCTCGGCTCGACAAGCTTGATATAGGACTTTGCAATAGCGCGACAGTTGAGCTGTTGGAAATCCTCAAATGCCTTCTCGTAGTACCGTCGCAGCAGTGCCCGGTTACCGACACGAAGAACAGTCCGTCCAGGTGGAGGTGTGGTGGGCGGCGGCGAGCTAGATTTAGGTCGAGACCTGGGCGAGCCACTGTTACGCTTTGACTTTTTCCGGCTTTGCTGTGAGGACCACTGGAATGGGATCATCTCAGCCTGCCTCGTCTGACCAGTTGGCCCCCATCCAGAAGGCGCTTGCTCGTCCCAAGGTGAGTGGGGTGCTTGGGTTGGGTCTGCAAGGAGGCAGAAAAGAAAAGTCAGTGTTGCCGCTCTGAAACTTTGGATTCTAACAATCTGGCTCACTCGTGAATTGCGGACTCGTCTGTGGTGTCTGGCCGGTCATTTCGATGAATCGGTCTGTAACATCTGGTGTAAAGATGGCGCCTTCACAGCCTGCAATTGAGGGCGAGGCTTGCAGTTGCCATTGACCATTGTGGTCAAGGTATATCATGGCGAAGTGTGGGTGTGTGTATTCGGCGGTATGAGGTTGTTTAGGGGTGATCGGCTATTTTATTATTAGCCAAACTTGATACTTGTTGCCTTCTGTTTTTGCAATGGGGAAGTTCTATTACCATATTCACCGGCGGTTGCTGCGGGATGCACGTATCGGAGTGTCTTCGCTCCAGCGCCTCTCCAGGAAATGGATATCCACGATTCACATCCATATTGTGAGATAGTATGGGGTATGAAAATTTATTTCACGAGATCGGGCTTCACCGCGCTTGTTAGAACGTAGTAACTTGCAAATACAACCTCTGAGATACAGAATGGACCTGGGACTCTCAACAATCGACCCAAGGTGTCAATTTAATAGAAAGAAGAGTCAACGCAGCTTGCCGATGGATAATAGATCCGGGGGCTATTCGATTAGGGGCAGGGTCCAGGCGAGATAAATATACCACGGAGTAATAATACGGGACCACGTCCATGATCTCCCCAAGTCCGTCGTCCGACAGCAGACCCCGAAGATTGGCATATTTCTCCACATGACATCGATGTCCCCTGAAAGTGCGAGTTTTGGGTGCTAATGCAAGGAAAAATGAATAGCTGCAAAGCCGAGCGTGTGGCAATACGAAAAGCTTCCGTATCACTTCTTTCTGCAACTTGTGATTGGACCATCCAGTTCTGCCCCTTTGAAATGGTGGGAGTCGATGGGTCGAGTCCGTTCTGCGCATTGACGCTTAGGGCTGTGATCCATGGATGAGTGTCACATAACCTTGTTCGATCCATGGTTCCGTCGGGGGATCCGTGATCTGCTTCTTGGAACCATGGAACCCGTCTCAACTTCAACGCTTAGAGAAAACAGCCACAAAGATCGTCAATTTGTTCACAAATCAAATGTTGGAAATATCTCCAAATTGATCAAAATGGATACAAATCCCTCACACACTTGCTCCGCTATCTGCACTACTCGTAGGCTATCTGCAGCAAACCGCTGTATCCATAAATCTATTTCCCGCTCCAATACACCAAGTCAACCCTCTAACCTTTTAATCTATCGAGAAAATGGTAGACATACCAGGCGTACCAAGTTGTACCTAATCGAGGGGCGATCCAATAAGCCTAAGGTGGGAAACTTGTATCTATCCAATCGCATTAACCGATCGGCGATCCCTAGGCCACATCAGCCACGACAGGTGATAAATGAAGAGCGGTCATTCCTCAACGCCTCTGAGATCATCACCTGCAAGCCAAGAGAGCCTAATAAACCACTGACTAATGCATGGTCGAGGTGAATCTCTCTAATTTCTTATGGATCTACTCCGAATGGATACTTACTTGCGTTGTCAGTGCGTCAGCGTAGTGGGCTTTTTCAACTACATTGTACGCGCAGCTGCGCCCACACCTGAATGTTTCTCTTTGGTGCTTTTTTATTTTTATCTTTTATTTTTTACATCAGGAATTTGTGGGTAAGATAGAGTGGGCTTCCAAGAAACTACTCCGTACGGAGTACTAGGACTACAATGTTTATCTCCACCGGGCGCTTGGTCCAAGTACCATTTGTCCGTGCGGCCCTTCTCCAACCTAATCTACAACGCGGGTCTAAAGACCTGGAGATAAATCTTTTCCGTCTGCCTGGGAAAGCTAAGGCCCCCCGGGGGTCAAAGCCGTCACGACCATCGAATCTTGAGCTTATTTTCCAAGTTCGCGGAAGTTGGTTTGTGGTTCCGGGAATCCAACCCCCGAGCATTATCCTAGTCAATCTTCGTTGTTTCTTTTTTTCATTTTTTGGCTCTTCGCTCTCGCTCACGATCACATCCTTCTTCTCTTTTCTTTTTCTTTTCAACATGGTGTACGGAGTAAATGCACCAGGTATGTATCGAATCGCCCCTAGCATGCATTCTTCAAGTTGGTGATTCCAAATTCTGCTTCCCTGCGGCATCGTGCATGAGCGGACGTGGCAACCCGGAGCTAGAGTCAAAGCATTCTTCGAACCCGAAGGACAATTCGTATCCATAAGGAAAAGGAGCCCCAAAGTTAATTGAATCTGAACTACCATTGGGATCGGTTCCCTGCTCCAGGATCGACAGTGTCTACTGGGAGTGGGGAAACCGTGGATGACAGACTAAGAAGCTGATCATTGCGAATTTGATCAACCGCTCCATTATTCCATACGGCTTTTATGGAGTAGGCATTGTTTCTTTTTTTTCTCGGCCCTGTGTGTGGTATACGACATAGCCAACGATTGAAAATGGTCATGATTAGCTACCTACCAGGGTAGGTAGCGCCACCAGGATCTCGGCCTGCAGCAGGAGCGGATTGCAGCTGTAGCGAGGCCCAATGTTATGGGGGAGTGCCACTGTGTACTCAGTACTCCGTATTATCATTATTATTCCTCCACCGTCTCTTTGGCCTTGTTTTATTTATTTATTTGCTTTTTCTAGGGGGCTATTATCATTGTTATTTAGACTAGGCCCAGAAACACGGAAAATATAACCGTGTCGCGTTATTTAATGCAATTCGATGAGCCTACAGGCCACATATTCATATGGCAATTTCACTTTATATATTGCAATGAAGAGAGATATCGGGGTTTTCGATCTTAAGAAAAGTCAGCCCTTGACTACAGTTGAAGATAGGGTCTCAGCGGGCTTTTTATACTTTTTACCGATCTGCCTGGGGCCATCTGACCTCTGTATCATTTGGTTCGAGGTTTCAAATATATTGGATATTCCATGGTCAATGCTCTTTGCCAGGCAGCCCTTATTATCATCAACAAAAGCAAGAAAATAATATTAATTCCACGCAATCAATAACACGGGGTTAGGTACCGAGCATGTACTAAATACATCGCACCTCAACACCAAGCACCAAAGCAACAATATACACATTATCATCCCCTGAGCCGCATTGGCCCCAAACTCTGTAATACCCAAGGGTGCACGATCCCCACAAGAGAATACACCACAACGCCCCCTCAACAAGTGGCGTGGAAAAGACATACGTCCCTTGCGTATATATGTGCGGGCCGCAACATCCAAGAGATGAAATGATCAACAACGGAATACATACGGAGTACAATATTACGGTCAATTCTATCATTCTACTCTTTATTCTGTACGGGAGTACATTTTAGCGAGAATATCTCCCCTTATAATGGCCGCAATACGCGCATGAGAAGATCACCATCTGCCCGTGGACGCAAGCTGCTCCTATATGTACTGCTACCGTTGCACAAGACTTTTGAGGGATTGCAATATTTGCATATTTGGAAATAAAGCATTTTTTATTTTCGATCCTCGGTAACAAAATATCCAGTGTTCCTGCTGTACAAAGTCTACTTACACCGCGCAATGTTATCGAGTATGTATGAATATGTGCGTCTCGGCGGGTGGTGCTCCCGGGGGCTCCCGCCTGTTGACATTCCGTTACCATTGCTAGCTGGGTGCAGATGGTTAAATCCTGGTACCAGGATACTGCTGCAGGAAACCTGCATTATTGGAAATTCGGATCCGGGTCGCCTCTGTGGTGTCTGGGGGGGGTTGACGCGGGGCATGATTTGCAATGCTCGTTGGGGTTACAGTGACTTGGATGGTGGCGGTGACTAGGTATACCCAAGTAGAGTAGACTGCACCTGATGACTCCGTTGTTCCTCTCACCGTACTTGGCGTCAGGTTTCCAGAAAGGAGATTAGAGCCATTGGCTAAGGACTCCGTCGAAGCTTGGTTTTATTCTTAGTGGTCACTGATTCCGTCGTTCTCGCTTTCCTCGGCCATTGTCCTTGCAAAGCACTACATCAAATATCGCCACCTCGGGGGCTGTCAAGGGAGAGTCTAGAACTCATTCGACCCCGGATTATCGATACGGGGTTGTCTGTCCAGATGCAACCGAATATGGAAAGTCGGGGTCAAGCCCACTGGCCGATCATGGTAGTTCTAAATGTATAATCAGTCGGGAACTACTCCGTAACTTTAACCCCATAAACTAACTAACTAGTGGGGCCGAATTGGTTTGATCCCTTAAGCTTTTCAAATACCTTTGGATCCATGAACACCCAAATTCGAGAGCGGATCTGCTTCCATATCAACTTAAATGATCAAGAAAGCTCAATTTTAAGCTCTTTGATCGCACCTACCGATTTGACAACCATATCTTTTCCTCCCCGCACGGGCCCGCTGTCTTCTAATTTATAGTTATACGACCAGCCATCCTAGGTAATGTCAGTGATCCCGAGTCAACGAGAAATAGGCGAAATCGTGCGGATTCAGCAACCTGTGATTAGTCTTTTCCTGTGATAAGTTTGCAACGGTACAATTACACAAAGACGAGAGCTTGGGTTGGAGTTCAGACCTCACGGAGAATCCAGGCCAGCCTATTTTTCTTCTAACAAAGACAAACTTTCAAGCTATGGGGGATTGCCTTAGTACGGGTGGTAGGACCTCCGTCCCGACTGTTCGTATCCTGATCGAACGTTGCCATGATTCACGGCAGTCCGTGTCCTTGTTCATGTGCCCTTGGTGGAGGGTCCTGCCTTATCTTGATCGGGTCCAAGCTATTGGTCAGATTCTGTTAGGATCGGCCTCACCTGGCCTTATTTGACAGGACTTCCATCTAGATAGTCCCTAGCTCCTCTCCCTCTGCTTTCCCCCTTCTTCAGCAGTTGGCACTTCCAATACAGTTGCATTGCTCTCTCTTCCCCTGTCTTCTCAATAGATTCACAGATTATAGCGCGACAAGGTTATATCTAGCAAATCCGTCGTCATAGCAGAGAACTCCGCTCTATCTGGCGCTTGACTGCTCGTTCCATTAATACCCAGGTTGGTTGATTAGTCGCTCGCTATCTAATTCGCAGGGCAAAAACAGTTTGGTAAATTAGTTTTGAACAAGTCATAATTCTATGTCTGTGACTATGAAAGGTCCACCTGGAAGCTTCGTACACTTCCCCTAACGTCTGATGACACATGCTCCTGAAAGCTCAACTGCGGACGCAGCAGATATACTCTTTGTAACCGAAATTAACTTTTCGGTTCATCGTTTGCTTAAATGTATCTCACTAGTCATGCATTTATTTTCGTTGGTTGAAGTAATAGAACTATAGGAACGATTATATATATCGGAACTGGACAAATCTGTCAACTGGACAATTCGTTTTTTTCAACGGGTGCTGTGCAACGGATAGAAGAGATTCTACTCCGTACTGAGATTTGAATTTGCTATTAAACTCTAATATAACAGGCTCAGGGTACTCTTATCTTTATCCGCCGCATGAGCCGTCTGGCCTCATGATCCCCATCTCACAACTCTCACAATTCCGTCTTAACAACTCCATCCTCACCCCGATGCACCTTCGAAGTACACAACCCCCTTTAGTTTTTCAGGGTGAGCACGGCAGGCTTCCACGGTAGGGAATTGTAGTTACCCCCCGGCGGTGGAATCTCGTCCCTGGTAGAGGAGTTGCAGGTTGCATGGATCGATGGTCATCGTTTGGTCAGGGTTGGTTCTAACCAAATCACCGTGACTGATGTCGTTGGTCCAGGTTGCACCGCTATTGGCTTTACCAGCGAAGGGCTTGCTCTCGCTTGCTGCCTGCTCTTCCCACGAACCGTCGAGACTGTTGGAGACGAATGAACGGAAATACCGCTGCTGTTGTGCTCCAACTGCTTCGATGATCATAAGGTACTTGTTCTGGCCCTTGACGGTGTACACCTGAACTGCTTCGAACAGGTCGTTCTTAGTGCCACTCAGCACCACTTCCGAACTTGTTCCGAAGTCTCCAGGGAATTTGTCGATAGGCATGCTGGCGCGATAGATCTTGCCATTGTCCCCAGCAAAGAAAAGGTACATATTCGTAGCGTCACCGATAACGGTCTGATCAATGGCGCCAGTGTCTGAACCGGTGATCTTTCCGGAAAAGAGGGCTTGCTCCGATGACCATCCATTGGTATCGGTAGGATCACTTGATGTTCGATAGGTAAACGTGCTCGAACCCCATTGGTAGGCCAAGACCCAGATGTCCTTTGGCTGGAAGTAGAACAAAGTGGGCGCGACAACTGTGAAGCTCATTCCGACTTGACTCGCAGTTGCCATGTCAGACCAATCCGAAAAGGGGCCGAAGTTCATCGAGCCGTAGTTCCCACTTGCGTCGGTGGTTGAGGCGTATACGAGGTGTTTATTGTTAAAAACCACGTTGGTGAAATCTTTGACTGCGGTCCATCCGGACTTTGGATTCGCTAGAGCGCCAGTTGATGTCCACGTATAAGTTGATGGAAGCGCGCAGTCGGCGACGACAGCTGGTGCTGATGCTAGCAACAACATGCCAGATGACACAAGGCCAGCTTTTGCCTTGGAGAATCTCATTGTCGTCGAGATCCTAGTGTATAGTGGTTTATTGGATTGAAGACTTGAAGCACAAATACAAACAAACCACCCTGGCTGGAACCGACCTTGTTTAAATACTCCAATGACGACTTATAAATTGGATAGTTTGGCCCGGGTAAATGGATTGAGCTAATTCCTTGTTTCCGAAGGATGAAATCCCCAATGTTTCAGTTTGAAAGGGCTGATCCTTGTGTGTTTCTTATTTGATAACTTCGGGGATACCTAGGTAATATTGACCAAAATAAACTATATTAGCCAGGGACAGCGGTCCACCGGACGATCCCCTTTCTAGAGATAGCTCCGAGCTAAATTCCACATCGAATTGGCCATTCCAAGCCTATATTCAGGCTGAGTTTAGGTAAATACATCAATGAGATCATAAGTCCTCCTGTGATTCTTGATGGTGACTCTAGGTGGTTTGATTTATTATTACTGACACGTCCATCATTATTATATGCTGTTTCACTGTCAAACACACTAGTTTTAAGAAAGCTTTTCTTAGTGGTTTTACCATCTTGGTGTAGGTTGCTCCTTGCGGAAAGCTGAAGAACGTCAGATGTAATCAGCCGAGGCACCTCCAAGCGGGATTTGGCAGGGGAGATTGAAAAATAGCTGAACTAGGAAAACCCGACTGCACGAAGTTGGAGCTAGCTACTTTTCTCAGCCTTCAATTCACCAAGTACCCGCCGTATGTTGTAGATGTTATCTCCACTCCTTACCCCTCTTCGTTTCATCTGAACGGCTGGGCTATTCTACCCTTGAGCACAAGCCAAGATTGTGGGCCCTTTCGTTACATGTTGGGGCTAGAATTTACAAGGGGCCTATATGCCTGAACGGACAACTGGAGCTTGGTGGTTGGATAGTATTCATTCAAAGTACATATCGTCCCAAGTGAAGTCCTCTATGCGAGCATTTAGGCTAAAAACAAATATTTAATATTATCCCATCCGAGGCATTTACTAGATAGAGGCTTGGATAAAATACAACTCCTATTCCCCATTAGTAAAAATAATTGACGATGGAGTCCCGTTTTGCATCGGGGAAGGATTTCCCCTTTAGCTGGCATTTCAATAGTCAACCTTGGAACTTCTCTTCCCGAAGAAATATGGGCTCCTGAGCTATATAAGTATCTTCTCATTCCCCCCAGACAATTTCTTCTACCAGTCTCATTTCTATTCATCGACTTGAAGAACCAACATGTTTCCCAATATGATTCAAATCAAGACAGCTGCCCTAGCTATGCTTTTCGCTACCCAAGTGCTTTCCGGGCCGGTTGAATCCCGACAGGCCTCTGTGAGCATTGATGCCAAATTCAAGACTCACGGGAAGAAATACCTTGGAAACATTGGTGACCAGGGCACCTTGAACAAGAATGAAAAGACCCCGGCAATCCTCAAGGCTGACTTTGGCCAAGTGACTCCGGAGAACAGTATGAAGTGGGATGCTACTGAGCGTAAGGACAACTGTTTCGTGGCGATTATAGTATCAGAAGCTGATTTGCAAAAATAGCAAACCAAGGACAGTTCTCCTTCACAGGGGCTGACGAGTTGGTATGTACCTGGCCTTTCCTATAGCAATTGCTTCTTTACCTGGTCCTTACACATTCTAGGTCGACTTTGCCGAGTCAAATGGGAAACTGATCCGCGGCCATACTCTCGGTAAGTCGTTGAAACTCTAGAACTCAAGTATGTCACAACAAGCAAAGCTAAACTCGTCAAGTGTGGTACTCTCAGCTCCCATCTTGGGTCTCTTCTATCTCAGACAAGACAACCTTGATCGATGTTATGAAGAACCACATTACCACGGTGATGAAGCAATACAAGGGTAAAATCTATGCCTGGGTATGTTCTCCCGACAATATGAGTTCTACAAAGCTACGATACTGATCAAACTAAGGACGTTGTAAACGAAATTTTCGAAGAGGATGGCTCCTTCCGCGATAGCGTCTTCTACAATCTCCTTGGAGAAGACTTTGTGCGGATCGCTTTCGAAACAGCTCGTGCTGCAGACCCAGCTGCGAAGCTTTACATCAACGACTTCAAGTGAGTCGCAGCCCTCTGCTCTTTTCATTCTGCATGGATTCTGACCTTACACAGCCTGGATTCCGCCTCTTCCACTAAATTGACTGGCATGGTTAGCCATGTTAAAAAATGGGTTGCTGCCGGTGTCCCAATTGACGGAATTGGTAAGATACCTGTCATCGCAGATCACCGTATAAGATTGCTTACTCCTTTCAAGGCTCTCAAACCCACTTGACCGCCGGTGGCGGTGCTGCAGTTTCGGAATAAGTACCCACTTGCTTCTTATCGACCGAAAATCAGCTAACAACCTCTCACGGCTCTGAATGCTCTGGCCAGTGCAGGAACCAAGGAGGTCGCTATCACCGAGCTTGACATTGCTGGCGCTGACTCCACCGACTATGTGAATGTGAGTCCCACAATGCTGTGAGTGGTATTATTGACTCCCTACTAAATCTCTATTTTTTTATAGGTTGTCAAAGCTTGCCTGGACCAGCCGAAGTGTGTCGGAATCACAGTTTGGGGAGTTTCTGACTCGGTAAATGCCCATTCTTCCCATGGTAAATCACATTGTATACTAATACTACATACTTTGTTAGGATTCGTGGCGCTCCGAATCGAGCCCATTGCTTTTCGACGGAAATTACAACCCCAAGGCTGCGTATGACGCCATCGCAGATGCCCTCTAGGGAAGATGCTTTCGACATCTATCAGAAGTTTATAGGCTACACTTCAACTCGAGAGTGTCCGGACAACAGGAAATCATTGATTTATTCGGTTAATCGAAATTGAATAAACCAAATTGAGATATCTCGCAGAAAGGGTCCAACGATGTTTCAGGGCCCCACGGTGGAGCATTTACTCGAAGAATGGAATCCTCAGACAGAACTAGCGTACCTCCCAACTCAAAATCTACTTGGAGATATGCTCCGCGTTTCTGGACTATGACCTTGAAGTCCACGTAATTAGGCTGATTTGGGCGGGTACCCGGTTCTTGCCAAGTAACCCCCTAACGTACTTGCCTAACGTAAAATGTACCTTTTACTAGTAATTCACATATAAAAGGTACATCCAGAAAATTAGGGTTTCTGGACTCTCGAATTAGATATGATAATTATAGTCTCAGTACTAGAATGCTAAGTATCAAGAGATATATATTCTCTATAAAATATAATCTCTAGAGAGGGTATCGTGAATATATGTTGTATAGCGCGAACAACTTTCGGAGGCTGTTCAAAACCCCTTCGTGATATAACACCACGATAACGCCGGTTTTAGATATTAAAATAGTGCTATCTAGTTTTATATGTAGATAAAATAGTACTATCGGATTCATTTTATTTTTATCAATTTTTGTCGAATTTTGACAGATGATAGGCCATATGTACCTTTTATATGTGAATGACTAGTAAAAGGTACCACCCGCATGGGGGTTGGGTTGCTTGGCAAGAACCGGGTAATCCGGTATTTGAGAGTCGATATTTGCCGAACAGAGTGTAGGGGGTTCAACCTCAGGGGCAAAGACCCTGAAGATCACATCCCAGATTGTCAATTACCCCACACCTGGCCAAGTACTCCGTACTCCGTACGTGTCTTGGAAACGGCCCCCGAGTCTCCAATTCTTAGTGGAGACTACTATATAATGCACTATATATAAAGCTTATCGACCGAAATTCTTAGACCTGTGACATGATACTAACTCCACTCTTGCTTCCTTTGACCTCTTTCCTAATTAAGTCGACTGTGCCGTGCATGGTGAATACTCTCTTAGATGCCATTTTACATAGGTTTCTGTCCAAGATCAGGTCGAGTCACTTGTTCAACAACAATGCATTGACGGTCACCCGTCACAAGGATGAGAGTTCTCTTTGCATTTTCACAAGCATCTTACCTTCTTTCCATCCACCGACCCTATTTTATCGACTGTCTTAGCAATTTCTCAAATTTCCCATACTTTAAGGTAGCGGACATCTACAGACGACTATGTGCATCCCGACATATTTCTCCCTGGCTAATTTCCCTTGCTTTTCCAATTTGTTTGTGTCCTAGCTAGACTTTCATAGGTAAAAGAGCTCTAGATATATATATATGTATGATATGGACTTTTTTACCCAACTCGCACTTTCACGTTACTAAAGGCAAATTTGCAGGGGTGAGCAGGGGTTAACCAATATAAAAATATATCTGAACTAGATATGCATATATTAACTATATCGAATGTTTTTCGCATAACTCGCACTTTCGCGTTACTTGAGGGAATAGTTATATAGTGTCAAGTTCCCCATGGATCTATGCATGTAGACACCTAATACTGGGTAACCCGTGGAAGTAAAATGTTTGCTTTGATGGGGATTTTCCGTCAACCATCTGAGACAAATAGGTCTGCAGGTCTACAGGTCTGCAGGTATATAAATGTGTTTGCTAACGTACGCACAATTTGATTTTAGGTAAGGTTGATCTGATTTGTGACTTCCAAGACTTTAAGCATCCACGTCTCGTTACTTCTTTCCTCTTTCTTCCTCCTTTGCACTTCCTTTACCAATTCTTCCATCTCACCAACTCTTTCCTCTCACACCCGCTATCATGGAGACAATCACCAACTATCTCTCGCTTCCTGCGATGGCGGAGTTCATCAGCGCATACGAGAATAAGCCAGACGCTGAGAATGCCAAGATCATGGTGGGCGCTCTCCTCACTTACGCCTTCGATTTGGATGATGGCTGGGTCTTCAAGTGGCAAGAGGATGAGGAGAACAACCACTCGAACTGTTTCGTTGTGAAAGCCGTTGGCGAAGAGAGGGCCCTGCACACCGTCGTGAAGATTATTCTCGACCCCTCTGGTTCCATCAAGGACAACTGGGATCAATCCGTTCCACGCTTGATCGGTGCCCCGCTTCCCAGTGAGCGATGCTGGGCCATCCTCGTCCGTGGCATCAAACTTCGTCTTTACGAATACCATCGCAACCAAAGTCCCGACGACCGTCTGGTCCCCTGTGACTTCAAGATTGCCGACAAGACCCAGCATGCCATCCATATTCGCAGAAATGCCGATGCAATCAACAACCTTCTCACCAGCATCCCTAACCGGGTCCCCCATCCACTCGAGGAGGGCGGAAACATGAACCCGGCTCCAAATGACTCTGCCACCGACATCGCAACTGAGTCGCAGGTCTCGCTGGATGCTACTCTTGAGACTGTCCCTGTCTCTGGTGCGTACGTGGAGTCATCCTCTGAGGATCCTCCCACTGAGGCTAGCGAGGAAATTGTGCCCGCTAGTGAGGACAAGACGCCTACTCAGGCGGAGCCTGTCGCTGTGCATGAGGCCGCTACCCAGGCCATGACAGCAATTGATGCCAATACTACTCCCTCCCAGATCAAGCGTACCGCCGAGGTCAACGGAACCCAGGCTAAGATCGCTTCTCAGGCCAAGGCTGCATTTATGGCTAAGGCTGCTGCTGGGATCAAGAGTACTACTCCGGCCAAGACTGCTACTCAGGTCCAGACTGCTACTCAGGTCAAGACTGCTACTCAGGTCAAGACTGTCACCCCGGCCAAGACTGTCACCCCGGCCAAGACTGTTACCCCGGCCAAGACTGTTACCCCGGCAAAGACTGTTGCTCCAACCAAGCCTGCTATTCAGGTCAAGCCTGCTACTCAGGTCAAGCCTGCTACTCAGGTCAAGCCTGCTACTCAGGTCAAGCCTGCTACTCAGGTCAAGCCTGCTGCGGAGGTCAAGAATGGTATTCAGGCCAAGATTACCAATCCAACCAAGGCTGCTCTGCTAGCGAAGGGGATTTCTGGAATGAAGATCACTCCGCAGATCAAGTCCTCAAACATGACTGAGGTTGTGGGACAGGCAGGAACAAACTAGAAGGTATCTGACTTGTTGAGCCTCCATGACTATCTACTTCTCGCTAATGGCAGTACCTCCAATAGGTCGCACGTCTCTCACAGAACACTCTTTTTCGGTTCACGGTTTACGCTTCACGGTTTACGCTTCACGGTTCTCACTTCACGGTTCTCTGTTCTCGGTGCTTCCTACTCTTGTTCTTTCTTTCCAGACATCGATTTGTCTCATCCAACACCGGTACTTTCAGCAAGTGCTAAGTCTTGTGCATGGTGGAAGTCCGGTTCCTGGTGTTTCACAAAACGCATCAAAAATCATCAAAAATCATCAAAAATAAGCTGAAGTCCCTTCATGACTTCACAGGTGGGCGGTTCTTTGCTATCTTTTTCGCGGGGCTTTTAATATCTTTATCTTTTGCTATCAAGTGGTGCATTTTCTAGGGGAGGAATTACATCTATTAACATGGTCTTAATTGAAAACTCTTTTTCCATATCTACTTCCGGGAGATGCTCTCAGAAGCATCATCCAAAATAAGTAAAAGCATGAACAGTTGACTTGTGAGTTGTTCGGAAACGGAGGTTTTTAGGGTTACCGTAGTTACGACGTGCGAGAAGGGTTAGAACAACCTGAAAACCACAGTATAGGAACTGGTATCAATTAACAGCCTTGTCGATAGAAATAATTGCCCAGAATGGACACAGGGTAGTTTCAATAATCTACAACGATGAAGAAATAGCAAGCAAAGTAAAAGCAAAGGGTTATCACACAATCCGTATAAATCCCATCTGGAGGATTTAGGTGTACTTCCGAAGCTGTGAATGATCATTGTCAGCATATTTCCATATCGGCGTATACGAAAGGCATCTTCAAAACTCACATCAAGCGTCAACGATTTGCTGCTGTTCTCCACCTGGTCCCGGTAGATACCGACCAGAGCCTCACTGTTCTGGAACAGTCCGGTTTTCAGACTAATCACGATAAACTGCATGCCAGGTGCGGCATGGTCATGGATATAGTTGGCGATGCGGGCGACATTGGTGTTGTCCAGGGCTGCGTCAACCTCGTCCAGCACGAAGAATGGAGACGGCTGGTACGAGTGGATAGCGAATAGCAAAGCGAGTGCGGCCATGGTCTTCTCGCCACCTGAAAGGTGCTCCATGTCTCGGAAACGTTTGAGAGGAGGCATAGCGTGGTATTTGATGCCGTCCAAATACGGTTCGTCCGAATCCTCAATATCGAGGTAGCTGTTTGAAATGTTAGTTATCATCGTTCGCAGTCGGATGTTCAAAAAGAAACCTACGCTTGACCACCCAGGGGGTAATTGGCACTGCGCGTGAGTTCACGGTAGATCGGCCCAATTTGCTCGGAAATGTGAGTGAATGCCTTGTTGAAGAGATCGGACCGCGTCTTCATCACGGACTCAAACTCTTCCTTGGCCTTTCGTGCAGACTTCCGGGCGTCCTCGAAGTCCTTTTCGGTGCTGCGAAGTTTGTTCTCGACACTCTCCAAGCGCTCCATGGCACGCGCATTCGGCGCCATCTTGTCGAGGTCGCTGTTGAGAACACGGACCTTTTCGAGCAGTTCATCCTCGAGCTTGTCATCGGCCTCCTGTAATTGAATTAGTATGTGGGAAACAAGGCGATAGGAGTGAACACTAACCTCTTTCAGGGTCTCCCCCAGAGAGTCGAAGTCGACCTCGATACCATAATCGTGCACCGGAGGAGCCTCGTCCAAACCATCTCCTTCATCCACCTCCATGGCATCCGGATCTGCTGCTTGCACAAGGTCATCAATTGGAAGCTTGTCAAGCGAATTAGAAGACTCGGCCAAAGGAACATCAATGTCTTCAAGCTTGCAGCGACGCAGAAGAGCGTAACGACTGGAAGAGTTCCTCTGGATCTCTGCTTCAAGCGCATTGACGTTCTTCAACGCTGCTTCAACGTGCTTGCTACGCCTCTGGAGTTCACGGCGCTGCTCTGCCAAGTTTTCTGCTGACTGGCCATAGATTTGCTTCTGCTCCTGGAGTGCCTCTCGGAGGAGCTCAAGCTCCGCTTCGAATTCATCGAGCTGTTTGCGGATTTCTTCTTGCTGGCCTTGTAGCTCTTCAATCAGGCTCTGGTCGCGCTCGTATTGGGCTTTGAGGCCATTGATTCGGTCCTCGGTGGCTTGAATACGTTGTTTCTCGAAGCTGAGCTGGTTCTCAATTCGGCTCTTTTGGGTGGTGAATTCAAGCTTCTTTTGCGCGGCCTCTTCCTGCATAGAGCCCTGCTGGGCCTCATATTCTCGGATATCATCATACCCTAAGCGCTTGCAGAACTTGCGGTAGATCTCGTCCTCAACGGTGCTGACCGAAGCTTGTGACGTTTCGATTGTCTCATCTAGCTCGTCAAGGTTTTCCTTACGCTCGGTGTATTTAGGTCGCAGTTCCTCCATCTGGCCCTTAACGAAGTCCAGCTCGCTACGTTTGCTCTCGAGGTTCCTCTCGAGGGCCTTCAACTCATCACGGGAGTAATTGAGGCGCTGCTCGAGACCGACGAGGTCACCCTGGAGCGTCTCTTCTTCAGACCCTCGGCGGTGACTCTTGGGGAGGGTGGTGAGATCACTCATGAGCTTCTCCTTTAATTTATATAGGTTCTCAACCTCAGAATCTTCCCAGCGCTTGGAGTTCTGCTGAAGACCACGTCCACCAGTCATGAGACCACCCTTGTGGATGACAGTTCCATCGAGGGTGACAGCCTTCGCGTCCACATTTCGTTCGTAGCAAAGATACTTGGCCGTCGCCAGATCGTCACAGACAATAGAGTTGCCGCAGGCGTAGCTGATTGCGCGCGCAACCGAATCATCATAATCAATAGTCTCAATAGCAGGGCGCATGCCCCGATGCATGCCCTTCAGGTTCGAGTTGAAGGCCTTGACTTGAATTGTTTCTAGCGGGACGAATGTGGCCTGACCTGCTCGTTGGTCGCGTAGGTGCTGAATGCACTCTTTGGCAGTCTTCTCGTTGTCCACAACAATAGCGTCGAAGTGTCGACCTAGTACGGTGCTGACTGCATCGGAGTATTTCTTCTGCTTCGGCCGGCAAAGGTCACTGACACGGCCTTTGACGCCGGGGAAAATGCGCTTCAATGCCGAGATTAACTCCTTGGCTCGGAGCTCGCGTTCGGTCTGCTTCTTACCATCATCGGCCTCGAGAAGCTTTCTTAACACCACCTGAAGCTTTTCTTCTAGCTCGGTCCGCATTTGGGAGACCTTCAAACGCTCGGAGGTCAATGCGTTCAGCTCCTTCTTCTTACGGTCGATTTCTTTAGAGGTGGACTTGACGGTGTCATTGAGAGACGACTTGCGTTCAGTCATGTTCTGGACATCGGATTCAACAGATTTGAGTTGCCACTCAGTATTCTCGAACTTGCCCTTCAAGCTGTTGACTGCTTCAGCTTCGGTCTTTCTCTGCCGGCGCAGATTGTCCAGGTTCAATGAGTCCGCCGACGAACGCCGATTGACTTCTTCTCTGAGCTTGTGGTACTCCTGCTGATCGGCTTCGCTCAGCTGGCCACCCTTCTTGCTCATCGCCTTCTGCCATTCAACTTCCCACTGAGCCTGAGCTTTCTCGACAAGCTTGAGATCTTTTTCTAGTTGCTTGCCATTGTTGGATTGTGATGCGCGCTCCTTCTCAATCTCGGTAATTTTTGAAGAGTATCTCTCAACCTTCTTCTGGGTGATGTCGATCTTCTCGTCGACAGGCACAAGCGAGTTGTTGAGTTCTTCAATCTCTCTCTCCTTTTTCGTGATGTTTTTCTCGGCCTTGCCGACATCTCTGCCGACTCGAGCATGGTCTTTCTTGGCGTCTTCGACGTTCTTCTCATATTTCTCGACGCCACGGCGGTACTCCTTGAGCTCATCTTGATATTTCTGGATATCCGCACTGGAGTCGTCGATCAGTCGCTGGAAGTGAAAGAGCTTCCATAGGATATGAGTGATAATGGCCTGGTCGCGTTCTTCGGCCTTTTTCGCATAGTTCTCGGCCTCTCGCTTCTGTTCTTGGTATTGCTTGACTTCGGAATTGATTCCTCGTCGACGGTTGAGCTGGACGGTTTGCTGTTCCGCGGCCTCCTCCGCCTCTGCCTTGAACTTTTCATAGTCGGCCTTGTGCTCCAGACTGCCAGAGATCTGCTCAATCAACCGAGTAAGGTCTCTGGGCGACTGGGATGCGATTGCCTCGACATCACCCTGGAACACCAGGAAGTTTCGCGCCTTGATCAAGATGTTCTCCTCCTCCAAGGCCTCGTTGTATTGGTGGGCAGACACGATTCGGTTGTTAATGCGGTATTCACTAACACCCTGGCTAGTAATAGATCGGCGCCATTGCTGCTCCTCGCCTGCGTCGTCCTCATAGACTGCCATCACCCAAGCGGATTTCGGGTCGTTTCCACCGGCATCTTGGGAGACATCCATGCTCTCTGGCTCCTCCTCTTGCTGGCCATCCTGCTCATCGGCAGCAGGCTCTCCATCCACTTTAGATGTGCGCAAAACGCGGCCACGGTACACAAGGTCACGGAGATTCGTCGATCGCAGGTGAGAAGACTTGATTCCTAGAACGAAAGATATGGCATCCATCCTAATGCGCATTAGCCTACGGTTCTTTGGGCTAAGACCAGGAGGCACTCACGAGTTTGACTTGCCAGACCCGTTCGGGCCAATAATCGACGTGAAGTACGCATCTCCGAACAGGAGGACATGATGTCCCTTGTAGGATTTGAAGTCTAGTAACAAAGTTAGCTACTGCCTGCGTCGCATCTTCCGGTCGTACATACTGAAAAGCTCCAAACGAATGAGTTTTCCCATCTTGCCAGCGGCTTCCTGAGGGAGCAACGCGCCGAGAAATTCAAGAACCCTGTTATTTAAACAAGAGATTGAGTTGTGGGCAAGATGTGGGAGGGGCGCGATAACGGGTGAACCGCGTCCACCTAAGACGCGCCGGCCATCACGTGGCACCCCAAATTTAGTGGCGCATAAACGTTGGAAGACGACCCTACGACATTACATACTAAAAATATATTCTAACAAGCAGTAGGATTCTTATAAGATACTCTGTTGTGGTATTATTGAAATCGCCTTCCTGACTGGTATTACAAGTGCTCTATCGCTATCTAAGAGACAAAGCAAAAATGATGTACAGAACATAACTAGATGCGACACGACACGAAGAGACCTTCGTGATACTTGGATAATGATCTCCAATTAATCTCTGAATGGCATCTTCACATTCACCATGCGCCCAAAGTGTAGGAGATCATCCGAGATGTATCCATTGGAGTCCAGTCGGAAATGGGTTTTGTGACCCGCCAACTGCACAATGATGAAGTCCTCGTTCGTGAAAAGTTGCCGCACGCTCTGGAAAATCCGGCGAGGCATGGATTTCACCGTCCTGATAAAGGTTGGCTCGGTTTCCAACGTGCGGCCGAGTTTGGTACTATCCTCGTAACGCTTCATGGTTTCTGGAGAGACCGAGATTCTGCGCTTGAAAGAGAGATCACCCGGTGCCACTTCGACCTGGTAAGGCTTCTTGAAAGGGACCATGCTTCGGACACTGAAAAGGACGCGCATACGACCATCGGAGTTGACCGCTCTGATATTCTTGACTAGGGAGCCAGTTCGGGCGATGAACAGGGTGCCACCAACACTCATCATGATACAGATACCACCAAATAGAGATTTCTGCCACATTGGAAGAGGAACCAGAGGATCCACGAGAACCGCGTTCGAGTTGTAGATGGAATAGGCGAAGCAGAACGCGGAGAGACCGTACGCAGTTAAGATATATGGGCGATGAGAAGGAGCTTGGAACAAAAGCACTTGTCCGGCTTTTACTACTTTCGCTTGCAGCTTCGCAATGGCACGGGGGTTCTTGTTCCCATAAGGGCTTGCGGCTTGCCACGCGGAATCGACAGTTCTGGCCACACCCTTGATCTTGTAATGAGGCGCACTAGAAGTGAAGTGGCGCAAGGACGATGCCGAGTTCATCTGAAAGCCAGGTCGCATTGGACTTTGTAGGCATTGGCGCCAGAATATTGAGAAGGTGGGTGTTCTGACGGACATGGCTGTACTGGGCCTATGGATGCTCACGTTAGTAAAGTGATGTAGACCATGACGTGCAGCCAATTGACACTCATAAATCCGGAGGGGAATTGGCAGAGAGTCAACGATAAAATAGCTTCGGCTCGATAACTTACTAGGACAAGAATCAATTGACCGTCGTTCTGATCGGAAATCGCCGATAATGGCCAAAACACCAAGCGGCAGAAAAATGTTCCCGTCCCGGCCGCCGGTGAAAGCTCCCAACGCCCTCAACACCTCCAACAGCTGCTTTGAATTACCTCGCCAAACACACGACCTCAGAAGAATTGACCTCGGAGATTTGTGCGCTTTGACGTGGTGGTGGGCTCTTCGTTGATCCTGCTCGTTCCTTTCGAATCCAACGTCCGCGGCGAGTTGCGACATCGGCCGAAGATCCCAATCGGCATCGCAGCACTCCCAATCTTCCAAAACTCCAGAATCACTTAGCAATGGCAGCCAAGATCACAGTCGGTCAGGTTCCGGCCATGTTTGCTCGCCGTCAACAGAAGGTGTTCGGTGTCGGCAGACGTGAGTTTCCCATCCATGTTCATGGCAAACAGCATCTCCGCAACGGAAAGCCGCTCCTCGAGGCTCAGGTCTACGGCGGAAACTACTTGCGATATAACAAGCATTGCTTAACTAGTGCTAACACCGACATCCCTTCTAGGCCTGCAATCCACCGCTCCCACAACCCAGAACCCCGCCTATCCGCTCTACCCCTCCGTCGCCCAGCTCCTCCGTGAGAAGGGTATTCCCAAGTCTGATGTCGACAAGATCCCAGCTTCGGGCCCCAAGGGTCGTCTCTTGAAGGGTGACGTACTTGCATATATCGGCCAGATTCCCGCCAACTACCCATCAACCCAGGCCGCCACTCTGGCCAAGCTTTCTCACCTCGATCTGAGCAACATCAAGATCGCCCCGGCCCCGGCCCCGGCCGCCCCGGCCGTGGCTGAAGAGGAGATTGTCTCCAAGCCCCTGCCCATGACTTCCGTCGCCATCTCTATTTCCCTGGCTACCGTGTTGTCTACCCAGAAGAAGCTCCAGGATAACCTGGGTGTCACAGTCCCGCTGTCCCGCTTCCTTGCCGTCGCTACAGACCTTGCCAACGACGACCTGCCCCGCTTGGCTAGCTTCAAGCCCTCCGCCGATGAGCTTTTCGAGGAGGTTCTCGGCGCCCAGCCGATCAACACATCCCGCGGTGGTTATATTCCCGAGCTGAACGCTTTCGAGGCCCCGAAGACTGTCCGCTCTAAGCCTGTCACCGAGGACCTGATCGACTTCCTCAGTACAAAGTCGTCCAAGAAGTCCGTGCCTACGGCTTCGGTTGAGAGCTCGGCCGGTGTTGCTTCCAACGTTTTCAGCTTGACCGTCCCTGTTGGTGAGGAGACCCGCGCCAAGGCATTTTTGGAGCGAATCAAGACTCTTCTCTCAGTTGAGCCAGCACGGTTGGTGCTTTAGATTTTCCTTGGTGTTTCAAATCTCCCTTCTTCGAGCTTTTTTCTTTTGTTTGTTTCCGGTCATCTGCGCCAAAAACTGGGCAGGCGAAGCTCATTCATGAATGTATACAGTATAGCATAGTTAATCGGATATTTCCTTGATTGGGTTACTTCGCTTGAGAAAAAGAAATTAAGTTAACTATGCGAAAGAAGGTCCTTAGTCAAGGAGAAGAAGCAAGAGCTTGGACCTCCAAGAAACATATAAGTGTCAATCAATTTCGATTCTCATTTGGTTTCAGGCATGGTTTAGATCCCATGAAGGTTGGTTGGCATAGCTAAATCCTCTGAAATGGGAACATAGGCACAAATTTGTGCCGAAAAAAAGGGTCATGTCATCATCAAAAGCAACCATGCAAAAGACAAATTGAAATGAAAACACCCCCCGCGCAACACCGCATACCGGCAACCAAGAAACACCGCAAGCGCCGCCGCTCAAAGCCTTGAAGTAACGTGTGGGTGTAGAAATGCTCGCTCGACTCCAAGGTGACCGGCCAGTACGGCCAGTACGGCCAGCCTAAATCCCAGCCAGAGTAGGACGAATGAATGGAAGGGATCAAGGAAACAAGTGGAAGCAAAAAAAGCAAAATGAAAAAAGAACTCAAACAAAGTATCCATTCCGAATGAACGAGCGCCGGACGTCCACCCGCAAAATGCTTTAAACCGCCGATGGAAAAAAAAACATGCAATAGATGCCGACGCATAAAAAGATGAAGAGTGAGATCCCCCTCAGGCCATGCGATGATTTTCCCCCAGTGACCAAATTGAAGAAAACCCAAAAACGCCATGTCGAATGCAGATGAAGAGACAAATTAGAAGGTAGACAGTATTGGCCGAACTACCGGATGGTGCCCCATTCGGCCAGTTTGCTGCCTTCCCGACGAGTGTCTCTTGTAGCTCGTCTATCAAATATTTTCCAGAATCTGAGTGTTTCGTCGCCTGCTCCTGTTACGACGGTTTCGCCATCAGGGCTCATGGCGAGGTAAAGAACGCGGAAAGTGTGACCAGTCAAGGAGACGATTTGTTCCATGCGAGGGTATTTCCAGATGACGATTTGGTTCTGGCTGTAACCGTGTGTGCTGATGATCTCGTCGGAGTTTTTGCACCAAGAGAGGTTGCAGACCTGACTACCGGTGTCGACCTCTTTGATCATTGAGCCGGTTTGTGTGTTCCAGAACTTAATGGTGCGGTCTGCAGTACCACCACCAGAAGCGAGAAGATGGTGTTGATGAGGAGACCATGCAATGGCCTTGACTGCTGCGTTGTGGTCGGAGAAGCGGTAGAGGGGTGTCTCGCTCAGCTTATCCCAAACCATCAACTTGTTGTCGTTGCCGCCGGATGCTAATTGGCCATCTTCAGTGTTCCACTTCAAACCACAAACTTCTTGTTTATGGCCAGAAAGCTTTCGAATGTACTGGTCTGGAGACCGAACATCACGGTGATAGATGAGACGGTCTCGAGATCCCGATGTGAGAATGTGATCGTTCCACGCCAAAGCACCAACTCGGTTGGTATGTCCAATCATGGTTCGTAGCCGCCGGCAATGCTCAGCGTCCCATATTTGTACTAGGCCTTTACCCGTGCCAATTGCAAGATGTGTACCCTGTAGTCCTTGATGTGAGTATCATGTATGGAGCATTCACATGCAGATTTCTTGCTTACCCTTTGAATCCAGCTCACGCTGGTCACGGTATCATCTTTCAGCTCGCAGAGCCTCGTAACTCCACCGGTGTGGGAGTTCCACATATAGACACAATTGGCCAATCCAACACCAAGAACATTACCACTGCCCCAGTCCACCAGGTTCAAATAGAAATCATCCTGAAGATCCGGTGCATCCAGGACCTTGTATGGCACCTTGTTTACATACCGGGCCTGTTTTCGAGGTGTTTCGAGAATACGCTGACTGTCGTATCGAATGGGAGAAAGACTGTAGAGCTCAGAGCGCACGTCTAAGTTGGGGCCATGCACACTTCGAGGGGTTTTAGAGGGGGTTGGATGTCCCGATCCGGGCCGTGAAGGTCCATAGTTGAAGAGGTTCTTGTGTGGGGTGGTGGGGGTGATGCTAGCTGGAGGGAGATTGGAAGCCATATGAGCGGGTGGTGTATGAGATCGAGTCTTGTCATTGATTCCATTGCTGAAGCCGAGCAATGGGTCGGGTGGCGCAGAGTTCAAGTCGGGTTGTGGAACCGTGTTTCCGAACAGCTCGCTGCGCAAAACTCGAGAAAATGTGAGGTTGGCTTCCTCGGCTGCGATAAAAAGTCAGTTCAAATGTACAACGCATTGGATTCCGATATGTGACACACTCTTTTGGAAATGGAGCTCGGAGTGAGGGGGGCGTTTCTTCGCCTTGGAAGGAGTCGATGGGCAACCATCTTCATGCAACAGACTATAAGTCGCTTGTAGATCTTGTCCGTCGCGATTGGGGATGAATCTGAATTATTGTCAGTAGCTGGGTCATAGATGACTGCCATTGCTTTTGTCGCGGGCTTTCCGATTGAAGACGACCAAAAGCGTGGCTTACCGGTCCCCGTAGACCCGCTGTCTCTTGCGACACGGACTGGAGGCCGGGGTTCTGTCCCTCCGGCCCCCAGCAGTCTCATAATCCAGCAATGCTTTTGCAAGCGCACTAGGGTCGATTGGGTCTGCTTCATCTTCCCGTTGGCGGCTGCCCGAATTTGAATTGTCTGGGAAATACATCGTGCGCTTAGAGGGCATGCTTGGCGGCGTCTTCGATCCAGGCGGTGATGCAATGTTTGATATCTGCGATATTCGAGGTCTTGATGCCGACCTATTCCCAGCCTTCTTTGAATTCTGAGGTTTGTCCGCCATGGCGATGTCTGGTTGTCTGTCCAAGCCCCAGAGCCAAAGTGCAACCAATCAAGACAGAGATAAGTGTTGCATAAGATAGAAGTGAAATGTCTGTCAATCGAGGATGTCAAACGGTCAGAGATCCGGGTGTAGGGTCAAGGGTATTTAAAGGGCGATTCGCAGAGGGTCCGTTGTTGTTGATCCAGAGGCGGAATGATGGCCCCAGCCGTTGACGCCTGAAGAGAGAAGATGTTCCAGGAGAAAGTACGAGCAGACCCTGTTTCACCAGGCAGACTAAACAAAGAAGTGTCTGAACTTCAGGCATGTGAATGAATGAATGTCTTCAAGGGAGTGACGGAGTTGCGCAGGGCGACTCTCTGGGTCACGCGTCGGGTACGCTAACCTGATTTAGCCGATGGCAATCGGGCCCCATCAACCAGGTCAAATCAGTTAGTTAAGTACTCTTCACCTTTTTGACCACACTGATGGATATTTTATACTATTTCAGTGAGGTCTAGCTCTTTGGTTTACTTTTACAAAGCAGTCTCATGCTGGTTGCCGAGAATATTTGGAACGTTCTGTTTCAGCATGGCTTTGTTACAATTGAAACTGATTTCACACTGTTAGTCCTGTTGTTTACTTTGGACGCGCACAAACTAGTCTAACTGGACCACTGAAAGTGGGGGGCATGTGAGGGATCTATAATGGGTCGTTTTTCTAACGCGAAATGCACAGATTGGTTTGGTATACGCGCTTGTTTCGACGCGACGCGACGAAGCTTGGGCCATGGCAACGACAATACCAATCTTAGAAATTATATGCCCAAAGCTTCTATAGTGGGGTTGGCTTTACAACCAACTATCTATACAACAGAATATTACTGCGGAGTAAAGTAAACATAATAGTAATAAATGAAATGTATCCTACAATCTCTATCCGATTACCTGAAATAGTTCTGAGACTACCGGTGTCGTCTAGTTTCAGTGGCTTTGTTACGTGACATTGCCATCCGCAGTCACCGCCAAACCAATCAAACCTCCGGCAAAAGCCCAACTTTCTTTCTTTGTGCTCCCCCTGCAATGGTCCTCAGGCGTCTTTGTCCTGATATTATTGGTTGTTCTCAACGTTATTCTACAATGGCTGCCAAGCAACCTGCTCTGGACTTCTTGTCCTTTGTGAATTCTGCTCCTACCCGTATGGAGTCCCCATCCGATGACGTGGGATGTCGCTGATTTGTCTTATCTACAGCTTTCCATGCCGTCCACGAGGCCAAGCAGCTTCTCACTAAGGCTGGGTTCCAAGAAATTAAGGTCTGTTCAAACTAAACCCGGAGTGGTAAGAATGTGGCTCATCCATCAATAGGAGAGAGACTCTTGGGCGTCAACCTGTCAACCGGGAGGCAAGTACTACTTGACTCGCAACACTACTACCCTCGTGGCATTTGCGATTGGCAAGCAATGGCAGGTATGTACCGATTGCGGAATTGAATAAACAATCTTTAATTCATGGATATAGCCGGGCAATGCCATCTCTATGATCGGTGCCCACACCGACTCTCCGGTGTTGAGGGTCAAGCCCGTTAGCAAGAAGAGCGGGGAAGGTTTCGTCCAGGTCGGTGTTGAGACCTACGGTGGAGGCATCTGGCACACTTGTGCGTGCCATTGATTACCCTCAAACTATCACCATCGCTAATTCCATCCAGGGTTTGACCGTGATCTGGGTGTCGCTGGCCGGGTTATGACTCGTGAAAGCGATGGTTCTATTGTGCAGAAACTGGTCAAGATTGACCGCCCCAGTATGTTTTATGTTGACCCAATAAATGTGCCTTGCTAACAGGTTAGTCCTCCGTATTCCAACACTGGCTATCCATCTGGACCGCCAGGAGAACTTTGCATTCAACAAGGAAACACAGCTGTTTCCTATCGCTGGCCTTGTTGCTGCAGAACTCAACCGCAATGGGGGAACCGACACCCCTAATACAGACGAGGGTGCGGGGTTCTCACCTTTGAAATCTGTCACGGAACGTCATCACTCTCATTTTGTTGACCTTATTGCTGCGGAGGCTGGTGTCAATCCAAGCGATATTCTAGATTTCGAAATGATTCTATTCGACACTCAGAAGTCCTGTCTTGGTGGTATGCTGGAGGAACTCATCTTTTCTCCTCGCCTAGACAACCTGAACAGCACTTTCTGTGCTACAGTTGGTCTGATTGACTCTGTGGCCGAGCAATCAGCCCTCGATAACGAAGATGCGATCCGCCTGATTGCCTTGTTTGACCACGAGGAAATCGGAAGCCGCACAGCACAGGGTGCGGACTCGAACGTGCTTCCGTCGATTATTCGCCGTCTGTCCGTCCTCCCGTCCTCCTCCAAGAGCACTGACTTGTCAACTGCCTATGAGCAAACTCTGTCCACCTCCTTCCTTGTCTCCGCCGACATGGCTCACTCGGTCAACCCCAACTATGCGGGCAAGTACGAGTCGGACCACAAGCCGGAGATGAACAAGGGCCCGGTGATTAAGATTAACGCCAACGCTCGCTATGCAACAAATTCCCCTGGAATCGTTCTCCTTGAGGAGATTGCGCGCAAGACCACCAAGGAGACTGGTGAGCACGTTCCTCTCCAGCTCTTTGTGGTTCGTAATGACTCCAGCTGTGGCAGCACCATTGGCCCGATGTTGTCTGCTGCACTGGGTGCGCGGACATTGGATCTGGGCAATCCCCAGCTCAGCATGCACAGTATCCGTGAAACAGGCGGCACCTATGATGTTGCCCATGCCATTCGTCTGTTCACTGGGTTCTTCAAGCATTACTCAGAGCTGTCGAAGACGATCCTTGTGGATTAAGCTTACCAGGAATATGTATGAAGTGGTACAAACAATAAGCTACATTCAAACGGGGTAGCATTCCATAGTATCCAATTTTAAAGCATTAAAGTGCTGAATTGATGTTACAACATACATAATACCAGAACATCTTAAAATAAAACAGAAACATGCTGTGCATGTACCTTGGGAGAAGCACGTGGTCCGGACCGAGGAAAGTCCGCCTCGACACATCTCCGTCTCCAACAACCCATCCATAGTTACCCCAGCCGCCAAAGCACGGGGAGTCTCCACCTCGACTCCTTATATCCCGTTTGTTGCATACTGTTCAAGCCCTCATGACCCTCTATGACAGACGTTGATGCCTATCGGGATGCGGAATACATCGCTGACGTGTCCGGCATATCCTATGACGATGCGGAACCCCCACAGCCAACAGGCACGCCCAGCAGCCAAAACGCGCGTGTGAAGAAAGTCAAGTCGACCGCCAAAGTCGCCTTCATTGATCGATTGTTGCGCGATCTCGACATATTAGTTTATTGTCAACTCTCCGCCCTGTATTACATGGAGTAAGTCCAACTCCAACCATGATCTTCAACCGTCTTTCCACCCACGACAGACCCCTAACATCTGTTTCTGTCCGTCTAGCTGCTCGATTGTCTTATTTGCCATACGTGCCATCGTCGAATTGATCTTCTTCACACCAAAAGCATCCCCCTTTGAACCTACACGCAATCAGCCGTATGTGGGCGCCATCCTCGGCAGTAACCTCATCTGCATGGTCTTCCATGCCTTCCTGATTCATCCCGAAGCTGGCGAGGAAACACGCGGCTATCTACATGGGGGACTGTTCATCGACTTCATCGGGCAGGCTCCCGTCTCTGTTTACCGGCTTCTCTCGTTCGACCTTTTAATCTTTCTAATCGATATCATCATGCTGGCCTTGATTATCGAGCGGGTGAAGACTAATGGAACCCCCGTACCAGCGCCTACAACGCCGAATTCAGATACAGTCACAGAGACAACCACAGAGACAGGCCCAGATGCGGAGGAGTCCCAGCCACAGGACCATGATGCCGAGGAGCGTGGCATTATACGGCAAGAGGATGGGGAGGAAACAATGTCCCCCGCCCATCATAATTCCGATTCACATCACAGTAGCTTCGTCGATGAAGAGGTTGAAGAAGAGCGCACGACGCTCTTGGCCGACCCGGCCGACCCTGAATCTGGCAGTGGTGCTCGGGGTGAGCACCCGATGGATACATTCGCGGCTGGTGAGGCTGTCATTGTCAACATGAGCCTCCTAGGTACAATTCGTGACCAATGGCGCCACTCAAATGCCGCGGCACGGCCAACGTCCGGCTTTGTGCCGTCCCCCGAGACGGCAACGTTTCTCCGGCAGCGCTTTGGTCTCCAGGTTGGGACTAATGGTCGCATAGAGCGTGCGAATACAACATGATGCAAATCTATATTCCAGCTCCTGCGGTAAACTATATATATGTACTAGTAAATTCCCACGAACAAACCTTTCAATGCCATACCTTCAGGTTGTTTTGTTCGGTTCATATATACTATCAACATATCCCATCTTTCTTAATGGGTTTACCCGATATTAGGGCAATCAGAGCCACATCAGAATCATCACACATTCATAGAAATCACCTTGTTCAATGTCAGATCTCGACCCTAACTCTGAAATCTATGATATCCATAGGCCTATGATGCTAGAAACTTGGTCCTTGCGAGAAAAGCGCTTACTCCTTCAGTTAGAAGGTTGCCTTGAATTCAGATATATCACAGCAGCATCCAGAACCAAAATTACGAAAATCCCCGAAGTAAGTGACAGAAGGTGATCATGGTCGATTTTATTAACACACAATTCTGCAATGCAACTGATAAAGTCCTATGGCTAGACAGGAGACACCAAAACCCCTTGTATATACCAAAGCATCATAGACACATTGTGGAATTTATGCAGTAGGAGGCTTAGCCTCTTCCCCAGAACCCTCCTTCCCCTGGACTCTACGGTCCAGAATCTCATCAATAACACCCAACTCGAGCGCCTCATCAGCACCCATGAAGTAATCGCGCTCCATAAGCTTCTCAATATCATCTAGGGACAACTGCTTCTTGCTAGTAAGATGGCGTCGGTAGATCTCATTGAGCTGAGTGCGCACGCGCAGAATCTCTTTTGCATGGATAGCGATGTCGGACGCCTGTCCGAAGTAGCCGCCCGAAGGCTGGTGTACCATGATCGAGGAGTGCGGGAGACAGTAGCGCTTGCCTGCTTCGCCGCCGGCAAGAAGAAGAGAGCCCATTGATGCTGCTTGACCAACGCAGATTGTGCTCACGGGAGAGGCGATATATGTCATTGTATCGTAGATCGCGAGGCCTGTGGAATTGTTCATCAGTATAGGTCGGTGATAGCGGTTGGGGTAGGTCCACGTACCGGCTGTTACTGAGCCTCCTGGGGAGTTGATGTAAAGGTGAATTGGTTTGGCAGGGTTATCGGCTTCGAGGAAGAGGAGTTGTGCGACTATCGATGCGGAGAGGGTGTCGTCGACTTGGCCGTTGAGGCAGATGATGCGTTCCTGGAGGCTTGATTAGCATGGGTAGGTTGCGGGGGAACTGTCCTCCTGTATCTAGTTACCTTCATTAATCGAGAAAAGATATCGTCTGTCGTACGCGATGCAGGTTAGTAGGTTGATCATGTTTTGGGTCATATGCAAGCTCCGGTGATGAGTGCAATGGCGCAACATACAAGTGTGCCAGCTGCCTCCCTATTCAAAGTAATCAGTATATGCGCATTGAGTACTTTTTGTTTCGATATATGGATCAAACATACCACTGTCTCTGTCACGAATGGCGTCGGCGTCCAACTCCGCGGGGGCTGCGCAGACGGTCCTTGGTTCGAAAAGCATCGTGCGAATAAGGCGGCGGGCCGGGTGATAGCAACGGGGGAATTCTGGATAGACCGCCCTAGCTGGCGCACAGAAGCTCTTGAAAGCATCCTCAAATATATGCAAATGCGATCTGTAGTTGTATGGAGTTGGAAATACAAAGTCGGAATCCGGAGACCCTGGACGGTGAACCGTCCGATGCGATAAGAGAGGCGCTAAGATAAGCAGCTAAGGTGAACACCTGGGCGGCAGCAACAATGCCGGCGATGGATGGTCTACTAGTACTAACTTTCTCTGGAGAATAGCATTTTTCTGGAGGAAATTTTTGATATTGTATCCGAGACCCCCAATTAGGTCGCATTGCCCCCCTTCAACGCTATTCGGCACGATCAGCAACTTCTCCGCAAATAAGGGGCTCCGATTGGCTCCTGCAACAGCTCCGAGATCATCTTTTCCGCCCTGAACTGAACTCGACTCACCATCAGCTCTGTTCTCCCAACCATCCAAACAATGGAGTGTGTGGGCACACGGATCCCGTATGCAAGATGGCGCCTGAGTGCCTTCCGACAACTACTAGCGACATCGCAGGTTCAGGCAGCTAGTCGAGGCATCTCGACCTCGCGACAAACGGACCCAGTGACTGAAATTACTTTGGGAACAAAGACAGACAACTCCAATCCGAACTCCGTGCCTCCTTCGCAGAGGCTTCCGCAGTCTCCTCTCCTCACACATCCTCGCTCTGGGACCGAGAAGAATCGCAAGAGACGCCCCACGACACAGGAGGAAGCCAACCTGCTCAAGAACCCATGGGCCCTGATGCTAGCTTCCCCGGCACGTATGTGCTCTGTAACTGGTGCACGACTTCCATCTGCTCTTATGGGGACTTGGGGACTTGTTAGACAACCAGATTCAGACCAGCTTCATATGATGCCTGTCGGTCTGCTGCAGGACTCGCTGCAAAACAATAAGACCAAGAAGCTCGGTTCATCACCAGATCCAACCATCCCAGGCAAACTAGGAATCCCAGACATTGAGAAACAATGCCAGGAAGAGGATGTATCACCAATCCCAACATCCCTAGACAAGCAGACTGGACGCCAGCTTGTGCTTCGCATTTCTGAGCTTCTTCCACTTATTCAATCTATTTCAGTGCCGCTCTCCAAGAAGGGCGGGAAAAGACCACCGATTATGCGCCTGTTACCATTCCGATGGAAGCACCCCCAGGGCCCTGTGACGGCCCATGAAGAGAAAAGAATCACCTGGTCGGAGGATACGCCGGAGTTTATGTTGCGGAGTACGAGGGATGTCGTTGTTAAGAAGCTAGGTGCAGTCCTCGAGAAATATAAGCGCGTCGGCACCTCCAATGGAGTCTGGAGGGGTCTGGATCTGCCCGAGTACTCGGATGCTGCGCTGAAGGAAGCCCTGGGAAGTCTGGGGCGATTTGATCGTATGGAATGTGGTGGAGTCCTGCTTCTTGGCTCAGAGAATTCTGCGGCTGCCAATCATAAGTCCCAGTCGAGTGGCTCTTTGGACTCGGTGGCTCTCACGCAAACTGGCTCGAAAGTTCCTGTGTTTGATCTGTCGGTGCTTTTTTCTCCGACTGATATCAAAAAGCTCCGTGAATCTCACGGTCAGTTCCAACACACTGCGCTGTTCTTCAGACCAGAGGACCAGCTCGGTATTGATGCGATGATATCCCTCTGGAAAATCAAACGCCTCCTTGGGGGTGTTGATCCAACAGAGAAATGAAACCGCTGTATAATCAAATAATAAAACGATTCACTTACTCATTCCTTCGATGCTGGTGTTGTGGGAATTATACCGATCTGTCAGGCCACAGTTATAGAGATCATGTCGAGATGGAGCCCAAATCGATGTGACCGAGAATCGCATGCATTGCTTTGGGCAAGAATATAGCGAGATGGAAAGTCAATCCAAAGGGTTAGCGTAACAATTATGCCAGGAGCAGCTAGAATTACAATGAGAAGAGCCGTTGAGGGCCGCAGTGATGAGTGCGTGTCTACATTAATGTCCACATTAATGTCCACTTCCACTTTTATTCTTGGATTAGTTGCCAATAATCCTATCTCGTATGAGACCTGCGTCTAAAGGTTGCACTGCTATGCCTTCAACTCCTGCAGAGTCAATGTTTGCTTTGCCTGCGTTTTTGCCTTACAGATCAGGTCTTCATTTCAGCCCAACTCATATAGATAAGGCCATTCCCACCAGATTCTTAGAAATTCTACTGGCCTGCCTCTCTCCCTCTGCTCATTATCATCAAATACCTATATTTATATATATCTCTATATAGTATCGAAGCAGCCCCTCAAGGCTTGTTAGAGCCCTCATAGTTTGGACATGCACAATCATTGTCTCCCTCCAGGGCTGCGACAAAGGCTTTGAACTTTGCCATGGCCTAAGCACCGTGCAATCACCTGGAGCCGAAAAATGCCAACACTATGGTTGGACTTTCGACTCTCGTCAATCATTCTTTGCATATCAGTCAGAAACCTCCCGGTGAGCCTATAAGAAGAGCACCCCACACATAGTGGAATTCTCAAGCTCATGACCCCAGAGATATTTTAGCGGTCAAAACTGAACTGTTCAGACCTCTTTGATTGCAAGAAATGACCTGTAACATCATCTGATGGGCATTCGGCCTTAACCGAATGGCAAAGCATCGTTATCCTTCTGCTTATCATCCCCGGTATAGGCGACAAGGACTACGGGTAGGCCCCTTCACTCATACATCATTTATTTGACCGAAGACAGAAGTGAAAGTGAACTGATGAGCTTCTTCATAACTATTGACCTTCTTTCACTTGATTTTCATTTGCTACAACGCAAAACTATATGAACAAGGTAATGTCGGACCTCACATGTTGTTCAAATTCATGAATAAAATAGCTAATGGCTTTGATAAAAGTCTTCTTCGGTGTCCCATATCCATCTGGATACACTGCAATACAGACTTCAATACACAGACATGGTTCACTTTGATCTGTGAACTGACTTCATCTGCGTATGACCACAGGCAGCCAAGCGCCGTATGTGGCCAAATCGGTCACCCGCTGAGTGACTGTCCCTTCCGCAATTTCTACGACCCAACCCAGGAAAAGACCTCTCCAGCCTGGGTAATTCTATCATCCTGGATTCTGTTTCTTGCCTATACTGATTTATATTGGATGTTCCCAGTTCTCCCCTCCTGTCCCATATGCCCACCGACGACTGTTGGCTCTCAAGAAGCGGGAGGTAGCCCACCCACTTCCGATCCCATAGACCCAGAGGAAATCGTCACCCTTGGCTCTGAAGTCCGAGACTTTATTGTCCAGTGAGTTTCACTGTCGGTCAGGCGATATCACTTGACTGTACGGGCGGGCCCCTTCTAGTAGGACCGGCATAGCTAGAACAATACATCATCCTTGTCTTCCCTTAATCTTCCAGCCGTACAGTGAGGATGTCATTGATGCCACCCCGATTGCCGAGTCCCACCTACTCAAACGGCACTGGAGAGAGCAAGCCAGTTTAAAGCTTTGTGAGTATGACGGAAAGGTGACACGAGGCAAAATTATGCCATGGTAGGGTTGCGACTTCAGGATAAGAGGATGAGGCAGGAGTCATTCAGGATGTTGGATCACAAACTGAAGCAGCTGTTACAACCTGCCCCTGGACTGGCGAGTTACAAACTAGGCCAAAAGACCACTATATCTGAGCATTACGCTCAGATAGTCCAGGCTCCGTTATATATAGTGCGTGTCATGACATTATCTCCCTTTTTCTCCAGGGTATGACCCCATACCCAACTAGGGATGGTATAACTCAGAGGTAAACTTTTTTCAACTTGTTTATATGACTCAGAGGTATGGCTTTGCATTTTAACATGTTCAGATCACGTAGTCAGCAGCACAGCATAATAAATATAATGAAAATAGATTACCATAACGTGGCTGTTGTTGCTATCTGGAGTGGATAGAGCGTTAATAATGATGATGTCGAAAGCTGGGGCGTGGGAAGGAAGTGCTGATATGTATCTACCTAGACATTTAGTCAGCCCTATAAGGCTCTTCGAGTGACTTCATTGAATGTAGTTCACAGGGGGTGTACCTTCGGAGGCCTTGGAATTATTAGTTTAGCTCGGGGAGATACATTGATCTCGGCACATATATCAAGTCTGCTAGCATCGGCGCTTAAGCAACTCAGCATCGAACACAACTTAAAACCCCAATATTGCCTACCTCTCACCAAAATGTCTGGATGGGTTATAGCTGCCATAGACGCAATCAGCTACGCGGGTGCAGTAAACTTCACACCTGAAAATGATATTCCAGATCTGGCCGGGAAGGTCATCTTGGTCACGGGCGGTGGGTTAAACCGTATATCAACGGGGCATTAATACCACATCTGACGCTATACACCTACACAGGAAATGCAGGTTTGGGCAAAGAAACAGTCCTCCAACTGGCCAAGCACAATCCGAAGAAGATCTTCCTCGGCGCGCGTTCAGAAGCAAAGGCAGAAGAAGCCATCAAGTCGGTAAAATTATCCGTTTCAAACGACGTCGAAATCAGCTGGATACCGTTGGACTTGACGATAGGTAAATCGATCAAGAACGCAGCGGAGAAAGTGAACGCCCAATTGTCCCGCCTCGATATCCTAATCCTCAACGCTGGTGTGATGGCTCTCCCACCTGGCGAGACCGAAATGGGCCATGAGATCCAACTTGGCACGAATCACACCGGGCACTTCTATCTTACCAAATTGCTGCTGCCAATACTGCTCAAGACGGCTGAAGAACCTGACTCGGATGTCCGCGTCGTATCGCTCGCTTCTGTGGGACATAATTTCGCGCCGGCATCCGAGAAAATTATGGATCAAAAGAAGCTCAAGAAGGTCAACACGCTTGCTCGGTACGGAGCGTCGAAGGCTGCCAATATTCTCTTCGCAGCGGAACTCGGCAGAAGGTACCCGTCAATAACGTCGGTGGCTGTCCATCCAGGTATTATCGTAACAAACTTGTATGGCCCTCTGAATTCGCAATATCTGATTGCTGCTTTGAGCTCGAAGATTTTGCGTTTCTCTGGATCAACAGTGCGCCAGGGCGCGTATAACTCGCTGTGGGCGGCTGCTGGTGCAAATAAGGAGGAGCTCACAAATGGAGGATATTATGTGCCTGTTGGAATTTTGAAACGTCGAAACAAATGGGCGTGCAATGAGGATATGGGGAAGCGCTTGTGGGAGTGGACTGAGTTGGAGCTTACCAAGGCCAATCTGTGATCAGATTCGTGTATTTACCTCTTGATTGTTTCTTGCATAGGCTAGTGCATGATTTAACCCAGATTGCCAGTTGATTATATAGTCGAATTATTTTTATCGCGTTAAAATAAAAGAGAGAGAAAAAAAAAAGCTATGAACTACTTAGCAACTCTGACAACCACCTTCCCGAGACCTCCCTTCCCACTGTAAACAATCTGGCACGCTGATCGCACTGCTTCAATATCATACAGCTCAACATTATTTCCAACCACCGTTCTCAACCTGTGTTCCTCAACATGATTTCTTAACTCGTCCAGATCTTGACCACTCGATTCCAGGAACATATATGAATACTCGACACCATACCGCCATGCTCTCAGTTTACGGACAGAATCAAAAGTATTAAGTGCCATTCGTAAAACAATGGGGATGTTCTGCTTATTGGGCAGATCGTTCATTGAGGATTCCTGGAGCTGGTTGCCCGATGGCATGGTCGCAACCGACACGATACGTCCAGATTTGGGTTTCATTAGGCAGAGGTACTCCATTGCAGAACCAACTGTGTCGAAGAGGAAGTCCACAGAGCCAGACTTGATGACCTGTCTTGGGTCAGATTTCGTGTAGTCAATTACTGTAAGTGTGTAAGCAAAAGTTTACTCGCGCGGAATTTGAGTTCTTACTCTCATCCACCGTTCCTTCGCCTAGGAGCTCGTTGACCTTTTCCACCTTTGAGGTCGAAACTGTGGTGATGACATTGCCTGCATGGAAGACATTCTTTGCCAATTGGCATGCAAACAGACCTGTCCCACTCACTTTCGTCATGTTAGACTCATACACAACAGTTTGCAGGACAAAAGCAACATACAGCCGGCGGGCACAAGGACGGTCTTTCCAGCCAGTTCTCCTTTGTATTTTCTGAGTGCTTGAAGTGCAGTCATTGCTGCCAGAGGAATTGAAGCTGCATCCTCGAATGATAATGATGGGGGCTTCAGGGCAATGTATTTCTCTACACATCTGACAAATTCACTGCAGGATCCTAGTGATTGAATGTCAGTGGTGACCTACCCGTATGACCGTCGGAGCTGCACATACCTCGAGAAATCTCCGGTAGTCTAGTATAGACTTCATCTCCGACTTGGAACCGCGTTACATCCGACCCAACCTCCATCACTATACCGGCACAGTCATAGCCGATTTTGTACGGGAAGCTATTTATGTCAGGTACGATCTTTGCAATGTATATGGAATCACATACGAGTCTTTCACCGCCAATTTCAGCATCCCATCGGCTTTCTTCACGTCGATTGGATTGATGCTCGCCGCATGAACCTTAATGATCACATCTTTTGGATCACTGAGCTCCGGCTTGGCCAACTCAGAAACCCGGTACCCCGATGGTTTCGAGTATGATGAAATGTTCAAGGACAACATCTCAGGTTGAAACTTTCAGCGAAATATGAAAATGCTAAAATGAGGGTCGTGACCACACTATATAAATCGGTTGAAGGTTGAAGTCATAGTTCAGCAACGGGTGAACTATCTATCCGGCCATGCCAAGCCACCGGTTTCGATCAATTCTTTTACGATAGCAAGTCGCAGAGATTTAATCAACACAGAATCTTCGAGATATCCTTACTTATCAATAGTGTGGGAAGAGGTTTTAGACATTTTTGGTTCATGGGTGTACTTAATGCCAAGAGCCGCACAGGCAACGGCAACAATTTTTCTACACAATTCGTATCACGGCAGTAGAAGAATTGTTTGTATTAATATTTAAAGCAGGTTTGCGGGGTTTGCATTACTTCTCAGCCTCAGGCCGCCAAGAGGTGTCTTAGATAGATTGACAATTATCAACTTCCTAGCGCTACCATAATTGCTACCAATATAAAATTAGTACTAATAGATAGAGCCAGAAATTAGATTTAACTTATAGTTAAAATGAAAACCGTAGCCTAAGGCGGCGTGGTGCAATTTCAAAAATTAGATTCGCGCAAAGATATGTGTTGACCTATGTATATACTAGACCTCTAGCCCACAAAGCCCAAAGCCCAACCCAACTCAAACCGCTGGGTTTTGGGCCCAGAATGAAAGCCCACAAAGTCCATTCGGGCCCATAATAGGCCCCAAAGAATACAAACATACGAATCTACTGTAGTTGTATAATTATTGCATTTTTCTCTAGTTTCTTTAGTATCCAAACTACCATCTGAGCGATATATAAAGCTATACAACGTAGAAATGTTCTTCTTATTTATAACTTAGCTTAAAAGACCCGTGGAAAGTTTGAAGATACAATGTTAATTTTCATAAAGCTTTTCGAGTACGAGCCTTGCGCCACCCAAGGTAGATAACCTGACAATGGCGACTCGTTGATCGGTCCCTGTGCCAAGAGGATTTTGAACTCTCCATTTGTACTCCCGTACAGACATTGTCCGTATGATGTCAGGCTTCTCCTTATATTGTACGTTATACATCATCGATGGGAGAAAGGGGTTGGGATTCTCAGGGGCTGGGTTATATGAGGATGTTCGGGCTGATCATTTGAATTGAAAAGATGGCTGTAAAGTCTAGCCAATGTTGCAGGTGACGATCATGGGTTTTCACGAGGGACTATGAAGTCCAAGACGCCCCTGAAATAAGTATCGGCTGGTATATTGATTTCGGCTGCGCGTACGGAGTAGTGTAGATGAGATTTCAAGACCAAATTGTCTCTTATAAAATTATGTTTGATATTCTGTTTGAAGTACGTACTTTGAGTAATTTGTTGAAATAATATTAGCAGATCTATCTTGAAAACACAAAGTATATTCGTGTATAAAACAACAGTGACAATTAGCTTCTTGTACAACGAGTGACCACGTGGACGGAGTAGTGATTGGGATCCAAATGTTTAACAGCGTCGGATGCCAGCTGTATTCCCCATGTCTTGGCGTTTCTAGATTCTACAACAGACTAAGCCAAGACGGAGCTGGCAGCGCTCATTTCGGAGATCAGGTGGCCGTTTGTTCGTATATCTCAACCAAATCTATACATTTTCGAGTATAAATTACTCCAGAGTATTTTCTGAATGCGGTCAAACATACTCCGTACAAATATTCAAGGTTTCTTGCAGGTCATTGCAGGCCAGCTTCGGGGGTTGCTTGGTCAGCGAGTTAAGGTTTAAATTTGGACCCTTGATATGGTAGCAATCTCTAAGATGAGGTGATTTTAAAAAGGTCGATCGTAGTTGCAATGTGAAAGCGCTACGAAGTACAACATATGGAATAGTTACAAGCAATCATAGTACTCCGTATGTAGATCATTGATGGCTGGTGGCTGGCCTCATGTCCTAGCTTTTTGGTTAGGTAGGGGAGTATATTATAGGTCTTCAGTCAATCACTGGTGTGCTTCCTGTGCATAAGAATCACATTGAATTGCATGAATCAGCCTCGGAAGTCCGAAGCTACATTCGCGATGAAGGCTGGGCACTGGAGGCGGTCAATCCGACCGAAATCATTGATAGATCATAGATCCATGATCACTCTGAAGAGTACGGAGTAAAAAGGACGGAGAATAAATGTACAACATAAACTCTCCCAAGGTAAAAGTGAAAGAGAAGAAGAAATGAATAACGGTGATCTTCTTTGACCTTCTATTGTAGGCTAGGTTAGGCGGAGAAGTACGCGTTCATATGGTTAAAAGAACTTTTATTCTCCCGGTGAGCCTGTCCCAAAGCAGGTTAATCGCCCCCACTGGATGGATAACACCATGACATCGTGTTCGTGTCTTGTGGTGTGACTTGTGTGTTGATAATTGCAGGGTTGGACGTGGTCATTGCAAACGTAAAAGGGTAAAGCTAATGGGAGCGAAATGCTGTAGCCCGGGTATGAGTCTATGGGGTAGGTTTAATTGAGATGATCTATGTTGTACTCCGTATTAATCCTAGAAGAAACGAATAAAAAAAGATACAAGATAACTCAATTATTCGTCTTTGTTGAAGTGAGACCACAGTCCGGGATAGTCCAAGTTAGGCTTGCTGCCTGACAAAACAGGCCACAATCAGCCACCAGCGCCTCGTCGGTTATTCGAACCTTTTGGATGCAACCCTACACATATTACGACCCCTCTTTGTTTGTCTTAATTTCTTGGTGAAACAGAAAAGGTTCCACTTTCTTAGTTCCAATATTCGAGTTCAAGTCTAAGTGTGATGAAGTGATAAAAGTGATAAAGTGCTGAATGCATGGATACCCGTCACATGCAACCCCTGGAAGTGTCTGTGGAGATAAATCATCCAGGTACCAGGGGAGAAATTCAGGAACACAACACACACACAACCAACCGGAATTCAAATGCTCTCTCTCTGATCAGCCACCCGGAAGGGCCAGAAGAGGAGGCGAAAAAAAGGACGAACTTCGCCATCGGAGTTCCACATGGATGATCCTAGCCTCCCCCACACAGGGCCAATCATCAACCCACGAATGGGGTAATGAACGCCGATGAACGCCAATGAACGCCATCATGAACTCGAAGGACCAACTAGGTTCGTTCACAGGGGCTTCATGCTGTCTGAAACTGGCCAATCGCTCCTTAACCAAGCGGCTGGGTCCCCTCTCGGGCAGTGTTTCAGCCCTTACAGGAGGGACTATACCCTCCCGCGCAAGGCCCAAAGCCCGCTATTGGACCACTTTTACAGCCACCTCTGAACGCAATTCGATTCCGCTGCGGGCCTCGACTGATCACTTTACCAAACGAGAAAGGAAGGGCAAAGGGCACACAGCTACTGGTTGAGTACATATACTTTCGGTTTCCCGTTTCTTCTTTTCTTTCCCTCGACCGTGCAAGCAGGGCTTCTTCCACAGTTCTATATCGTTTCTTTGTCGCTTCAATTTCGTCGTCCTCCCTCATTCTCTCTATCAAAATGTTCTTTCCTTCATTGGTATGTCTATACTTCGCATGAACCGGTGGTCGAGTGCGGCATGGTCCACAGCTCCACTCCCAACCAACCATACACCCATCGCTAATTTCGCACATAGATCCTGGCTGCTGGCAGTCTGTCTACTCTCATTCAAGCCATTCCTCATGGCGCGAACTCCCATCACTCATTGCACCGTCGCGCTGCTGCCACCTATGCTGTCATGGGTGGTAACGGTGATCCCTCCGACGGATGGCCTTCCCTGGGCCAATGGTCGGAGTACGAGACTCTGTGAGTAGTACATTAATCTGAAAAGAAAAGCAGAGCGCCGAGCTAAACTTTTTTTTTTTTTGTTGGGGGTCTCAACCAAATTCTGATTGCCGCATCATGCGACAACTCTGACGACGAAACAAGCGACATTAACACTAGCATTAAGTCGGTCGCCAGCGAAACTGGTGTCGACCCTCGATTCATCCTTGCAATTATTATGCAAGAAAGCAAGGGCTGCGTTCGCGTCCAGTCCACCAACAACGGTGTCGTGAATACTGGTCTCATGCAGAGCCACGCTGGCGAGGGCTCCTGCAATAAGGACGGCAGCAAGACAACTCCCTGCCCCTCCTCCATGATCAAGCAGATGATCAAGGACGGCACAGCTGGAACCACCCAGGGCGACGGTCTCAAGCAGTGCTTTGAGTCCCAGAGCGGCGGCACTTCCACCAAGTACTTCAAGGCCGCCCGCACCTACAACTCTGGCTCCATCGACTCATCTGGAAACCTCGGCCAGGGCGGCGCAACCCACTGCTACGCCTCTGACATCGCCAACCGTGTCCGTGGCTGGGCCGGCGACGTGACCGAGTGTATCGAATCTACAATTGGAACTCTTACTAGCGGCGTGGAGTCGGTCCTCGGTGGTGACGATGACTCAAGCAGCTCCTCTTCCTCAAGTGCTGCTGAGCAACCCACCGAGCCTGCCGAGCCTGCCGAGTCTATCCAGACCTCATCCTCGACCGCTGTTGAGCAGCCCGCTGAGACTGCGCCCTCCGCCCCCGTCTCGGCCGCCCAACCGGCCGAGACCACTTCCGTGGCACCTGTCCCCATCTGGACCCCCAGTGTGAACGTGCACTTGGCCACGCAGACCGCCGCCACCCCATCCTGGACCACTAGATCCACACCAGCCGCGACAACTGCACCAACAGTCCCCAGCTCATCATCCGGAACAGCCCCTCTTTACCCCCACGCCAGCTCATCATGCCAGAAATACTACACCGTCACAAACGGTGATTTCTGCTCCAAGTTGACCGAAACTGTCGGAATCTCTTTCTCCAATCTCCGCAGCTTGAACCCTGGCCTCAACGAGAAGTGCTCGGATTTGTGGCTCGGATATCAGTACTGTATTCAGGCTTAAGTTTGAGTCTCTGATCGATCTACTTTTGGATCAATTTGTCTGCTTTTACTGATTCCCAGGATCTTTTGGATCTATTTTTACCCTTCTTTCCCTCCTTCAGGCGGTGCCTTCTTTGTATATAGCATGAGCTTGCTCTGCAAAAACTGGCTGTGGGTGATGCCGGCACCCGCCCATAGTCTTTTTACGATGAATGACACCAGCGAACATTTTTTTACGCTTTTGGACTTAACACAACCTTCTCTGATCATCGTAAATTATGTGTAGTAGTTACGTGAAGTGCCATTCTGGCAGGCTTTGTTCTAAATGAATAAGCCTAGTACTATATACACCTGGGCAAGGTTGTGATTGGCAAATTGCCACCCACCAGACTCACCTGTATTCAATATACGGTTCTCGCGAGGACTGTAGCTGCCATTCTCTCCCAGCAGAGTATGTGTAACCAAGTTGAAAATTTTCAATCGATAGAAATGGGAATGTCTGAGTAGCTGTGGTGCTACTTGAAACCATGTCTACCAATTGAGGTCTCCTAGATTGTCGTTGGGGACTAGGTTTATTGTATGTACACTAGACACAAAGACAAAGAGCAACCTTGCCTTTGACCATATAGCAGACATTGGAAAGGTTGACAAAGCAATTGTTCAAACGAAAGATAAATGTCTCTACCAAAGGCCAGAAGACAAAGAATTGGGCGAAAATCCACTATAACTAATGATCTCTAATCTACTTATTTAAACCAGTCTGAATCCCTACTTGCTCATAGTTATCCATTCCATCCAGCAATTTGATCTATCACACAATTAACCCAACAGCCAGCACGTTCTTCACCAAAGGCTTCAATATGATGCAACCAGGTATGTTCAGATATGTGTTTGGTGGACCGGGTCTCCCTGAGTGGGAGGTGAGCAGCCATGAGTGCGTTTATTTTGTGACAGTGCATTTCCACGAGAGTTATAGATCATATTCCAGCGAAAAGCTCATGCGAAGTATGATCCGTCGAATCAAAGATGGGCAGGCCGAGGTCAGCCTTAAGCCTCTCCATCGTCTGACTCCGCGATGTATCTCAATGCCAGTTTATGGACCCTATGACGCCCCCAGTGCCGTTATTCTTGCAACCGGCAGAGAAGTTGCAGAGAAGCGCTTGAATGAAATCCAGCAGGGATTTGTGGAGATTGATATGGATCTCGTTTTCGGTCGTCAACGTTAGGTTGGTATTTTGGCTTCAAAGCAATCTATGAATGAACTTCTTCAGTAATTCCCATCCTTTCTTCTTCTATCTCCGTAGTAGAGATATGATAATTGTACGAAAATATAATATATTGACTACCATAATAGTAGTGAGCATGTTACCAGGTAGATTGTAGTGTCAACGAACAATAAAGAACAAGTCATTTTAACTGAAGTTCTCCACCTTCCACCACCAGTCGAATAACCTCCTTATTCAATCCCTCCCAGCGAGTCCGTCCCTTGATAAACCAATATACAAAAGCAAACAAAGTAGTGGCACCAAAAATCGGTGCCGCATAATTCATGTTCTCTCCAGTAACCGGCAACTCTGCTGGGAATGCCAGCCACACTGTTACCCAGGCAGTATACACCAAAGCAAATACATTAACCGGAAGTCCCCAGATGCCCATATTCCAGTTTCCAAGAGGGGCCACATGCTTCTGAAACCGATTATGAACCATGCAACTAATAGCAATAAAATACGACACAAAGAGGCCAATGGAGCCGAGTGCAACGAACGCCCCAAAAGCGGCACCGTCAGCGATGTTCAAACACGCTAGAACCATGACGACGATTACTGGGAGCCAAACAGCACGAATTGGTACATTGTGCTTGCGGTCGATCTGCCGTTCTTGTCAGCAACCATCCTCTGCGTTTATCTTATATCTCACCGTCTGGTGCGAATGGTGCATACATAACTAAACCACCGGGGCAGGGCTCCGTCTCGAGCCCACGCCCACGTCAACCTTGAGACAGACGCGATGCTTGCCAGATTGACCGACAGCGAGATTACAAGTAGCCCGCTCACCATCGCGATGGCGGCTTTCACGGACCCAGTTGCTTGCCGGCAGATCTCGATTATCGGGAAGTTTGACTTATGGGCTTCCTCTACCGAGCCCATCGTGAAAAGCATGCAGACAACCATTGCATATGCCAAGATACCGTTGGCGACGACGGTATAGAAGATAGACCTAGGAACAGCCTGTTTTGCTCGGCGGACTTCTTCACTCATGTGGACTGCGCCGTCAAAGCCTGCTTAACTTAGCTTGCTGTATTTGATTTTATTTTTTCCAAGTATGTAATGCGCACGTACCGACAAACCCCCAGACAGGAGTGAGCAGACCGATGTTCCATGCGGGGAACTTTGCCCAGCCGGAGGTGCTTTGCGTGTGTAGAAAGACAAACTCTGGCGTGTGACGAGGTGCTAGAGCTGTGAATACAACCAGAAACACAATCAGAAGGCAGATGTGTAGAATACCCGCCAACATTTCAATCCAAGGAATCAGCCAAAATGTATACATGTTCATCAATGCTTCGATAATAAGCATGCCAATAATGATGAGGGTTATGTGCCATTGCTTTGGATTGTACTCTGGGTAGTTCACGCTCGCTAGGCCCTGGATCATTGTAGCTGTGGTGTTGGCAACACCGGCGAGTGTGGAGATCCACGCAAACCAGGTCACCCAACCTGAGTAATGTTAGTATTGAACCAGGCAGCACTCGATAATTGACACACCCTGCATCCAAGTGATGAATTTCCTCTGGCTCGGCGGTGCCAGATAATGTGTCCAGTGGTACTGAGCCCCGGCGATTGGTTGCATCGACGCCATCTCGGCTAGCGAGGCAGATTGAGCCATTGCACCGAACACCACGATTACTATACCCCAAGCTAAAGCTGCAGGGCCGCCATTTGAGAGCACTGTACTCAAATTCCTAAACAGTAGTTGTGTTATTAGCGCTGAAGCACAACAAAGGATAAGATAAGACTCTCATACAAAGCTTGAGTTTCCCAGCTCGACAAGTAAGTAAGAGAGAAAAAGAATATCTGGGTGAAATTAAAAAGCCGCTGTATACTGTCTCAGTTGGGTACACTTTCTTGACTGAACAAGTTGCATCGTACCTTGGGCGAAGCCTGCTCCGTGGGTCCAGTCTTTTTAAGGGGGGTGTCATAGGCATTGGAGACATTTGCACCTTGGTCTAGTGCAGCCATTCCAATGACTGCATTTTCCCTTTCCAAAGAGAGCATCTCAAGGCGCTCCATTTGTTCTCGGCGGTGCGAAAAAGGCAGTTGATGACGAGAAACAAAACATTGGACAAGTCCCGAAGGAAGATCGGAGAAAGAAAAAGCAAAACTGAGGTGGAAGCCATAAATCCAAAAACAAGGATCATGCAGAGTCCTTGTCTCACGGTAAATTGTCCTTGTCTTGCCTGGATGGGGTCGGTGTATGGTGCCGAACCAGTATCCGGCCTGCTTTGGAGGTGGGACCGAAAGATGCACGGTTGTGGAACTTGAGATAGACTGATCAGTCGCAAGACAGGAATCATCGTACTCGTGTGTCTCTGGTCGTCTGGAAGATCCAATAAAGAACCCGATATGAGGGTACTCGGACAGTGGTTGGGTTCTGCATATATCATGTAATGTCTCTTCTGCTAACCTTTGGCATAAACATGATCCTGTTCAACTATGTCCAACGAGAATCTTTCGACAGTCATGTCATCCAGCATAACGGTTATCCTACCGCCGCTCTTACCTGTCACCGATAATGATCATAGTGCTTGGGTTATCACCGTGAGCACTATTCTACTTATTATCACTATTCTCGCCACAACAGTGACCTTGATATCTCGCATTCGCGTTTTGCGCAGAATTTCCTGGAGCGATTCAACTCTATTTCTCGGTTGTGTAAGTGTCTTTTGCCTTTAATAATTACTGTTCCTAATCAGTTCACTAGATCATATTTATTCCTCAGACTGTTTGTGTGAATGTAGCCAGCTCCCATGGTATTGGCAAGCACCGATATGCATTGAGCAATGCCTCATTTGAGAAATACAGCAAGGTAAGAAGGTGAAGCACCTTTAGCACCTTTCTCCAAACCTTGAATCTATATTCTAACATAACCAAGACACTCTTCGCTAGTCATCTTCTCGGGGTTCTCGTCTTAGGGTGTTCCAAGGCCGCCGTTGCACTTCTGGTCCTCTCCTTGCAACCCTTTGAGAAAATAACACTTGCATGCAAGGTTGTTTTGGGCTTGATCAGTACCTGGGCCCTAGCTGCACTTATAGCGCTCGGAAAACAGTGCGATGGACCACGACCGTGGGACTCCAGCCCCGAGCGATGCGTGAATCAACAGGTTTTATATATCGCGTTGGGAGGCATGCACATGTTATTAGATGTGGTAATAATTGGGCTGCCAGTTGCTCTACTACATCAAGTCCAGATAATACGGTGGAAACGCTACCAAATCTCTGCCCTGTTCGCGATGCGGATCCTGTGAGTAGTTGATCTCCCAATCTTGATACAAATCCCCATCTAATCCCACGCAGCGTTCTAGCTCTCACTATTGCTGGCCTGCGATCCCTCTCACCGCTCTATAATTCCAAACCTCTAGATGAAACATGGAATGCCCTCATGCCAGCCATCTGGCTACAATTAATTCTCAGCTCCTCAATTCTCTGCACATGCATCCCGACCCTCAAACGTGTCCTCGCCGAGCTCCAGACAGGCATGATGGCCGGTGTAGTTTCGGACTTTTTTGAGCATTCCGTCTCGGGTCACACCAACTCAGGAGATCGATCGGCGTCCAAATCTGATAATGTTGTTGGACAGAGATCAGGATCAGGGTCGGCATCTCGCTCGCCAAATCCAAGACATTCACTAGATGCCGAGCGCGTCGAGAGTCAAAAGAATCTGCGCGAAAATGCCACCGTTCAAACAATCAACTATGAGGCCTTTTACGAAGGTCCTGGTTCTTCCAGTGCCTCATCTTCTCATAACCATGAGAGCGATGGTTTGAGCATATATTCACATCGTGGAACCTGAAGGCAACTAGTGTTAAAAGGCTGGGAGTATTCACGGGAAAGTATACCTAATGTTGTAGGGTATATCTAATTATTTAGAGGAAGTGTGATTATATACCCAATTAGATTATCACTACTCACAAATATGTTCCATTTACCGTGTTTCTGAGGCATCTTCTCATGACGCCATCATCGATACTCTAACAAACGGACTTGACCGGTTGGCAAAGAGTTTCCCATGGCTTACTGCATTGGTTTTACAGTCTCATGTGATTTAGTGCCCAACCTTAGCCGTGGTGATAATCAGTTCTTACCCCTCTCAATCGTAGCGTGAAGACAAATATAACCTCTGCCCTCGCAAGGTATTTCAAATTCCCCGCTATATCGGATGCAAACTAATCTTACCCCTAGGAACTCGATTTAGAACCGTTCTTTCGCACTCGATGGAAGCTCGACGGTTGGACGATGTAAACGATGCAGCCGAAGGAACCCGAAAAGAGATCAAGGTATTACTACCACAAGTCACAACAATCGAAGAGGATGAAAAAGGAAATAAAAAGTACGGCGGGGATGCGCTTTTGATGTTGATTTCCCGTATGAATACCACCCTCGGTATTGATGAGGTAGGCACGAATATTATTTGTTCCTAGACGGACGATTTTACTAACCCAACTAGAATTGGGAAGGACGCTTAAGGTATTGGAAGTATCCTACAAAACTGAATCTTCCAAACTCGGCATACCTTATTCCAATACTGAAAGGAATTGAAGTGAACGGGTGGTTATTGAAGGAAGGATGGTTCGTACAAGTCAATGTTAACCCAGTTGTGGTGGCTGCGGGTACGACTACGCTGTTAGTTGCGCCTCGCTGATATATACCTATGGCCTAAGTAGGAAATAGATTCGAGGAAGTTCAAATGTTATCATTATGGTCAAGTTATCAACGAGGGCGCAGGGGATGGTAATACGGGCGTCTTCAAAATAACTCTCCTCGACAAAATCCAGCTCGTAGTGAAAGATCTACGACATGACCCCTCCGCACCGACAATGGAGACGGGCTTTGCCAGGCCAAGTATCCTTTTACCATGCTCGACGAGAATGTCATTGCTCCTTGCACGACTCTAAACCTACGGGGTAATCTGCCAAGCACAACTTACAAGTATCACGACCGAGTCAGCTTTGGTGTTTTGTGTCCAGGCAAATTTCATCGAGGGCGGTTTAATGCTCACGCTGGTCGCTCAGCATAATGTCATGGATATGACTGGCCAAGATTTTATCATCGGATTGCTGGTCAAGGCATGCCACAATGAGGCTTTCACAATCGAGGAGATTACAGTCGGTAACATGGATCGGAGCCATGTCATTCTGCTACTGGATGATTCGTACACCCCGGGCCCTGAACTCCTTCACCAGATTGTGAAACCCCCGCCAAGCGTTAAAGATATTGTCTTGGATCCGGTTACACCCCCAAAATCTACATGGGCTTACATCGAACTCTCCACGGCACAGCTTGGTTCCCTCAAAGTTCTCGCCACGAATACATTTCCCGCATCCACGGACTTCATCTCTACGGACGATGCTGTCAGCGCTTTTATCTGGAAATCCATCGCTCGTGCCCGGGCTTCTTGTCTGGAAGAGACTTCTGAATCATTGTTACGCGCGCAGTCGACATGAGACAGCGTTTTGGTATTCCCCAGGGCTATCCGGGTCTCCTGCAGACTTTGACATACAACACCGACACTATCCAGAAACTATCTGAAGAGGCTTTGGGTATCGTTGACGCCGAGCTTCGGTCCCAGCTCGATCCCAAGAAGAATGCTTGTATTCAATACCTGTGCCCTCGCCACATTTCTCAGCCGCTCGGCTGACAAGACCAAGGCGTCTTTTACCGCCACGGTCAATATTTCATCCAACGTTATGCTGCTCGTGGTCGAGAATTAGCTGTTATGATCTCGACTTTAATTAGGATTGGGTAAGCCTGAAGCCGTGCGTAGACCACATTTTACCCCTGTACGTGGCTTATATACTCTCTATTCCTACTCTAATAAAACCAGTTACGTTCCGGTTAATAACTCTATCATATATCTTAGCCCTAGTTAGGAGTTCTGTCGCTCCCGGAAACTTTAGTACGGTTTCTAGGGGCATATAAACAGCTTTTAGGAGCCAAATAGACACTAGGAAACCCGACGTAGCTTATAGGGCCTTTGAGGTTTGAGGAACTAAAGTCATATTCCTATTGATAGCTTTATTAATTCCTAGAATCATAAGTGGTTCTTAGGGCTATGGCCAACCCTTCTGGGGGTGGTGGAATGACACATATTTGTGCGCATGTCCGGTGAAGTTGTGTTACAAGGGCTTTCCGCGACCTCAGAAAGCAAGATATTGACACTAGGATCCAGAGGTAGGGTCCTAGGGGCGCAACAGGTCCCAGGTCTAACCAATGTGTTCCCAAAGCCAGTTTTGTATCCAGTCAGGAGCTAAAGTATATCTCCTAGGGATCAAAAGCTCCTAGAAATGATTCGAGCTTCCCAGACTCAGTTTAACAAGCACAAGAGGTTGTTAGTCTCTCTCTCGAGTTGCGTTTTTCTGCCAACAAACTCCGCGTTTGCTGGCCATGTCCGATCCGTTGTCTCCTTGTTCACGTGGTCGTTTCCTACCGTACTCAAAGACACCATTCACATCATCTGACGGATTGAAGGGGCCGTGGGAGGGTAAGGGACTGGGCGCCACAAGCTCGGCGACGAGTCGGTCGGCGAAGGTAAGATAAGGCTTGTATGGGACTTTTCTCCGTCGAATTGTAGGCCATTTCATGGGGCCTGTTGAATCCTTCGGATTCTTAAGGCCATTCAGTAGCTCGGTGGTGATTTGGGCCTCGTAATAAAGTATGTATTCCCGATCTAATACGTTGGTCACGAGAAGACGTGACTGGAAGCGGATTAGCTAGGCCCCGACAGATAGATAAAGAAACGAATAAGCAAAAAACATACGGTGTAAATAGTTGGTTTTGGCAAATCCAGCTTACGCTCCTGGAGCTGCGCAAGGGCCAATAAGTGACAGATGAAATATGGATCTTCGGTCCATTCCTTTGGGGTTGTCTGAGCTAGTCGCTTCTGACAGATACTCACCCCAACGGAGTTCATACCTCCCCTTGGACCTGGACAAGGCTCAAACTGTCTCCTTCGATCTCCGTTGACTTTTGTGTAATGTACATAGCCTACCAACGAGGGTGAGCCATTATGGATGTGATCGATGGTTGCTTTATGGCGATGAAACACAATATAGTTTGGTTGGTGAACACGTCGACCTTGAAAATAAAATGGTGCTCCTTTACTGCTCAGCAGTGTTGTTAGTAACTCCTATAGAAGCTGTTATCAGACAGTAGCTCTTACCGAAAGTATGAAAAAGGGCGCTCCTCGCCCACTAAAATGTTGGTGAGACGACGCTGCTTTTCGAGAAGGAATAACTCCATAGCAAGTGCTTCAGCATCGTTTGATAGCTTCGGGCAAGGCTTTCGACCATCAGTGTTCCTATGGTCGTTTTGAGTAGATTCTGCATAGACAGGGGGAGTTCCGACATCCTCGAATCGACACCCCACCAGATTAAGGTGGTAAGAAGTCCACTGGAGAGGATTGACGAGGCAATAACTGTGGTAGCGCACGATATCATGAAATGATTTTGCTTGAGGGTTGGCCGCCATGGCGATGATCTTTGCGATGTTTTGAGTCGGCATCATGATAATGCCCAAGAAGGTTTCCACCGCCTATCAGGGCACCTCTGACCGCCTTTGGCATATAACAGACCAATCAACTTCCAACCTCCGAAGGTTGTGATGATGGCAGTTGGGCACTAGGCTGCTAGTTAGGCAGCGACCGCGAATCAATTGGGGAAATCAACAATGTAACTTCTTTTATGCTTCAAATATATTGTGTTAATTATGACCCCTACTCCTTATTTTAGCAGTGTTATCTCTGAATCTGCTTTCAGGGCTCGTTTTCAAGCCGAGAATGGAAAAAACTTTTCGCAGCTAAAAGTTGTCGCCGCCAGTTACTGGGGACGGCCTCATTTGCTTGCATGTCGTGTAGTACGGCGGGACCCGCAGCGCAATCTGCTTCCCATTCTATCACAATATGTGACAACCTCTGATATACATTCTTCATCCAACGAAATCAGCGCGTTCTTACAAGGTCCCGATTTGACGTTCATGGCTCAGAGCGAGCACTATTTAGTGCGAAGGTCTAATTGTGGTATCTCACTTGCTCAAATTTGGGCAGCCATGGCCATGTTCAAGGGGAACCAGGACCGTCGCACGCGAGATATACCTACGATGCAGGAACAAAACGAAAGTAAGAATGACAACGACGACGAGGCACGGCAGCCCAAGCGTCTTAGACGACATACATTCCAGCCAGACTTCGCCGACTCTAGTGAAATACAAGTTGGCTCTAGTAGCCCACCGCAAGACGGCTCGTACAATGGCTCTCAAGGGTCTTCCCTGGGTTATGTCGACCCTGATACACACTATCTGGGTACAACACCAGAAGACGACACGCTGCGACTCGCGTCGTGCGTTATTCGACATATACTTTATTTTGCATCGCCCCAAAACTCAGCATCAAATCCAATTGTTGTCGAGTTTCGAGATGCAAAGACAAGACTCGCCGCTACAACCACGATTGGAGACCGGCAAATAGTTACCATTGACGATGGTGGCCTCTGTTTGAGACGGCAAAACGAAAATGGCAATTTTATCCTTGCGAATAACCACGTTGCAGTGTTGGAAGCGAAGACGCAATTCCAGTGTCTAGAGAGTGGACGACCCATTATCTCTGATAGGAGTTTTGCACAGATGATTTGCGAAGCGCTAGCGACCAGATTATCTAACGGTGGCAACTCGTAAGTTTAATCAACTTCAGATCGCCTAGGCGTTTTCGTCTCCGCATATTTCCTTTATAGTACAAACTGACGATCTTGGCAGCGTCATAGTCATAAATGCTACGCAGCACTACATGTGCTTCCTGCAAATGGACATGAGTGATGATTATATCATGGATTTTGAGAGTCCCACACCTACACATATGTTATATGTGAGCTCCACGCCCTGGTTCGATCTTAGCCAAAAAGGCGGGAGGGAAAATGTATTAGCCAATTTATGTGGGATTATGCGTCGAGCCATATACGAACAGGAATAGGAGCTAGAGGCTACAATCGCTCATCTCGCGAAATGCCTACACATTACTGTGAAATGGAAAGATAGTTACCTAGGTACCTAGGTAGTTAATCCGATATGATATCGCTTTATGTAAGGCATTTCGGCAGTATTAGGGGTATAATAAGTGAATAATTAACCTTGTATTATCTTAACTCGGTGTTCGTGCTGTCAGTAGGCCTATAGAGGCTACTAGAGCTTGACCTCGTGTGGTTGTGTTACTCGTGGAGTACTAGAGTACGCAGTCAAGGTTGTTTTGCCTCAGCAACTAGCACTATTTCAATGGAAACCAGCTCCCAGTATCATTAGTCTCAACTCTGTAAACAATGTAGAGATTTTCAGTACACCTTTTCTATTATCTATCTCTTAGGAATTGTATATGCATGGATACTACCGTAACACTTGTCGATCACCGTCTCCGCATTCCGCCATGCCTCCTCATTTGGGAACTTCAATGTTGAGAGTTCTTCCTTCCTTCATCTCTCTCATCTCTCTCACCCTCTGCACTTTTATTCATTTCCTTATACTACTAGTTAGGTTTTTGTTCAATCATATTAAAACATCGTTGTTTGTTGTCTCTTGTCTCTTCCTAACAATCTAAAACCGTCATCATGGGTGGGGAAGTTCCCTTTCGCCCCGCTCCTCCAGCTTTACCCCAGTTAGCTGATCGCCCGGTCGGCCAACGTATCAAGAAGATCTACACCGATCGTCTGAACCAGTTCACATCGAACGGCCAGTATGAAGGCCAAAACCTCATCTCAAAGTATCACGAAGCTACAAATTCAGACGAAGACCATGTCAAGCTCTCTGTTTACTCGGTTCCTGACCTACAGCGACCGACCTTCAAAGAGGCGACCTCTCAGGAATTCAAGCCAACTCATATCGGTGCTTCTTTTGGCCCCAGTTGGTCCACACATTGGTTTCAGATTCACCTCACAGTGCCCGAAGACATGCTCCAACGGGAGCATCTAGAGTTCCATTGGGATGCCAACAATGAAGGGTTGATCTGGACAGAGGACGGTCACCCGCTGCAGGGCTTGACTGGAGGTGGAGAACGGACCGAGTTTGTTCTCCCTAAAGGCTGGTGTGATGGGAAGGAGCATACCTTCTATATTGAAATGGCTTGCAATGGCATGTTTGGCAATGCTCCTGGTGGCGATTCGATCCAGCCACCAAATCCCGATAAATACTTCACGCTCAGCACGGCGCGAATCACTGCGGTAAACCTAGCGGCTCGAGCACTTTTCTATGATTTTTGGATTATTGGAGATGCCGCCCGGGAATTCCCAGGTGAGTCGTGGGAGTCGCATGAAGCCAATGTCGTGGCAAATTCTATCATGGATACCTTCATTGCCGGCAATGGAAGCAATGAGGCCATAAACGAGGCGCGGAAGATTGCTAGGAAATATCTCGGCGATAAAGTGGATTCGTCCAATGTTTACGACACAAACACGCAGCCAATAGTGTATGCCATTGGCCATTGTCACATTGACACCTGCTGGCTGTGGCCTTGGGCTGAGACTAAGCGAAAAGTAGCACGGTCGTGGTCCAACCAATGTGATCTGATGGAACGATATCCTGAGCACCGTTTTGCTTGTTCTCAGGCTCAGCAGTTCAAATGGCTCAAGCAGTACTATCCATCCGTCTTTGATCGCGTGAAGCGCTGGGTAAAGAAGGGCAACTTCCAGCCTGTCGGCGGGAGCTGGGTCGAGCACGATACGAACATGCCAAGTGGGGAGTCGCTGGTCAGACAGTTTTTGTATGGACAGCGATTCTTTGAGGCAAACTTCGGTAAGCGAAGCACAACGTTCTGGTTGCCCGATACCTTCGGCTACTCTACCCAGATCCCTCAGATATGCCGCCTGGCTGGGATGAGCCGCTTCTTTACCCAGAAGCTCAGCTGGAACAACATCAATACCTTCCCTCACACTACATTCCAGTGGGTTGCGCTTGATGGCAGCCAAGTCATGTGCCACATGGCCCCTGCCGAGACCTACACGGCTGAAGCGCATTTCGGTGATGTCAAGCGCAGTGTCAGTCAGCACAAGTCACTAGACAACGACAAGACATCGCTACTTGTATTTGGAAAGGGCGATGGAGGTGGTGGCCCGACCTTTGGACACCTCGAAAAGCTGCGTCGCTGCCGTGGTCTCAGTGATCAGGTCGGCTCATTGCCCCGAGTGCAAATGGGCGAGTCGGTAGATGACTTCTTTGCAAAGTTGGAGGCAAAGGCTGCCTCTGGCACTGATTTTGCTACCTGGTACGGCGAGCTTTACTTTGAGTTGCACCGTGGAACATACACTACTCAAGCAAATAACAAGCGCAATAATCGCAAGTCCGAGTTCCTACTGCGTGAGATCGAGCTTCTTGCGACCTTTGCAACCATCAATGCTTCCGATGGTGGATATCGGTATCCCAAGAAGGAGATTGACGAGATGTGGGAAGGAACCCTCCTTTGCCAATTCCATGATTGCTTGCCGGGTAGCTCCATTGAGATGTGTTATGACGACTCAGACAAGTTGTATGCCGAAATCTTTGAGACGGGAGCCAAGCTGCGAAAGAATGCTCTCGGGGCTTTGGGACTCACTGGCGATTTCACGGGTGGAGATTCCATGGCCCTCAACACATTGCCATGGCCCCGATCAGAAGTCGTTGCAGTTCCTCCGGCAGTGTCTGCATATGAGGGATCCAGATACGCCGTCGCCGATGGCACAACTGGGGTGATGCAAGTCCAGCCGGCCGACTTCAAAACAACCACTTCGGTGACCGTGGTCGAGGTCAAAGCTGGTGTGTTCCGTCTGGAGAATGGTAAGCTGAGGGTTGATGTTCAGGATGGGGTTATCACATCCTTGTACGATGTACAAGCAGATAGAGAGATCGTCGCAAAGGACCGCAAGGCTGGCCAGCTAGTCATCTTTGACGACAAGCCTCTTTACTGGCAAGCATGGGATGTTGAGGTTTTCCATATTGAGTCACGAAAGGAGTTGCCCGGGGGTAAGACGACCATTGTAGAAAATGACCCGCACCGGGTGAGTGTCATGACTGAGACACAGATCAGCGACAAGAGCTGGATCAAGACCACAATCAGCCTGTCGGCATCCACATCTGATGAGCCCTCGCATGTGGAAATGGAAAGCGAGGTGGAATGGCAAGAGACCATGAAATTCCTCAAGGTCGAGTTCCCTGTTGATATCACCAACACCGAGGCATCCTACGAGACCCAGTATGGCATCGTTAGGCGCCCGACCCATTATAACACAAGGTATGCACTGACTTTCTACAAACTTCACAACAATACTAATTACTCTGCAGTTGGGACATGGCCAAATTCGAAGTCTGCTGTCACAAATGGGCCGACCTCTCTGAAAACGGCTATGGAGTCTCCATCCTCAACGACTCTAAATACGGCTTTGCAACATGCGGTAACCTGATGCGCCTTTCTCTGCTCCGTGCCCCGAAGGCCCCGGACGCCCACGCTGACATGGGCCGCCACCACATTCGCTATGCAATTCTTCCTCACATCGGTGCCCTTGATGCCCGAACAATCCGCGCAGGCTTCAATTTCAATAACCCACTCGTCGTTGAAAACGCCGGCCCTAAAGCATCTGCTTCCAATGACCTATTCAAATCTCTGTCTATCAAGGGCGCGCCTTCCTTGATTCTGGATGTTGTCAAGCGCGGCGAGGATGATGCTGATGTTTCGTGGGATGGTACTCCTGTCCGTCCTGGGAAGTGTGTTATCCTGCGTGTCTATGAATCACTTGGTGGTAAGGCTCGTGGTACCATTGAGACGACACTACCTGTGAAGAGTGCTTTCAAGTGCAATGTTCTCGAGGATATTGAGACTGACGGGCTCGATATTGCCACTGAAGATGGTCGTTCGGTGATCAAGATTGAGTTGAGGGCGTTTGAGGTCGCTACGTACCGACTACAGCTGTGATGGTAAGGAACATACTATTTGAGTGGCAGGCTTTAAGCAAGCCTAGGGAGTATCGCATTCAATTGGAAGCAATGAAACAAATGACGTATCGGACAAACGCTGTCTGTATAAGTTCGTGATTTACATGATATCGCATCGTAGGTGTAATAAGACAGATAAATCCCATTCCCATTTCCCGCTACGCCCGCAACACGACTCCTCCCAGGAGTCATGTGAAAAGACAAACCAACCAACTCCGAAAAAGCCAAGCAGATGCAAGACGAACGCAGAATATAAAGAGCAGTGCATCTTCCAAGAAGACTCAGTCTCTCCCGTAGCTGATCTTCAACCGCTTAACAGAAGGCTTGTCCTCGTCGGATATATCCTCTGTCTGGTTCTTACCCTTGGTATTCTTCGACCCACCAGTCGCCTTCTTCTTGTTTTTTGACGAGCCATTCGAGCTCTTCATCCCGCTAGCCGAAACGGATAGTGGGTCAATCTTCATGGACATGCTTCCGCCAGTCGTAGATGTCGGCGTCGCTGCGTGGGAAGGCGTTGTTTGTACGGAGGAAGGTCCTGGGGAATCCTGCGGACACAACAATAATCGTTAGTCACCAGTTCGAATCAAAAACCTCATACTTGGCATCCAAGGCGGGTAGTTCCTTGGTAGGTTCGGTTCTGCATACCAGCATGTAACTCGCCGAGCTCCGTGAGAAAACTCGATCCGATTCCGTCACCTGCGCCTTTCGCCTCGACCCGGCCATGCTACTGC